CTCTGGCTCCTCTCCCCATTGAGTGGTAGCGAAGGATCTCCAGTTGACTGGTGCTACTAGAGTAGGAGGTCGCACAACGGGTTCTAATCCAGACGTGTCCTTGGCATAATTCGCCCACTCACCAGTGGACGTGCTTGGATTGAGATCACGAGCTTTGTACACTTCCACCACTCGTACCATCTTAGACGGCGATGTCTTCGGAGGGCTCTGCTTAGGCGTATCATCCAAAACAATAGAGACAGGCTTCCCATCTTGCTTGGATTCGATTCCAATGCTAGACTTTACGAATCCATGCCAACCAGCAGATTCCGTAGGCTTTGTCACTGGTGTGCTCTGAATCTAGTACAATGTCAGTATTGATCTTCCCCGACAGTTGGACGTCAAACTAGCCTTCTCCAATGGGGTCACATCAGGTGTATGTACCGCGTTTTTTGCATAGGAGACATTGTTAGTAAACATGGATTGCCAATCATCAGTTGGGGGAGCTGCTGTTTGAATCTGCGAAGTCGGGTGAGACGCTGTTGCAAGCTGCCCAGGTCGGCCTTGGTTGGGCTTTTGCGAATTGGAGGAAGTTGACTTGTTGCTTGGAGCAGCACGGTTAGTGAATCGAGGTGGAACGCCCATCTCCTTCTTAGGTAGTAGTTCTTCTCTGAAGCCCACAGCTCCAGAGCGCATGGCTTGAAGCTCGTCCACTGAGTACTTATAGGCGCTTTCAGAATCAACGACGCTGCATGAGACATTGTCTTCATCATTCGCGGACGCCTCCTCTATGGCCTCGTCACGCTCCATAAGTGCTTTTCCGAGTATCTTCCAACTAATATCTTTGATATACGCAACCTCTTCTTGTTCCCCAAGCTGGGCAAAAACCTCAGAATTTCGGAAGAATTTCCCCACAAGATCCTCAGCAGCCGTGATATGTAGGGGCGAGCTCATGTACTCATTAGTAGAAGCATTGCGACCCAATTTTGTTTTACCTACGACGCTGAGAAGGCGGCTCAAGAAGAAGGGTTTATAGAATGCATTGACCGACTGGAAAATACCCTGGACGACGTAATCGACATTTAGGACAGAAAGATCCATGAGAGCAGATGGCGGCCCGTTATCTTCATCTTGCTGACTGACACCATTCTGTTCGATGGCTTCATCGTCTTCATCTTCATCATCAATATCAAGAAGCTGAGTACCGCCCTCAAGGCTATTAAGCAAGTTGAAATTGCGAGTACTGATTCTATGGTTAACATCTTGAGGACGTTCATCCCCAGATGCCATCGAAATCAGGTCCGTTGTGTCATTCATCAAAGAGTATTCGGAGAACTGGCGATCGATGTCCGCGTTCAGATGCGTAGCAGGTTGTGCGTATGGAGCAGTAGCAGGTGGGCGCGCTGATGCTGAGGTATCAGAGACATGGGCTTGGATCTTTCCACCTGAGATAGGGCGGAATGGATCACTAATTAAAGCTTTGTACACACCCCGCGCCTGGTAAGGTAATGGAAAACTTATCTCCCACAACGGCGATGGCGATGTACCATCTTTGTCCTTGGCTTTATAACTAATGATATCATCATTTACTAACAACATGGAATCGATCGAAATGGTCTCGTTAATCACCCGTCTTCCGTTTTGGATCTCGACTGTTAGAATAAGAGGGGATCGTATCTCATCCTTCATGACTCTGAGGGTGCCGTCTTGCTTCTCTCCGCCGTCTTCCTGTACCTTTACACCATTGGTGCGGACTGAAACTTGTGGTTTGACAAGGCTTGGGGCCCATCGAGATGCGTCAAGACCTCCATAAGATACGCTGGCTTGGACATTGAGCTGACTTGAGGAAACGGCGGCAGATGTGGGTGTATCAGCTACCGGTGCTAGGTCGAGCACAGAGACTTGGGTTTGACTGCTCTCTGATCTAACTATTGTTGATGCCGAAGCCGAAGAAATTGGAAGGGTAGGCGCAGGAAATGGTGCCCATTGTGAGGCTGATAATTCCGCCTTCGGCAAAACTTTCACCGATTCATGAGAGCTTTGTTGGTTGTTGATGTGTCCCTTAGAAGGTTCGGCATCGCTAGTAGGCGTTGGACGTCCTGGCAAGAAACTTGCCCCATGACCGGCTTGTGGGACTTGCGTGACATGCTGGAATAGAGAGGGGTCTGCCCACCTTGAGTCCGAAAGCCCAACTTTCGGCTTGGCGAGAGCATTATTATTAAACTTTGTAGCCTGGATTGGCGTGATGGACCTGTTCGTGCTCTGAGGAACTCTTATAGGTTGATGCTGCTCGCGTTGCGCATTTCGACCATTCCTTGATCTCCGATTTTTTGGAGGCGCCACGGTTTGACTGGGCTCCTCGCGCAATCGGTTGATTGCATTCTCGATCATAGCCTGATTATCCCTACGACTATTATAGAACGACTGCGGGGTAGGGTGAGAAGCATGGATTCTTGGGCTTAAAGGTGTTAGTAGAGGGTAAACATTTACAAACGGAGAAGAAGCGTACGCAGATGAAGAATGGCCTCGAGGAGTAAAGGGATGACCTCCCCGATTGGCGAAACCCCCACGACCGCGGCCTGGAGCGGCACTAGATGTTCCTCTTCTCAAACGATATAGTTGCCCATCGGCAATGGAATCAAGTTCTTCTTGGGCAGGATCAACGTCGTCGAATTGCATGTCTAAGAATTGTTAGCTAAACTTTAGCAGTTGGGAAACGATTAGACTTACTGCGCCATGCGGAAACAGCTTCATTCGATTTGGTGGGCCGAGCATTCTTGACCACATTTAACGGGGGTATTAGAACATTGGCGCCTCGATCAGCTAGGGATAAGTTATCCTTCCTGCTAATCCCTAATTCTTCCTGGGAAAGAGTCAGCAGATGTTTCGGTTGTGTTACTAGGAACAGAGTTGCTACCATCATAGCTGCATGAATCATCTGCAGCTCAGCTGTAGTGCGTGCGGGCTCGTCGTCGCCATCGCCATGGCCTAAATTCTGGGCCTTCATATTTGGCAGGGTCTGTTATCTGCGACTAATCGGACAGTCAATATTACTTCCTTGGGAAATAGAAGAGTTGAGACATACTCCGGAGAAAGAATCACACCTGATTGACTTTCGCAGTGCGGTGTGGATGTTGTGATGGAGAGGTATGGCAAGCACAGTTTTATTTTGCAGCAACGTGCTTGGAGGAGGCTTTTGCTACTGTAGGATGTGGTCAATCTAAAGGTTTGTTGGTTAGCAGACTTCAACATCGGGTGAAGTTGTTTGCGGAACATGTAAGGTTTGAATGGAGATGGAATGAATTGAAAGTGAAAGTGTGAGCATGAGATGCCCTGTCAGGCCATGAAGAGAATGCACCACTCTGGGCCATAGGTGAATCTTCTCAAAGCTGAACGTTTTTGCCGGCACGGAAACAAAGAGAGGTGAATGAGGAGGGGAACTGCAGATTGGCCCTTACCAACGACTTGGACGAAGATGGAGATGACAAGAAAGGCGCCTTCGAAGTCGCAAGCGCGAGAGGAGATGAGCAATTGATAGGCTTGGGAAGTAGATGCAATGATGTGGACGTGATGATGATCTCGGGGCAGAGGGAAGAGGGGAAGAGGGGACGAGAGGAAGATTGACTGACCTTTGGGCGATCTTTTGCTTGAATTGTCTCTTGAGGAGCTGCGTTGAAGTTGAAGAAGAAGGCGTTGTGATCAAATGGGATACAACACGAGTGGAGATGGAATGTTGTTGTGGTGCTTTGTTGTTGTGTCGAGAGCTTCGCCTTCCAGGGTATTTTGTGGGTTTAGCGAGCATGTACTCTCCTCCAAAAGGGGAAGGGACGTTGGTGACCGCTGCCATATTAAACGGTAAGGTAAGGTAAGGTAAGGTGAATACCTCCAATGCTAGAGTAGTAAAGACACACAGGAAGTTTCAAATACTATATCTCTCATTATGCAAGATGAAGGTAAAGATTGAGTATACCAACCTGCTTCCTGTAGCATCATGACGGAAAGAGAAGAGATTGATTGCTCTTGCAACCAAGATCTGTTACTGATCGAGACCTGCACAATGCCTCCCGTTCACATGACACATTACGTTGAGAATTCATGCTCTTGTCTTGCGTCGAAATACTTGAGGGCGAGGATAAAACCAGAAAGGATAGTAATGTCCATCTCGACGATCCAACTTGTCGGTCAGCTCATACCCGCGTTCTCTCTGCCATTTCCTGGTATCATTCAAAGCAATGATGCTTGATAGACTTTTTCTGCGTGCAAACTTTCATTCTCTTTTACAGTGACTGAAAGACCTTTGAATTCACTTCAATATAGAGGCCAGGTGGAGCAATATGCAGAATTGGGAAGACCAGTAATAACAGTCTGACTGATTACATGAAAAGGTCAGTTATGAGTTTAACGAAGCTAAACCTCAAAGAAACTGAACATCTTAGAAAATAGTATCGAACGAGCCCTTGTATTGAACGATTCCATTATTTCACGGTAGTAAAGTAGAAATATGAGCACCAATATTAACCGTGACATGTTCCATCGTCCCAACAAAACCCCGTCGAAATGATGACTCCAACGTGAATCCGGCTGGATGCTATGGGGGCATATAAGGAAGATGATGAGCTTTCAAAATATGTACGCCTTCTGCCCTAAAGAAAACTCATAACTAATGAATTCACTACCCGTATGTGTCCTTGGTGCCAGAGAGCACTGCTCTTTTTTCATCTACTCCTCTTTCACATTTTACCGCTGTCTAGTAATATCATGCAGTCGCGACCATCTATGTGCTGTCGTGCCAGCGTACAAATTCATGTTGGTGGCTCGACGATTGTTTTCAGTATACCTGGTGAGCAAATGTCGAAGAGTGATGTCGTTCTAGAGCCACCCACCCACGGATCATCATTTATCCACGGCAACCAATTGACATCGTTCAATTAAAAACATATCCCGATCTCGCAAATAAATTTCCTCGAAAGAAGTATCACAGAACTCTCTTCCCACTCTTCCCAGAGTGACAAACAACAATCATGAGGGCGGGACTTCTGAAGAGTGGCAGGACTGCCATTAGGGTAAGAACCAAACAGCCTTTTCCCCATCCAGAAACTCAATTGACAATCCCCAGAGTTCACACCCCGCACTCTTCCAGCCCCAATGCACCCGAACTCTCGCAACAATAAACTCCAAATCAACCTTCGAATACAAACCCGACATAGCCTCCCGAACCCCTCCATATCCCAAGCTCCTCAAACGCCTTCAAGAAGTCCGCCGCGTCCTGGGACCATCTCGCAAACTCACCTTGGCCGAAAAGATTTTATATTCGCATCTAGACAACCCTGAAGAAGCACTTCTCTCAAATACAGACAATGGACTCAACATCAGAGGCAATGCGAATCTTATGCTCAAGCCAGATAGAGTCGCCATGCAAGATGCGTCTGCGCAAATGGCCTTGTTGCAATTCATGACCTGCAATCTTCCCTCGACTGCGGTCCCTGCGAGTATACATTGCGACCATATGATTGTGGGGGAGAGGGGCGCGGATGTGGATCTACCAGAGTCGATTAAAGGAAATAAGGAGGTTTTTGATTTTCTCGAGAGCGCGGCAAAGAAATATGGTATTGAATTTTGGCCACCAGGGGCTGGTATCATCCACCAAACTGTGTTGGAGAATTATGCTGCGCCTGGATTGATGATGCTTGGTACGGATAGTCATACTCCCAATGCTGGCGGTCTGGGAGCTATTGCTATTGGTGTTGGTGGTGCTGATGCTGTGGATGCTCTTGTGGATGCTCCGTGGGAATTGAAAGCTCCCAAGGTTTTGGGTGTTCGATTAGAGGGACAGTTGAGCGGCTGGGCTTCTCCAAAGGATGTAATCCTCTACCTGGCTGGGAAATTGACCGTTCGTGGCGGAACTGGATATATTATCGAGTACTACGGACCTGGTGTTGACTCTCTGAGCTGTACCGGAATGGCTACTATTTGTGAGACATCCCCTCTCTATTATTATGCAAGTCTAACCTTGAGATCTTGACGATAGGCAATATGGGAGCTGAAGTTGGAGCTACAACATCTCTGTTCCCATTTTCGACAAGGCATATTCCATATTTGGAATCTACTCACCGATCATCTATTGCGTTGCAAGCTCAGGCGATAGCCTCTGCATCATCGTTGACAAATCTACTCCGAGCTGATGAGGGTGCTCAATATGACGAGCTCATTACGATTGACCTTTCAACCCTTGAACCGCATATCAATGGTCCCAACACCCCTGATCTTTCCACACCCCTTTCAAAATTTAAAGAAGCAGTCAAGGTCAACCAATGGCCAGAAACAGCATCTGCTGGGCTTATTGGAAGCTGCACAAACAGCTCTTATCAAGATATGTCACGGGCTGAAGATCTTGTCAAGCAAGCAACAGCAGCCGGTTTAACTCCAGCAATGGACTTCTTCGTTACCCCTGGTAGCGAGCAAATCCGAGCTACTCTAGATCGAGACCAAACCCTCTCCACATTCGAACAAGCTGGAGGAGTCGTCCTCGCAAATGCATGCGGCCCTTGCATTGGTAGGTTTACCTACATACAAACTTGTCTTTGGAGGGAGCTGATGAGCATGGGAGCTGTTTTGGGGGCCGGCATGTGGGCTCTTGAAACATCTCCCAGGCTCCCAGCTCCCTCCAAGCACTTGACTTTTTACTATGCTAATTCATTGGGCAGGGCAATGGAAGCGTACGGATGGCGTCTCCAACGGCGACGCAAACGCAATCTTCACCTCCTACAACCGCAACTTCCGCGGCCGCAATGACGGCAACCCAGACACCATGAACTTCCTCGCCTCCCCCGAAATTGTGACTGCCATGTCCTACGCCGGCAGCACGTCCTTCAACCCCCTAACCGACAGTATCACAACCCCCACGGGCTCCGAATTCCGCTTTTCACCCCCAACCGGAGCCGAACTCCCCCCTGCAGGCTTCGAAATCGGAAACCCAGCCTTCCTCCCCACATCCGGCGCCCCCAGTCCCGACACCCCTGTAATAGTATCCCCTACCTCCGACCGCCTCGCCCTCCTCGCCCCCTTCGCCCCCTTCCCACCCTACGACCTGAGCGGCCTAAAAGTCCTCTATAAAGTCACCGGCAAATGCACCACCGACACCATCTCCGCCGCCGGGCCCTGGCTCAAATACAAAGGCCACCTCCCCAACATCTCAGCCAACACGCTGATCGGCGCTACCAACAAAGCCACCGGCGAAGTAAACGTCGCGTACGACGTCGACGGCTCTCCTTCCTCCATCCCCGAACTCGCGGAAAAGTGGAAGAGCCAGGGTCTCGAATGGCTGGTTGTAGCGGAACATAATTACGGCGAAGGCTCGGCGCGCGAACACGCTGCGCTGCAACCGCGTTATCTAGGCGGCAGAGTCATACTCGCGAAGAGTTTCGCGCGCATCCACGAGACGAACCTGAAGAAACAGGGGGTAGTACCTCTCACATTTGCAAATGAGACGGATTACGATAAGATCGATGCTTGTGACGAAGTCGAGACGGTAGGTTTATATGATGTGCTGAAGAGCGGCGGCCAGGGCAAGGTTAGTCTCAAGGTCACGAAGAAGGAGACTGGAGAAGTTGTGCAGCTCAAGACGAAACACAGTCTGAGTAAGGACCAATGTCTGTTTGTGTTGGCGGGCAGCGCGTTGAATGTACTAGCTAAGATGAAGAGGAATTGATCTCTTTCGTACTTTTTTTGGAACTAACGGTGTTATTGTACAATGGAATAAATGGATAAAAAGCACGCACTATATACACAAATCAAAGTTCAAACACAACGCCGTTCCACACCTTTTTGGCTCTACTAACTGCCACCACGCTAAATGTTCTCCGTCCCCTTAATTCAACTCAGTCCAAATGCACCCACCAGCAAAAGAGTCCTTCCCTCATCTCATTTCATTTAATCAACCCACTCCAGCGCATTTTAAATTCTAATTATATACCCAAGATTGGCTTTATCTATGTGAGACGTAAGGTATTCTCATCGCAACTTGATGGATGAACGACAACTGGAAATGACAGCAAATAACTTCTTAACGACTAATTAAAGCCTCGCTCGTTCCTCCCTTCAACCAGTTAGTAGGTCAACCACTTAACTTATTCCAAGAGGTTTACGAATGGAAGCCACGGATCTATCCTCTTTGTCCAGTAGCCAGAACAAGGCCAAGCCAATTGAGGTCGACAATCCACTCTTTGCAAAGTGCGCTTCGTCGGCGAAAGATATCGGTTTTCATTTGCCCAGATGTCTACTTATATAATTACCCGCCAATTCCTATGATTGATCGGTGAATCATCCCAACAGACCCTTAGTCAACTTTTTTTTCATTTCTCAGTCACAAGTGCCTATAAAAGAGACATCTAAATACACTTATGCAAAATAATAAGCATGTTCTTAAAGATGTAACCAACGGAAAATGTGGGCTGGGGTTCGAAGACATAACAAACTATCGTGGACCCAAAGGGCTGCTTGTCACTTAGCTTATAAATCTACGGCTTCCACCCTGGAGAAGTTTGAAAAGGGATTAACTAAGAGGATATCATCGCAACTTATTAAACAAAGGAACGAGAAGCAAAATGACAGCAAGTTATTCCTTGACAACAACTCTATTATCTAGACTCTCACTTCCCTGAAACATACATGCAATTAGAAGAAATCTCTATCACGCTTTGGACTAACATGTTATATAACTTATAGTCGCTTCTAGTCTTTGAAGACCCCCAGGTTGCGAAGCGTAAGTGGGGCAAAAGAACCACACTTCAATGGTATCTGCGGAGTTTCAATTGCAGAATCATAGTTTATATACCCTCCCTTACAGCCCTTAAAACGACATAGTGAATTATACTTTGTCCCTTCCCACCTCTTCACGGGCCACACTTCGCCACTTCCCCCTCCCAGATCCTAACTTATAACAGAAGTCATCTATACCAAACTGTAGTAAATAAGAATCTAACCGACGAATCATTGACATATTGGTCGTGGCGTGTTTGTCTGTATATCCTTGAATCAATACATCGCGGAGAGAGCAGCTCCCTTTGCGTGTTAAATCCAAGGCCTTTAAACAATCGCCAATATCACAGGAAGTAAGAGAGGAAAGTATCATCGTATATAAAGAAACGACCGACGAGTGTAATAACAACGAGTTGCTATCGCTTTTTCCCGACAGCAAGCAAGGTTCTGAAATTTTGATACATAATCTCCATCGCCCTTCCTTGAACCGTTTAAGCATGTGAAATCTTTACTGATATGAATACCCTACTCCACACCATGGTTGGAAATCACACAAGGCAACATCTGGAATTTTCGGATTTCGGTCCTGTTATATCCTAACAACTTTGAGGGTTCACGTCTTTATATAGGTACACGGCACCTAGCACGCAAGGCAAGCCCTCCGTTCTCCGCTCTCACGCAACTTTTCCATCCACTTCATAATCCCACCACTTCAATTTCACAATCAAGCAGCGCACCTTGAGCGATCAACCATAAGACAGACACCTTAACAATCCAATGGCATAGGTGGCCTCTCAGAATCTTGTCGAATATCGGAACAAATTGAAGACTAGCGGTTTTGATGACGTTAAGTTTAACAAGGCAATTATCAAGTCCATTATTGCTAGGATGGCAAAGAGACAAGAGGCTAGGAAGGCGAGGGAGCTTATTGAAGGGACGGAGGTCACTCAATCAGAAACCACTAAACCAACTAAAGAGAATGAATGAATGGATTGAATCATGACAGCAACGTACCTATCAACAGCAACAGCAACAGCAACAGCAACAGCAACAGCAACAGCAACCACGACGGCGCACGAAACTCCCCATCATTCATTCACGGAGATCGAGCTGAGATTCGGGGTAGCGTCGAAGGTTTTTAATGGATCAAGCTATGTAGCGAGGTAGGTAGGCTTAACACTTCAGCCAACTCGGCTAGTACTCTACTTCTACGTTTCGTTTTTTCGATAAGGGGATTGTGGAAATGGGGCGGGATGGAGATGTATATACAGTGTTAAGGCCCTGAAGGACTAAGTAATACTTGGTAGCACATCTCACGTTCCGTTTGCCTAGCAGCGCTTGCCAAGTAAACACCTGATGATTTTTCAGAACAACTAAATACCAAAGTTGTTGAATGTGATATTACGGGGTATTTCATATATTCGAGCGATAGCAATTTGCAGACATTGAACCTATTCCTTTTCACTATCCAGTGTCCTCTCCATCCTCGTCAGCAGGTTTGACTCTCACCCAATTATCCTCGCTCTTGCGCCTGACTTCCATGGCAGTTGCCATCTTCAACCCGAGCGATGATTTCCTCTTTCACAACAGGCGAGGCTCTTCTACATCAGGCGTCACATCCATCATAGCTTCCAACTCCGCACCCCACTCCTCAGCCACCTCATCGCTCATTTCTCTTGCCTTTTCAGGCTCGTCGTTGTCGCCAGCTCCAAACAAAGAGTCCATATCATCGTCGTCGTTGGCAGCTTCCTCAGCCACGGGAGCAGGGTTCTCGATGGAAGGAACCGGAGTTGGAACAAGCTCTTCAACTCCAAGCATCTCAATAGGCGTTTTTCCCACGGAAACTGAGTCCACAGGATCTAAGTCTACAGAAACCGTACCTACTGGAGTCTCAGGAACTGCAGCCATGGCGGGTGTTTTCGCTTTCGGCTCAGCAGGGCTTTTCGGCAAACCTGCTTTACTCTTCTTCCTTGCAACAGGTTCTGGTGCTGGATCTTCATCAACAGCGATGGGTTGATTTGGATGTCCTCCCACCTTCATCCACGAACGCTCGATCCCGGGAAGGCAGAAACGAAGAGTTTCGCCGGTGTTCTTTGGGATTGGGGTGCCGGTAGCGCTCATCCTGCGGAGATATTCCCTTGGAGCATTGGAGGTGCTGAGTTTGCGGCAGCGCTTCTTGTTGGGGTTTGAATCTTGTGATGATGACTCTGAAGAAGAGCAGTAACTGGTGGTGGGTGAGTTCATGTTTGCTGTGGTGGAGCCGGTGATAATGACCTCATCATCGGCCGTAGATCTCTTGCCGTGGTGAATTACGTTGTCCGACGAAGGAGGAACAGGTGTGCCGCTAATATTTGGATGCAAGCCAGAAAATGGTGGGTTGCAAGTCGAAGCAGTAACATATACGTCGTCGTGCGGTATAGATCTCTTACGACTGTGAAGTACATTGTTTGAAGAGGGGGGAATTGGCGCGCGGATGATCGCTGGATGCAAGCCAGTAAAGGTTGCGTTTGAAGTCGAGGCAGTAATATATACGTTGTCGTGTTGCACAGGTTCCTCGCGGTGCTGGGGAGCGGCTTGCGAGTTCCTACGAACTGGTGCAGAACCGGCAGCCTGCAGTATATACGACATTGGCATATCTATTGGGGCAGGAATGGGTGCCCTGCTATATATCCGGCGATGATGGGGCGGATTGCCCGAATACATGATGGTTTGCGCGACACCATAAGTAGGTGGTGGACCATATATTCCCCTGTCCGTGCTGGCAGTAACGGGTCGGACGCCGATATTTGATGGCATACCTGACGTTCTCCAGTGACCTTCCAGGATAGCTCTTTCAGCCTCATTCCGAGGAACAATAGGAACAACACTTTCGAGTGTGTCGTTGGACGTCATGGTTGGATCTGGATGGGTAGAAAGCTTGGGGCCGCCTATATGAGCTGTGAGAGGATGGTTGATATCGACGTACTTGCGTGGTATTTTATGTGAAGTTTGTCCTGGATATGATGCGTTTCCATGTGATGGACTTGAAGCAGACCAGACTTGGGAATTCGGAGCTGCGAGTGGTTGTGCGGTTTGGACTGGCGGTTGAACAGGGAGATTTGTGGGCTGGGGTGCCGAATTATTATCTGTAGTTGGTGTGGGCTGAAATCTCATTTGCTGTAATGGTGTCACAACGGTCCCTGGAAATGTACTTTTCGGCAGTGGAATAGATCCCGGGCCCTGAGGAAAAGATGTCATGCATTGTGAAGCTGGAGGAAGCGTTGCCACTGAGACAGGTGAGGGATTGGCATTATCCCAAGAACGAGGAGCTGGTTTGGTCAAGTCCCCCTTTGAGCGATTAGCTCGAGTGAGGCCACCTAATTGTCGAACTTCGCTCTCGTGAAGGAAATATTTGTTTGCTGGGCTTTTGTGTTCTTGTTGGCAGCGCACACAACGCAAGCGGCTTGTCCACAAAGTAAAGCCATTCTCGTTGACTTTAGACCATGTTCGATTAACAGCCTCGCAGCGTTTGACGGTATCCGTTGTAGTGAGCAAGCACATCCATGCCGTATTTGAATGGGGAAATCCGGCTCTGTAGATCTTATTTGGATCAGGAATAAAATCGACAGGAAGGTGTGCAAACGGCGTAGGCGGAGAAGGAGGTTCTGGTGGCATGCGAATGCATGCTGGAATGGAAGGATTGATTGTCTTAGACCCCCTAGCTGTGAGTTCCTGGTATTGTTTCTGTTCCTGAAGTACGTTGCAATTTGCTGCAAGTCGTTCCACTTGTTTCGAGAGCGCCTTATTCTTAGCTTCAAGAGAGGCCGTGTAAGGCTGACCGGCAACAAGTTCCCGAATGTGAGCAGCGTTCCGCCGCATAACATGAAATGCCATTATGATGGCATCGGAAATCGATTGCTGCGTCCGCGGGAACCTTATATCATTAATGGCCTTCTCCATCTTTGCGAGGTCTTCTGTGAAAGTAGTTGAGTCCATCGAAAGTATATTTATGTTTTGTTTGAATTCACCTTCACCTTGACCTGGTACATTAGCAGGTGTCCAAATGCGAGGAATAGGAGACTCACAGCTACCCTCAGCAAGCTTTGCCAGTTTGGCTGTGATGAATGTGATCAAAGTATTTCTGAGGTTCTCTTCCTTTTCGTATCGGCTGAAGAGCTTCTCAAGGAGTTGAAGAAAGTGAGGGTCGGCTGCGGGAGGCTGAGAGACCTTTTCAGGTCATGAACTTGATGGGATTGAATTCTAAAGACTGTTTCGAGAATGGCAGGACGCATTGCATCTGGAGCAAGCGCGGCGGCTATCGCGATAGGAATCGGGAGGTCTACGATTGACTGTGGCATGGTTGGAGTTGCTTGTGCGTCTTGTGGCGTGGGGTTTTGAGATGATACTTTATTTCCAAACCACCCTGCCGACATACCTTTCTCGAGAAGTTCTTTCTTTGATAGCTTCTTCTTCCGAAATCCTTTTGGCATTCGCACTCCTGGTCTTCCGATTGCAGGTCGGCCGGAGGTGTGGTCACGTGGTTGACTTGACTCTGAGTTGGGGGACGGACTATCCTCTGGATCGTCGACGAACAAGGAATCATCCTTATCAAGAGGCTGTGTATTGTTATTGTCGAAAGGAGCCAAGTGTTCTGCTGTACCTGAATTCTGGAGAGGCACATTTCCGGCAAACTGAGCTGCACTCAGCCCCGAAAGGTGGTCATTCCGATTTTCCGATGGAGTATTATTCACATCGTCTTCGTTTTCCCAAGAGGTTGCGATACTGATTCCATATCCTGAGTCAGTAGGGCTTAGGTGCAACTCAGCTTCCTGCGGCGCCGAGGGCTTTTGTAGCTGAATGGTGTTTGTCGATGGCTGTTGGATGGCTTTAGATTTGCTATTATCGGGGTTTGCGAAACTTACTGTTTCATCCTCCTGGGTTGGTAGGGGATGTTCCTCGTTTGCGGGTTTCTGCTTCTTCGGTGGAGATTCCAAAGGCTGATATTTATCAAACAGAGAATGTACCCCAGGGCCCTGGCTGGAAGGGTCTTCTTGAGATTCTCCTTCTTGGATGTAGCTCAGCCAGTCTTGTTGAAAGGCATCGCCATCAAAAAAGCCTGACGCATCGAATGAAAGATCACTGGGTGGAAGTGTAAGCCCAAGATCTACGTCTTGACGTGTGATGTTATAACCATCGTCGTTGGTAGAAGCATTATTACCTTCTCCGTTGGGTTCTTGAGTGATGCACAGGATATCACCGTCTATGTTTGCCATTTTGACGCTATTCAACTGACCTGGATACAGTCTAGCACTATCTGTGACTTCTATGTCTAACTCCACGTTGCATGCTTTCCAAGGCCTCTCTTAAAAGGTAGAGGTATGGTTAGGCAGCTGGCGCTAATCAGGCACCTCGACTGAAGGTTGCTGATTTTGAGGTCGATGAGATATGTAGTAGTCAAAGAGAAGATATCTCTCAGAGGTTGTGACTGGTTTTGTTATGTCCATGAGACAGGTAAAGCTCGAGGATACACGTACAGGCAGTCGACATTTAATAAAATTTAAATGGTCCTGTGCGGTGTGGTGTGGCTGCTGCAAAAAAGCCAGAGCCTTAGTAATCATTGATTGTGGAATTTGATTGGCTGTGAGCGTTAGTGAGGGGCCATCCCTGCTACAGCTACTTCAAGCTTGACGATATATAATATATAGATGTTACCGCCTTGACATGCAATCCCAGCCCAGCATACCTTGGGCACTTTAAAGACAACTCCATCGCCTATACTAGTTCGCATTAATAAAGGCAACTTTATACGACCGACAGTCGGCTGAGGTAAACACCAGGGCATTCATCATGAGTGTTATTTTGTGTACAGGTGAGTCCGACTTGACTCTCGCCCCCCACCTCCCCTTCCCCCTTCCTCCATCGCCAATTCACAGAGCAATCCCCTTGCAAGATGGCGTACATGCATGCGGAGGCTGACAATGGTGCGTGTATCTTTGTTTCAGCTGGCTATGATCACACAATTCGGTATGTGCCTACACCCTCCACTCTCCCCTTCTTCCTCACAGCCTTGCTGAGCTAACCTCGCATCGTTCAGCTTCTGGGAAGCACTGTCCGGCATATGTTCAAGAACAATCCAGCACTCCGAATCCCAAGTAAACCGCCTTTGCATCTCCCCTGATAAACGGTTCCTTGCTGCTGCCGGGCATCATAACGTCAAGCTATACGACATCAAGTCAACCAACCCCAATCCGATCCTTACCTTCGAAGGCCATTCGGGCAATATCACAGGAGTCGCATTTCACTGTGAGGGCAAGTGGATGGTGACAAGCTCGGAAGATGGTACGGTCAAGATCTGGGAGACGCGTAGCGGTACCGTGCAACGGAGTTATACACATGGGCCACCAGTCACGGATGTGGTGATCCACCCTAATCAAGGAGAGATCATCAGCTGCGATAGAGGAGGCAATGTGCGAGTTTGGGATCTGGCTGAGAACAATTGCTCCCACCAGCTCATTCCCGAAGAAGATGTCCCTGTATCAAGTGTTACTGTAGCTTCGGACGGCACTGCACTCTGCGCTGCGACCAATTCCGTAAGTTAGCTTTCGGGATCCGTCAAATACATATTAACAGCTTCCAGGGCAACGTCTATGTCTGGTATCTACTTCAATACCGCGAAAAAACAACCCTCATCCCCATAACCCACTTCAAAGCTCACAACTCCTACATAACCCGCGTCCTCCTCTCCCCCGATGTCAAGCATCTCGCAACCTGCAGCGCCGACTGCACCGCCAAGATCTGGGAAGTCAAAGACCTGGATGCCCAACTCCCAAAACCAGGCCAAGCGCCAATTGACAATGCTGGGAAAGCCGAGCAGCCCTTTGAGCTAGAAAGCACGCTCACGGGACATCAGAGATGGGTTTGGGATTGTGCTTTTAGTGCGGATTCGGCGTACTTGGTTACGGCGTGTAGTGATCATTATGCGAGGCTTTGGGAGCTGGGAAGCCAGCAGATTATTCGGCAGTATAATGGCCATCATAGAGGTTTGGTCTGTGTTGCGTTGAATGATTACTCGGAAGCTAGGTAAATAGGGATGTGCCAGTGGCGTCTTGTAATTTTGTTGCTATATTGGCGTTATGATACCTAGGTTCATAGCACGGGCGTTTGATATGTCAATAAAATTTATGTACTGATGCCTTGTCATCCGTTGGTTTTGTTTCCTTGTGTTCTCATCCATCCTGTTGTAGTTAAATTTTCAATGTCTCCCCAATATCTCAGTTCACTACGGTCTCTTACTCCGTAGGTTTTCATTTAATTGATGTCGTCAACATTAGCAGTACCTATAATCAATACCTCTTTACAACCTACCTCAGATTCTTCCCAAAGAATACATAAAACCTCGTCTCTCCCCTTCCTCCCACATTCTATTACTAACATCGAATCCATACCCGGCTCGGTAAATGATACCCAACCCAATCTAATCCTCAACCACATCTATCTATACCTGCCGTCCATTCTCGGTTCTCCTGTACTGATGATAGTGTATTTGATCACTAAATTTTTTCGCCGAATGGTAAGATTTGTATTGTTGTTTGGGTGTATATAACAAGCGGTCTCCTTTGATGTGTGATAGATGGTATTAAGTCGTATTGGTTAATAAGAGATTAGTTAGTTTTGTTTGCTCTTGGTGTTAGAAGCTAACGTGAGGTCGCTTATTCGGATCTCTTGAGTTTCTTGACTATTACCATTTCCAGATACGATCTCTAATTTTTGCAAGTTGTATAATACCCCTTATCTATAAAATCGCCACCGTCTGCCATGAAATCACAGCATCAGGATCAGAACCTACCGATCCAACTACCCACTTGCACTTGCAGATGCTCGGTTTGGGGTTACCAGTCAACTATGCCAACGCGCGGGTGTATTTGCTCGGGGAGTGGAGATATGAAAAGCATCTCTTGGTGCCTTTGCGATCCATTTACTTGGCGTTGATGTTGATACGTTTAATTAACAGCAAATACCGCGTTGACAGCAATCAATTAGTTACTTTAAATATCACAACAAACCCAAACGGCTTTTTATCACTCGTCGTGAATTCCACTTTCTACTCTTCACTTTATCTTACATCTACACCTAGCTTTCTCTTTACAAATAAACTAGGAACTTGCGAAGCATACCAGGGCCCGATTGAGCATAATAAGTTTCGAGTTGCTTGGACGTCATCCTATGGCTGTTGAGTATTGGATCCCAGTTTTATACACCTATTGCTACTGTAGCAGAATCTTTGCAACAAAGAAGGAGCTAGGAAGATTTTTCATTGGGAGGATCTATAAGGCACCTTATAATCAATCACTCACCCCCTCAGCGTGAGGAGCTCTTATTCTATAAGTAGCTTATACCCGCCACGACGTCTAACTTTTCGGTCCAATAACCAGGAAGGTTCGCGAAACAAGGCTGTTGTTTCACTGACCTGCTTCAAGGTTATCGGTGCCGACTGGCATGGAGTCGTCCTCTTTCCTATTTTTACTTAAACTAAAAGCTAAGAACGAGGATCGAGGGGGGTGGTGGTTATTAACGTAATCTTGACAGCAAATAAAGTCATAACAATAAGACGACTTCTATGATGCGACGCAGTCCCATGGTCTGATATCTTTCATTAAAGCCCGTAAGATATTTAACTACGTACTCTGCAATAAAATAAGTACGCTTATTATACGCTGCTTAGTCCCGTCAGTGAACGTCATTGTTTTGGTGGCGCTTTGCTTATTCTACAGCTACGAGATACAGGCTCCGAGTAATTTATACCCTTTTCTTTAAGAATTTTCCCCATCTTATTAGGAGCAAAAGGAAACAAAGCGCTCTTTAGTGAAAACGAGTTTCACATTTGGCAACTTGTATGTCCACCCAAGTCAATGCCAACTTCTCTTACAACCTAGGAAAAGCCCTGCATTTCTTTTATAAGATCTTAACTTACAGCTAATTACTTATCCCAAGAACTTTAAGGCAACTGCCAGAGCACGGGAAGAGAATGACGAGTGCGCTTTGGAAATCCTTGCTTAAATATCCTTCGGCCTTGCCTGGCATCCAACATTTTGTGTCCTCGTCTTTGCATGAACATGTTTTAGCGCTAAGCATGTCGAGATTCTCGTGTGATGACAGTAATTTCCTTCTTGACAGCAAATAATCACCAGTCAAACATCAAGTACAGTTTGATCGGTTTTCACTAGCTAATGAGCTGTCTGTAAATAATGCATAGCAGTAACATCGCCTATCTATTCTAATGCCCGGTCTCAGGACTTGAAACCCATAGTTCAACAGCTAATAATATCCTCCTGTTCTAGTTATTGATGGATGATGGTTTGGGCATCTCAGAATATTCATGCCCAGTTAGGGCATTTTTGGATTTTTACCGAGAAAGAGAATTGGAAAAGATCGTTTAGATTCTATTTCTCAAGGAGAATTTGTTCTCCTTCTCCAATTATAAAAACGGTATAAAAAAAGTTCCTAAAAATACTAAGCGGGCGAACAGATTTGATCTATGGTTAGGATTATAAGCCAGGATATGGTGACGCATTAGCACAAGTCACTTTATTGCCTTATGTCACCAAGCGCCATTTATAATTCAATTTTTTCTGGAGTATCTTCCAAGCTGTGGTTATATTAGCGGTTACTACAAGCCTGATTTCTGTTCATTTTCGGGGACAATACTCAGGGAAGCACAGCCCCTATTTTAAGCGAGGATGCTACGACATAAATCATTACGCTGCGCATGGAATTTGCAAGGAGATTGTGCTTTGCTTTATCTGCGATCTGATTTTGGTCACTGCTGCTAATTACACGCTGACAGAGTAGTAAGTTTAGTAACACTTGGGTGGCTAGTTTGGAATCATGCGTATATACTTAGTTCCTTAAGCAAATCTATAACTATTTGCTGACAAGTAGACAATCAAGTTACAAGTTACGGCGCCTTCATTCTAGGCTGCAAGCTCCCGGACTACAGTATCTATGCTTTTTGCAACATACCTAATATTATGCTCATTCACTAAATAGATCAGCATCAAGTGGACGAGCGGTAATTTTTTGACCCAGACTTACTTCCAGGAATCGCAAGTCTGCCTGAACACAGCATGTAGACGTGGTACCGAATTCGTAACGCAGAAACATGCGCAGCAGACAGACCTGTGTAGCAAAACATGCCGGTCTAGATATACTACGGTGAGTTTATATCTCATAACATTTACATTGCTCGTGCATACCTGTTGGAGTAAATGATTCCAAGACCCTGGGGTTCCAAGTTTTTGAAACTCTTCATATAATGACACTCTCATAGAGCCGATTCTCGAAGTCATCTCTTTCAAATTTCTTAACCATTCGTTTCGAAGACTCTGATCCTGGAGAATAACGGAAACTATGCGAGCGCCATGCGTTGGGGGAGTCGAAATCTCGCCGCGTTGATAATAGGCCAATTGACCTTGTACCAAGTCTTTGCTGATGACATTGCTGGTTACAACATGAAGTGCACCGACCCTTTCTCCATATAGCCCCATGTTTTTGGAAAAGGCTTGGGAAATACAAAGCTCAAGACCTCTGCCGACAAAGTATCTAACCGCCCAGGCGTCTTTATCAGGATCACCGGATGCAAATCCTTGATATGCTACATCAAAGAAAGGGTGTAGCCTTTTCCGTGATATGAGGTTTGCTAATTCGGTCCATTGTCTCTGGTCTAGGTCAAGGCCGGTTGGATTGTGTGCACAAGCATGCAAAATAACAACATCTCCTTCCTCGGCCCCTTCAAGCGCTGCAAGCATACCATCTTCATCAATTGCCTTGGTTTGCGGGTTGTAATAAGGATAAGTCTTTCGCTGAATGTGCTCTCCGACTAATTTCCAAATGATGTGGTGGTTATTCCAGGTTGGGTCGGAAATCCAGACTGACTTGGGCTTCAAGAAATCAGCGAGTAGTCTAGCTCCGACATGGCATGCCCCAGTTCCAGATAAAGTTTGCATAGATGCAATTCGGGAGCTTAGTTGTGGTTCTAGATCCCGAAAGAGAAGAGTCATGGCGGCGGTGAGGAACTCGGAGTGCCCACGGATTGGTAGATATTCGTGTGTAGGAGCCCGGTTGGAGCATATCTCCATTTCAGTCTGTCCTGACGTTAATCAGCCTTCCACGGATAATAATGGCTTGGGTATGACTGACTTTTCGAACTACCGGTAAGACCCATGGCTTTCCATCCGCGTCGCGATATGCACCGATGCTGAGATTTACCTTTTCAGGCGAGGGGTCGATTTCGTATAAGGCTGTGAGTTGAAACGGCTCATCTTCCACACCTATAGGAATCTCCGCAAATACTGATTTCTGCATTTTGTATTTCGAGAGATACATACTCTTTGACGATTTGCTTTAAGAAGTGACTACTTACGCATTGAAACTTCATATATGTGGGAAGTTAAATTAACCCGGCATCGGCCTAGATCACATTTTTTGGTCATTCTTTTGTCTGTGAAAACAATAGAGATAAGATAATACGTGAATATATTGATATACTCCTACCATATTGGTAGGTCTTGTAGGTCTGGTACACATTTTGGAAAGGATCTGTTCCCTTATGTGCGGATTACACCGATATATATGTCAGAGCGAGCGCGGAAAGCCGATCCTATCTTTGCCAACTTTCTTGCTTGATCACTCGCTTAATAGTAGGCTTAATAAGCAGCACAAGGGGCCCTCCCCCTTAGTGGGCGCAAGCGAAGTGTCCATGCTCTGCGTACTTCTAAGTCTGCCGAATATTTTTGCGTGTAATATAATGAATAGATGGCAGACTATCGATTAGAAAGATGCCTCTGAGATTTCCAATTTAGTAGAAACATTACAGAAATCGCACCGCATTTAAGCGTAACACTTTGCTTTCGCGTGATACTTTGTTTCTCCCACTAAGGGGTGGGGGCCTTAGCGTGTTTACGCCCACTGTTGTATTCTGGTCTCGGAGGGCGTGAAAATTTGATTATACAAACCAACGGAGGGAGGTATCGTAGAAAAGAACAAAGATGGAGAGCAATCAAGTCCCTCTGGAATCACATCCTCGACATGACTGTCATCAGAGAAACCTCGTCTCGATATCAATAAGTGATCCCGCACACCCGTTTTTATTCAGTCGCGTATGTATCAGGCCACCCAGCAATTCAAAGTTTATGACTGATTTGCTTTCAAGAAAAAAAGGTTATACGCCGCTCTTGTCACAGGTTTTGGCTACGCCAGCAGCACACTATCTTCGAGTCTTCCTGGAGGCGCTTCTTCTTATATCGCAGAGCATTTTCAAATAAAGAACCAGGAATTAGTTGTCCTACCACTGGTTATCTATCTCGTGGGCTACATTCTCGGCCCACTCTTCCTATCTCCACTCAGTGAGCATTATGGGCGGAAGCCAACTCTTAATACGGCGAATCTTGTATTCTTCGGCTCATCGATCGGCTGTGCTCTTGCGCCGACATTCGCGGCGCTTGTAGTATTTCGTTTCTTTGCTGGGCTTTCAGCAGCTGTTCCTTTGACAGTGGTTGGAGGCGTCTATGCAGATCTGTTCAAGGATTCAGCTAGTCGGGGAAAAGCTACCGCCTTGTACACAATAGTAAGTGACACAGACAGAATAATAAACGGTGTCTGAATTAACCATGGCTAGATTGGCTCAATTCCCACTGTTTGTGGGCCCACTTTATTCGCATTTGTGTCTATTCCTAGCTTTCGATGGTCTTTTTGGCTCACGAGCATTTTATCCGGTCTGCTAGGAATTGCTCTAATGTTCCTGCCGGAGACCTATCTTCCCAAACTCGAGAAGATGAGAGCTCAACAACTAAGATGCGGAAAGGATTGTGCAAACTCATTTGCACAGATAGAGTTAGATGGCCGAACCTCAATAGCTATATTGGGTGCCGCCTTGAGCAGGCCCAGTCGCATGTTTTTTGGAGAGGCTGTGGTCTTTTTCTCCTCATTATATGCCTCGCTGATATATGCGATTCTGTTCCTTCTCTTTGCAGCTTACCCATATATCTTTCATGGCATTTATGGTATGTCTTACGGCATCTCTGGGCTTGCTTTCCTCCCCATGGGTCTCGGCGTGCTACTGTCCTACTACGTTATCTTTCTGTGGGATAGTTATTATGTGCGAAACCTTCCAACAGCCTCGGAGAGACAATGCAATGCCGAGTACCGCAGGTTGCCACTCGCTTGCGCTGGCGGCATCCTTCAAGTCTTCTCCCTCTTCTGGCTTGCCTGGACGTCGTCGTCTTCAATACACTGGATAGTGCCAATGTTATCTGGGACAATTTTTGGAATAGCCCTCATGCTCATCATGGTCTCAATCTTCAACTATCTAACAGATTCTTATGGGATTTATTCTGCTAGCGCTTTGGGTGCTGCGAGTTGCGTCAGAAGCATGTGTGGGGCTTGCCTGCCACTCGCGGCTCATAGCATGTATAGTAATCTTGGCGTTGCTTGGGCCACGAGTATTTTGGGATTTGCAGCAGTAGCAATGATTCCTATCCCTTTTGTGCTCATTATATATGGCGAGGCTATTAGAGCCCGGAGCGAGTTTTGTGTAAAGGTCCATCCACACGATGATATTTTTATAGAAAGAGTAGAAATAGTTTCAGTGACGGGAGTCTAGATGTGTTATAAGAAAACAAAATATTATCTTGATGAAGAGTGAGGCTTAGCTAGAGTCGTAGCTTGTACGTGGCAAGGAAGTTGAGTAGACAAAATGGTTGGATAGACAATCTTCTCTTAAGCAACATTATTGTTGTTGACGAAAATCGATTTACAATTTCGTGTGCTTAGACGTAGTGTTGAAGATATGAAAAAATTAGCCTAGTGCAATAGTGCTAAAAGAGGTATAAGTGCTTGCCTAGACGGACTTTTCCCTCCTAAAAGTACCGATCAACATTCACATAGTCAAACTTATACAAGGGATGAGAGAATACCAATCGACCAGGACTTGGCATTAAATATCTTGTTTTTTAGCCGCTAAGTGAGTTGTGAATTACTTAAATGAAGAGCTTGGAAGGACTGTAGGCTTATAAGCAATAGACTGAGAGTTTCGATAAAAAGTCCCAGAGTGATGTGGTGAAGAAGTAGCTCTATCGGAGTGTGTTTGCTCGGCATGTGGGAGGCAATGTGAAGAATTCGTATTGTAGACATATCATAATCCAACAACCTAACAGAGTAGCTCTTGTTTCCCATACCATATCTTAATCAGATTAAATGGCTTAGATTTTGGGACGAGATGCATGTATCGGTAAGTATACATACACCGCCGCGAAACAAATCCAACGGCTTGGATTCAATGAAAACACTGATATCAATCTCCCCCACACCATCACACTCAAAACCATCCAAGCCCCAGCCCCAATTTCCCAACCCACCCAGACCACCAAACAAGACCCCCAATGACACAAACCCCAACTACAAATCTACCCCACCAACTTCCACCATCATCCTCAGCAACCGCAGATGAAGGTGGGATGTATCTGCGCTGCGGCGGCGAGGTCACACTAGCATACGCATATGGTTCTGCTCTGCGAGCCGCTGGATATCCGGAGAGCGTACCGTAATGCCTCGCCGGCTGAGGAAGTGGAGAAAGAGAGGGAGGATTGTAATACGTGCTTGCGGGTGGGGGATTCCTGGTTTGTTGTGAAAGAAGGGGGTTCCGGGTTTCGAAGTACGGGCTTGTTGTTGTTCTTGTTGAGTTGATGAGTGGAGTATGGTGCGTATGGATGGCATCGGAGCTGACGCGGTGCGGGCGCGGTTGAGATTGCTGGGCACGAATGTAATCGTAAAGCTGGGATTCTGAATCAACCTGTGGCTGCGATTGCGATGTCGAGGCAGCCATGGTTGCTGGCTCCCGTGTGGTGTCGGTGGAGTTGGCAAGGGCACGGAGTCGACGAGGGCTCGTTTCGTACAGCGTTCGTGTCTCTTCCCAGGTCTCTTTTTCCAGACCCAGGCCCTGCATCAACACGCCATAGCTCTCCTCATCCAGCCTGATCTTATAGGCGCGGCATACCTTCTCCGATGGCCTCTTCTTTACGAAGGTGCGCAGGGTAGAGACTTCGACTCTGTAGACGTGTTTGAGGCGGACGTAAGATTGTTTGTGCATCGACTTCTTATTTTCGAGATGGAGTTGTTTGGTGTGATTGTGGAGACGGGCGGTTTCAGCATCATCATTGCCTGGTTGCGAGATGGGAAGTGAGGGTTCTAAGTATTGTCTCTTGGTATTGTATTTTGATAAAGGCGTACTGCCAAAGGACGTTGTCTACTCATTTATTTCATCAGCTATTCAGACCTTTCATCTTCCCTCTTATTTTTCTCCATCAGAGATAAGTACTTACATTAGCAACATCACAGACTAGATCTCCTAAAGTTGTCGAATTCTCTTTCTGGCGGATCTTCAGAACTACAACGGGGTGGTTGTACGCGCCGTCTTCCATTTCTTCCAGCGCTGGGCATTTTAGGCAATTGACGCTACTATCGAGTGGGCTTTTCAAAGGCAACCAGACAATACAGCCCACGCATATATCGCGAGGCCGAAGCTCCTTTCGTTCATATAATGCATTATTCGGGGTTGAGCGTGGAGGTGGGGTAGGGTTACACAAGGCTGGGGTAAGAACATCATCGTAACGATGATATGCTGACATATTCTTCAGCTTATTTCTGGTTATTAGGTGAAGCAAAAGTGCAAATAAAGCTTCAGACAAAGAAAGCTTCAAAATAAGAGACAAATGACAGAAGAACGCGATGACATTGATCAAACTGCAATAGATGTCGATGAGCTTTATCCTCTGCCACGCAACTCGAATCAGCCTTATCCGTTTGGACTGCAGGGGGCCGCATTGAACGAGCACTGCCAGCCAACATCCAAAGGGGGCGGGAGTGTGCGAATGGTACGATTTGGAGGCATTTGATTGGTGGGTTGCTAGGCTGTAGCCTGTCTGCATGGGCTCTCACGGGATCAGCGCTTGGGGTCGCATGTGAGGCGGGGCTTGGAACGGGTTTGATCCATCAAGCTATCAACATGATAATTCTCTCCTGGATAATTCGGTGGGTTTGAGAACTACTTGTCAACTGTAGGCTGCTACAAAACGCTTTCCAGCTCTTGGATAAGATTGGCAACTCGCCACGCAGAATCATAGCCATCAGCCCTGGGCCATCAATCCCCTGCGCCGCTGCTGCTCAAAGATAATGCCATAACTGCATTTAAAATTTTGCTCTCCTCCGAATATCGACTTCTTGCTATTTGTTTTCAACAAGATTAGAACGTCCAGAACTGCCACAGACGAGAAGGGCAGCCAGAACAGACCAGTCTCCATGGCCATCCAATGTCAAGAGCCCTAGTCTCTCACCCATATCTTAAACTTCGTATCCATTTCCAACCGCCACGGATTGATTCGGCCCACAGTGAGGCTGCGCATTAGAAAGTCCCACAGCGACCATTCGGAATTATGCGCGACCTCACGACTTGCAACGCATCCCAATTCGCCTCTTGCGAGCGTGAATAGAGATTTGACAGGTTGGCAGGTGGTAGCCCTCCAACCCAACTTCGTGTGCAGCCTCGCGATTCGCGATTTGCACGTGCGAAAATGCGACCAGGCTAATGTTGTGCATTCGGTACCAGTGCAAGCTCGCAAGAACATGGATCGAGTCTTTGGAAGCTGTAGCAAGCAGTTTGAGGTATCGTATTTGTGCCTGCCAATTCTCTACCTCGAAACCAAAATGATGCATTGACTTGGTTGGTTCCCAGAGGCAGGGTTCGTAGACGCCGAGACGATTCCGGGGGCGAAATCTGGCCGGTATACGGGAATAGGGAGGACTAGAGATGATGTCGTCGAGTTCTTTCTGCGAGATACGTAGGTATCAAGCTCGTCCATGATCTGCACTTGTGTTAACTCTGATCAATACGATGATACACGAAGATATGCAATACGTACTGTACGCACGCGATGTCGCACACCAGATGCCCAGCGATAGAAGCGATGTCGTTGGCGGGCGGAGTCTGAGGACGAAAGACATTTTTTGTTTGCTAGGCAAGGCATCAAACAGTGTCGAATCCAGATGTTCTTGCCACCACCAACAGTAGCGGAAAACTTCTCAATTCTTCGAAAACCCGCTCTGCTCGAAGTAGGCTACTTGCAAGACCTTTACAACCAGCGCTTGCGGTCGCGTTGGGCAGCAGCTGTGGTTCGAACTCTCACTCTCGCTCTCGACGGAAGTGTAGGAGACACGTATCAAGAACATAAAGCAATTCTTTCTTCCTCTACAGGTAAAGCCAAGCCCACACTTTCCACTACTCCCGCCCCCGCCCCTGCCCCAAAATCAAAGAACGAAATATATACGAAATATCTCAATCCAATGCCAAAAAACTAGGCCTAGCAATAAATAGAACATTAATATTCAAACAATTAAAAGTCAATCCACCACACCAACCCATACTGGTATGGCAGAACTATCTAGGAACCGCACGCACGCACGCCTCGCTCATCTCATACATACAAATAAAGAAAGCACATGTTTCATGCAGATCACTCTAAAAGTCTATTTCTCAGCCGCCCTACCCACTTTCATGCCCGACTCCCCTTGCTATCGCTCTCCATTTCATCGTTCGGCTGGTCGTGCCGTGAGTACATCTTGTACTCGATACTATCCTTGAAGCTCGTCTTGCCGCTCTCGACTTCCTTGCGTGTGGCGGTGAGTTTGGATTTTGGGAGGCCCATGGATTCGAGGAATGCAACGGCTGTTGTATCTGTTAGTGTGATGAACTTTTTTAGAGGGGTGGGATATCTTACAATCTTTCCATTCGACCTCCTTTCTCTTGCTATCCCACTTCAACTCTCCAGCCATGATGTCAATAACCTTAGGTAACGCCTCCAACGCAACCTGTGCGTTCAAAAATGCAAGACGGGTCCGGCGTGCAATGACATCGACAGCTGTCTGCGCGTACTCGTGTCTAACAGCATATCTGACCTCGCCATCAATGAATGGGTAAAGCGGGCTGATCCTCTCTCCACGCACAGGATAACGCTGTTCAGTTGGACTGCTCAACGCAGCGACAGTCCACGCTCTATCACCATACGATTCAGTCAAATGCTTCGCAACATCTGTCTCGAGTCCAAAATGTTGGATCAAGTTGATGAACAGCGTCTTGCTGAAGCCGTGCGCGCCAACAAGCTTAACTTGGTGCGTTTGACATGTGCCATCGAGACGTGCCCCGTCGTTAACCATTTCGGTTCCGGAGACATCGGGGGCGTTAGGGAAGGGCGCTGGCTTGAGCGCGAATTCCTTGATGGCCTCGTCGACGCACTCTTCGGCCATTTGACGGTACGTTGTCCATTTTCCTCCTGCACAGGTGAGGAGGCCTGCTGGAGAAACGTTTATGAGATGGTTGCGAACAAGAGATTCGGTATTCTTCGCGTTGGGATCCTTGACGAGGGGACGGATGCCGGACCATGCTGCGAGGACGTCGCCGCGGCGGACGTTGATGTCGGGTGAAAGGTAGCGTCTGATTTCAGACAGGATCCAGTCAATTTCGGTTTCCTGAGGGATAGGGTTCGCGGAAATATTACAGGGTGCGTCGGTTGTACCGGCGATGGTGTTGCCTTGCCATGGCAGGAAGAAGATTACTCTTCCGTCAGAGGTTTTGGGGTCAATGAGGCCCATCTTTTGAGGACTGTAGTACCCTGGCAGGACGATGTGGACTCCGGAACTGGGGGCAACGATTTCCTTGACTTCATCGTCATCCATTTTTCGGATTGAGTCTGTGAAAGGTCCAGTGGCATTGATGATACCCCTTGCCCGGATGACGAATTCTTCGGCCTTCTTTCCGTTCTTCTCTGCAACAATATCTTTGACACGGGCCCCACAAAGCTTTCCGGATGCATCTTTTTCTAAACCGGTGACTTCGATGTGATTGACAACGGTAGAGCCGTACAAGGCAGCCGTCATGGCCAGTGACACATTCATTCTCGAATCATTGTGAGCTCCATCGTAATAAACTAGAGCTCCAACCAAGTTCGTCCGCTTCAGCATAGGGAAGGCATCCAAAGCTTTGCTCTTGGTAAGAAAGTAGGAACTTTCAATGCCCTCCGATCCGGCCAAAAAATCGTAAGCCTTTGTGCCAATCCAGTAATATGGAGCTTTCCACCACTTATCCAATGGCAGCATGATAGGAAGCCAACTCGACAAATGCGGCGCCGTTTCCAAGAAGAATTTCCGTTCCCTCAATGCCTCCTTGACAAGCGCGTATTGGTTGTAATCCATCTCGAAAAACGCCTTCTCTAGATATCGCACACCACCATGTACCAGTTTTGTACTCTTGCTACTTGTCCCACTCGCAAAGTCGTCCCTCTCCACAACCGCGACCTTCAGCCCTCTCGTTGCAGCGTCGAGGGCGACACCCGCACCGGTAGCTCCAGCTCCAATAATTAACAAATCATACACATCATCCTCATTCGGCGGAGCAGTTGCAGAGCTCCCTTCGGCGCTGTTGCCAGCAAGCAGTCCCGAACCACCACTGCGCTTCAAATCCGCAATCTGATCATCTCTTGTCTTGACTTTCGGGAATCGTGGGGGGCGGAAACCGCCTTCGGCGCCGTAGCCAGGGGGAGGTACGGTTGCGGGGTTTGATCCGGGGATATTGAGGGGTCGGTAGGCATAGTAGAGGGAGCCACCACCGATCAGCGCAGCTCCCGAGGTGTAGAGGAGGGGCTTTGCGAGGCGCTGTCGGAATGCCATATTGTGTTGAGAGATGAGGGAGGAGGAGGAGGAGGAGAACGAGAAGAACGAGGAGGAAAAAGCGTGAAGAAGATGAAGAGGAAAAGGGATAGAAAAGGATGTAGGTCACGATGGAGCTCGGAGGCTTGGTCTGGGCCACAGAGCTAGCAAGGTAGACCACCAACCCGCTTTTGACGATACTGCCAAGGTAGGAAAGCCGATCACAGTTTTATAAGACAAAGCAATTGATATTCAGGGCATGTACGGTAGGTAGATTCGGTTGAGTTGTGGTACAGAGGAAGCTGAAGCTGAAACTCGTACAGTACTGCGCAATTGGAGGTAGAGTAGGTGGATTGGTGGGCAAAAGAGATGGTGTTTTAGGATGGAGAGAGGATGCAATTGTTTGTTCTGTAAATAACCCAGGGCTCTACTGTATCGAATCCAGCCTACCCAGATTTTCCGCCAATCATGCAGCCGGGCTGAACATAGGCTGTCGGCAATCCTGCCTCGGGAAACCTTCCCCGGAGACTACGTAGGTACCCCTATGAAATCATCGCAAGAAATCTTCAATTTCTGCATTTCTTTCCCTGATTCACAGCGCGCTCTCTCTCCTTTTCTCTTTCTCCTTCTCTTTCTTTCTCTCTTTCTCTCTTCAGACCTTACTAAGACTAAGGATACTTATCACGTGCATCTTAACGCGTTCATCACTTCAGTCGCGTCTCTACTTATATGTCCTTTAAAAGCTGGTCCCTTGCAGTATTGCAGTGATTTGCCACCAACAGAAGATTCGCCCAAGTATGAAGGATTCCTCTATCAATAATCATGCACAGGAGCGATGAACTGCAGTGAGATTAAGGAAACCCTTTCTAGTTTCGACCGAACGCTGTGTTCTATGCTTGCTGCTGCTAGTTCTGATTTGTCCATTTCATTCATGGTAGTAGCAAGAAACTTGATCGTGGCTTCATATATCGGAGACCTGATCTTGCCGTCTGATCCCCTGTGATCACTTCTGCTACATCTACGTTCCATTATCTTTCTACTTTATTGGCTCTTGAATCTTTAACATGCGAGTCATTGCGCTGCTTCTAGCTTTAAGTCTGTTGTAATTCTGATCATTGCTTTATCTTTTGCAAAATGGTCAGCGGAAAAGCATACGACAATTGATGGGTTGAGCTACGGGTACGGGTGATGGATGGTGAGGGCGCAGAAGAGGGCATTGGGATGCGCGTAAATCTTTTAGCTCGAATATGAATGGTGAGTAGAATTCTGCGAGAGTTCTACAGAACGAAGTGATGACGCGGTGAAGAATCACAGTTGTTTCTACGAGATCTTAGCATTATGGTCAATTCGGTATATATCGTCAAAGCCAGGTCTTTTCGTTTACCTGCCTCAAGCTCTACAAATTTGTAATTGCAAAAACTAGGCCGGGACAAATTCAAGCTTGTAATACTTACCTTCTAGTTTTCATGCCTTCACTTCCTCACTCCAGACCAATTCTTCTGTATCAGTGTTAGATATTTCAGGCCGCTTCACTCTCACTGGAGTAAACGGCACCTTTCAAGCCGCCGAAAATACAGCAATCGAACCCCCGCACCCCCGTTCAAGCAATATCATTCATTGCAACAGCGCAGGTATGCTCTGTGATTCAGAAATGCCGCTGTTTTCGTAGCCCCTACAACGACTATAACTGCATCCATTTCAACATCTATATCTACACTTATTCCAAGTTCCCCAACTACCGCGTCGCATTCCTCTGATGATTTTTTTCAACTCGTAGTACCTATATCATGACATTGCTTCTAGAGTCATGGCAGGCCTGTTACTCCGTATTCGCCGCTTCCTTGAGATCCTTCATCATATACTGTACCGGCATCTACATCCATCGCAACGGACGTCGGAATATCCTCAGGGGAAGCTAGCACCCCTTACACCAGTGGAACAAGTTTCGACTACCGTCATTCGGGGCTCCTCTGTGCCGAATCCGGTTTACACTGCCCGTATTCACAAATTTTATGTTGCCCGTGCAGAAGTGAAGGCTGGGGAAATGCATATGCGGTAAAGACACGAGGCTTCTGCGGGCCGCGGAGTTAAGAGTATTGGGTATACATCGTACAGAGTAGGCCGGTACCCTTGCGACATCCGAGATCAATCTCGAAATTGTGGTTCGAGAGCGCTGGAATCGTTGTATAGGACAACGCCCGGAACTAGGATATCGGGGAGCACAGGGACGTGTATCTCAATTTCGGTACTTGGACATAAGAAATAGTTGAAGCTATTCAGGTTAGCACTGAACATTTCAGGATAATCAATCAACCTGTACAGTCTCTTCATGGAACACCAGGGAAGTAAGTACTGTATTGCCTATCCTGTACCATCCATCGCTCGTTGTCGGTCTAGACACCGAATTCAGCAACATAAAAAGACCTGGACCTTGAAGTAATCTATCCTACTTGCTTGTGAAGACGAGTGCAAATGTTTATACCTCTTTTATAATATGTATTTATACTCTTTGGAATTTTTCGCCGAGTATGAATCATTCTAATATTTTAAGGAATTGTGCCTCGTCCTCCAACGACTATGCTACCTCGATGGAGAATACGTACACATCTTCACCCTCATTTTCCTGACCTTTGATGTGATCACGTGCAATGTGGGGTACCCACCCCTCTAAGATCGTCATCGAAATATTTCAGTTGGAGAACCGAGCTTAGCTGTCAATTGCCGCTCCATACGTGTATCCAACGGTTGTTTATTTAAGCATTTGCAGTGGAGTGCACGCGGTAAACAGGATGTTCCGGGTTCTCCGAGTAGAGTGGTGAGGCCGTGACTCGTGAGGAGCTTTTTCACTTCGGCTTTAGGTATTTGTGTCCGTTGATATCTCCGATCTGCATATTTCACTGTCTAGGCGGGGTTACCATCGTTATAGTGAAGTCATAGCAACACATAGCACCAGAAAGTATAAGGTAGTGAGTGACTTGGTCTGCCGCTCTGAATTTATTAGTTGGCTAGGTATAAATATATATATATAAAGCCTCCTCCGCTGCTTCACTGTCCCTCCCCTTGCTTTGACTCAAACCTACATCCTACCATCAAATTCGCTCCACCTGTCACTAAACAACAACCATGGCTCCACAACTCCCAACCCGCAAGCTGGGCAAGAATGGTCCCCAAGTCGTCGCCGAAGGTTTCGGTCTCATGGGTCTCTCTGCCTTCTACGGCAAGCCCGAGGCTGACGAAGAGCGCTTCAAGGTCCTCGACCGTGCCCTGGAACTCGGACAGACGAACTGGGACTCTGCAGACATGTACATGGACTCGGAGGATTTGCTGGGGAAGTGGTTCAAGCGGACCGGCAAGCGTGATCAGATCTTCCTCGCGACGAAATTTGCCAACAAGAACGTCGGCGGCGCGTTCACCGTCGACAGTTCCCCGGAATACGCAAAGCAGGCGTGTGCTACGAGTCTGAAGAGACTGGGCGTGGAGCAGATTGATTTGTATTATTGCCACCGCGTGCAGCATGAGGTTCCGATTGAGAAGACCGTACAGGCTATGGTTGAGCTGAAGAAGTATACTTCTCCTCTGTCGCGTATTTGCCTGCGTTTTAGCTGACAGTTTCCAGCGAGGGGAAGATCAAGTACCTTGGTCTTAGTGAGGTTTCATCCGAAACCCTGCGCCGTGCCTGCAAAGTTCACCACATCGATGCGGTCCAGATTGAGTACTCCCCATTCGCCCTTGATATCGAGCACCCATCTGTCCAGCTCCTCAAGACGTGTCGGGAACTCGGCGTCGCAATCGTGGCTTACTCTCCCCTTGGACGGTTCGTCACTAAATACCCTGCTGTATGACTATCATAGAAATACCCACTAACACCCCATAGTGGCTTCCTGACAGGCGCCTATCGCTCACCCGCCGACTTCGAAGAAGGCGATTTCCGCACCTTCGCGCCCCGTTTCTCCGCTGAGAACTTCCCCAAGAACCTGAAGCTCGTGGACGGGATTTCCGCCATTGCCAAAAAGAAGAACTGCACGCCCGGCCAGCTCACGCTCGCTTGGTTGCTAGCGCAGGGTGATGATATTATCCCTATTCCCGGCACGAAGAAGATCAAGTATCTGGAGGAGAATTTGGGTGCTTTGAATGTGAAGTTGAGTGAGAGTGAAGAGAAGGAGTTTCGGGCTGAGGTGGAGAAGGCGGAGGTGCATGGGACCAGGTATCCGGAGATGATGATGGCGGGGCTGTTCGCTGATACGGTACCATTGGATGGTTAAGACGTCTTGAGGGGAAATTCAAGACCGGGAAAGCATCACTAAGATCACAGAATGTCAAATAAGCAAGCAAGTGAAAAGTATTTCCATATAAGCAAACATTATGTCAATTGATTCAAAGAGTGCTTAGTTTACATGCGGCACAACCTTTCTTGCCTGATTAATAACATCCATCCATCCATTCAATCCACTAATGCAGCAATTATTATATCTCAATATCTCATCCAAGAATAGAATACAAAACATCATCTCGACAGGTACAGATTAAGGAAATCCATTTCTACACATCTTTCTCGCTTTCTTCAGTAAAAACAACTTCTCCTACCCCACCAGTGCAAGATCACTTGAGTGGAGTTCAGATGGGTCAATGATCGAAGCGGCAAAGGCTTAGTTTGAGGTCCCAGTACCGGGGGCTGAAGCACTGCCGAGGACGCCAAGGGTGACAGGTAGTGCGATCTGGATGTTGGATCCGGATTCAGACTTGCAGACTTGGTTCTATTGCAGCATCAGTTTCATCTCCCATACTCTTCTTCAACACCGCCTTCAAAGAACCCAAGCCAAGCCAAGCCAATCCAATCCAATCCAAGCTGACAGAAAGAAGAGGGAAGGAACGCAAGGGAAAACAGAAACTTACACCAGGTCCAGTGTTCGAGCAGCAGACAGTAGTCTGACTACACGGCCCATCGCCAATAAGCGACACGGCACAAGTCAACGCGCTCCTGAGATCCAAGACCTCACCGACGCCATCGAGCGCACCACCGCCTAGGAGTCCGCCGAGCAGTCCGCCGAGGATACCGGAGGATGAGGAGGAGGCCGCGGAGTCTTGGCCCGGGACGTTGGCGCCGGAGCCCCCGGTGGGGTTGCAGCACACCTGGGAGGCTTGGGGGCAGTTGATCTGTGTTGTGAATGTTGTTAGTTGGGAGGTGAGGTAAGGTAAGGACTGGATATCGATGTGGTAGTGGGAGTGGGAGTAGGAGTGGAGTGAAGGTAGTTATCTGGCGGAAGGGAAGAGAAGAGATGGAAGGGGAGGGATGGGATAAGGGGAAGAACATACGGAGCCGACAGCAGCCGGGGGTGCGCTTCCACCTGCAGCACCGCCGCTAGGAGGGCTGCTGGCACCGCTGCTGGCACTGCTGCTCTGGGCAGCAGGGGCGGAGTGGACTGGAGTGGAGTAAGCCTGGGGCTGTCCAGGAGCAGCGGAGACTCCGAGGAAAGCAAAGGCCGAGAGGGCGAAGGCGGAAGTGAAAAGCATTTTGGCGGGTGGTTGATTTTTTATTATAATGAATGAAGAAGATGGAAGGATTGTTGTAAGTGAAAGAGTGAGTGAGTTGCTAAAGAGAATGAATTGAGATGATGAGATGAGAATGCTGGTTATTGATGAGGATGGAGAGATTGATTGAAGGTTCTAACTTGTTTGTCTTATAGTCAATGAAAGGTCTCTCAAGTTACCTATGAATACATATTCGGCTCTCATTCTCTCAGTATTGGGAAAGGTAATGCGTTCTGCTCTATTTGCACCGAATTTCATTTGTGTTGCGATGTTCATTCTCGTTTCATTGATCAATATTATGTTCTACGGGTGTGTACCAAAGGACAAAGATACCCAAAACACGTGCGATCTTCTCTTCACGACCGCGAGCATCGGCTCCGATCAGTGTCTTGTCATGTGGGGCGGAGGACTAGAGTTGGTATGGAGTTATATGATGCTACCACGGAATACCGCATTGCCAATTGCCTTGCACAAGTATGGGAATTCTTCTTTTGTATGAGTGATGATCTTGGGATTGCCAGGGTAGGAGTAGTTGACTATGGGCACTACGAGCTTGATTATATTTGGGCAGAAGATGTCCTGTTCACTTCGGCGGTTGATGGGTTTCGACACATTGAGTTTAAAGAGTATGAGTTTCAGTTGCCGGTGCTAAGATTGACCCGAGCACAGATTCCTCTCTCCTCCCCTTTCAAAAAACAGGAAGCAACCCTAGGGGTCACCAAACCTCATACTTAATTCTCACCTCTTACAAATCACCTGAACTTCATTCAGCGGACCCAATACTCTCGGTCTCGATTCGTGGGTGTAGTATAAGTTAAATATGTAACTAACCGTAATTCCGACTAGATGGTTCATGCTGTGTAAAGTGGACTCGTTGATCTAAGTTGAATTGGGAATATGGGGATGAAGCTAGCCGTATCACCGTCCGCCGTACAGCATCTCGAGCTGGCGATAGTCTGGTCCGAGTTGTGCTACCTACTGCTGTCTTACATGTAAACAAACGCCACAGCAACTTTGTGCACGGAAAGCTGTGTGGTGAATGAAGAGAGTAAATGGGATTGGTAGAAGTTGAAGTTAGTAGCTATTAGTGGTATCGAAGACGATATGTAAGGGGTCGCCACGGAGTCATCCGAGAGTACTAGGGCTATAGACTGGTAACACTTGACTTGAATTGCTTGTATCAGCTCAGCATTCACACGTAAGCTTGTTACTAAATTATCTGCGTATTTGTGATAGATAACCTGGGGCGTCCCATATGACATAAGTGGAATGCTGTGATCCCAAAATGCAATGCTTGACAAGCTGGGCATGTACGTCATGTTCCAGCCACCGGTCCTAAGTGTGTTCGAAGGATATTATGATTTGTACAGCTCCCCTCTACTTACCATCCACCCTTCAGGCTGCTATAGATGGATCATCGCTCTCATCGGATGTTCTGTACGCCTTCTTCAGCTAGCTGACTAAACTACAGTTTGTGACCAGTTCCTCAGCTACAAAGGCCCTAAAAATAGGAAAGGTTTCAATGTAGATTAGTATCCTAAAATAGCAGCTAGGCTAATTCTGAAACCTTTGCACTCGCGGTTGTCAGGCGATAGCTGCGAATGTCGTGCTCTGCCTGGCTGACTACTGAATTCGGCTTTCCCCTTACAAAACTAGGATTGGAATAACTATTTATGTTAAAGTTCGCTACGCTAATTATAACGGACTTTGGGCTTACCGTAATTCAGCACACATACTAATATTGATCAACCCAACCTAAAGGGATGTCCATTGAGCACAGTCCTGTCAGAATTGTGTCAAAGCCAAGGCGAAGTGCTATAGCCATACTGATGGCACTTGTGAGAGGTATATCCACTCCGCTTCTTGCCCGAGCATGGCATGCCACCTGACTTCTACTGATTATTGTTGTAGATGCAATCGCATGCGCAGAGAGTGCGTGATGCAAGTTCCTATTGTGCGGGGGAAAAAATAAGGGGGTAATAGCTCACGTGCCGTGTAACAACCACCCTCCTAATCAGCGTATAGAATTCCTGATTAGTATTAATGGTATATTTTCCTTATGTCCCACATTAGGATTTAGAAAGGGTACTAAATTTAACGTATAGTTTCATTTTATACTGCTTTTAGTATATTAAAAATTGCAATTAGTGTGAAACAGGTCAAAATTTGCTTGCGGTACTTAAAAGTTAATTCTATTAAAAGTCGACTACACTAGGACTTTAACCAAGTAAATTAATTACTTTCGAGTTAAGCAATTGATGGTGATAGTCGCAATATGTTCAAGTCCTATTATAAACTCTTGCCCTAGATTTCCGCAGCCCTATTCAATCACGAGGTGTATTAATTGCTCCTTCACACGTGTATTAGACCAACAGCAACAAGCAAGATAATGTAGTTCGCCTCATTCCAGATGTCATATGAGCAGATTGTTTCACTGCAGTAGCCATCCCGAGAACATATCCTTGATACTGATTCTGTTGAGCAACCTGTGTATGACATGGAACATAGTCCCACGTGGTGCCTTCATTTACCATTTTTCTAGCTCTATGTTTGCGGGCAAGATCAACTTTGCATTATGCGAGTCATAAATCTTACGAGAATCCTTGAACTCGAAGGATCTTGTCCCCGGCTTTTAGGATCAGTTCGTGTAGAGACTTTGCAATAGTAACAATCAAATATACAAAATCCGCGTAAAGCCTGACCTAGTATAGAAAGCTTCTACAGGAAATATAGAAAAAATGGCAATATTTTTGAAGATTGATAAAGAAAGGCAACGAAAGTGCAAAGTGCTCCGGCTTTCGGAAGGTCACCCCGCCCCCCCCTTTCCATTCATGCAGCAAGCGAAGGCCTCCAAACTTACAAACCCTCTTAGCTGCGTTGACCTTCTAAGACCTGGATGTACTTATACGTTGATGAGATAGTAAAGGAGTCGTCAAAGCTAATCCTAAAACGCCGTTGCGGACTTCAAATATTTCAAGTGCTTTTGGGCTCACACTGCGCAAACTTCTGCGGCACCAGTCCGTGATCCTATTTGCAATGCAGACCCTCAAAAGTCAATGTAGATCGTGTATTCAGCAATGGTTAATATCACCGGCTATGTAGGACTTACTTTCTTTTGCATCCTATCTCGGAGCGTCTGTCATGCAAGGATTTTCATTGAAAGACAATTCGCAAACCAATTCGGTCTAGAGCCTGCAAAGCGCATGAACTCTGGAGTAGGACTGACTTTGAACATTCTATAATAACCAGCTACAACCCACTGCACCTTTGACAAAGTTTAAATATTTGCGTCATACCATCGCTTCAACGAACATACTTGAGGGTTGAGAGATAGCATACAATGTCATATACATGCTACGTTATTAACACTAGTAAGCTCATGTACCTTTTACACGTATAATACAACGGTGTTAATACAGTTGCTCTTCAAAAACTAAACCGACGTAAGGAACAAGCTATATTCTTCAGCAAACTCCCATGCGAAGCTCCGATCTGCTGCCTTCGATAACGCCCGCTCTTGGGGAGAGAGCTTGCAGCAGGTTAGCTACCATAAGCCCCAGCAATAGAATGCCGGAATGGATTGTCCGAACCTCATTGCCTTTCGTGTTACTACAGGTCTACTTCAGCCATAGTAGTAGGCGAGTCCTATTCGATCAACTCCTGAGTTCATAGAATCTGTGCATCTATGATCACAGACTAGCTCAAGATATACTCTTTTCCATCACCGGTGCAACCAAGAGCCTCTGCTGCCGAAGTCAAATGGAAGTTAACTATAAACTTAGATAAGCCGTCGAAAAACACTACGTAATAGCAATACGATTCGCTAGCTACTAAGAAGCTCGTCTGCACACATAATTCGAGGACTTTAAGAAAGATCGGCAACAAACGACAGAGAGGAACAGACAGACTACTGCGTGTCATTGACGGGTATAGGAGGCATGGTTTTAAGCCATGAGTAATTAGTGCGCAAAGGAGAACAGACAAGTGAGTCCTAAACAACAAAGGTAGCCTTTCAGCTTATATCACATTTGATTGAGCTTACGCACGGTGTAAGAGAGTCTGAGTTTGTGCGATGTATTATCTCGCGGAAACAGTGATCACTGTGCACCGATGGCGTCTTATAGCTCTTGGTCTTGGTGTCTTTTTTGTTTATTGCAGTACATCAAGTTCTTCATCATCTTCACCGTCTCTCGTGAACTTCATACTGAAACAAATTCTTTATCTTTCTCCCCCAGCTTCAAATTCAACCTTTTCAAAGAAGTGTTCATTCTATGTGTTCTGAACAAATTTCATAATAGAGTATGAAAGCATCAAGTGATTGCCGATTTATGCACTTGAAGCTAGGCTGAGTTCATAATGCTATTGCAAGTGACTACTTGTGCAAGATATCTTTTATTTTACTCGTTTCTAAGTAGCTTTATGCAATGAATAAAATTTGCAGATGGCTGAAACTAACATAAAAAAATCTTCAAAGGGACAAGGGCTCCAAGGTTACTTTCTCACTGATACTTTCCTCTATAGGACTTACTACAGCAGGCACTCCTTCGCCTCAAAGCTTTGCATAAGAGAGGAGAGCATTGTCATGACTATTTTGGGAAGTTGGTCCCTGTCACGGAAGTTTCCCAATTAATTACTCTTCATTTCGAGTTCCCCGTTTTGCCTATGAGTAATATATCGGTGGCTAGTCTCATTTCACCACCGTCTCATTGATTCGTTGCTTCGGTTGCAGACTTTCACCTCGCTACCATTGCCAAGTGCAAATGGCGGTTAGAGCTGGCCCCCACGTGGTATCGTAGGAACGGCTTCATATTGCTTTGCATTGGAAAGAAATTTCACCTTGCAGTTACGAACTTACGACAGGTAGAATTTTTTGCACCTCCGCTGTTCAGACCGCTGCTTGCATCCAAACACCACCCAGGTATGCCGGAAAGCGTTCACCATCTCATCAAGCTGAATTCTCAAATTTCAGCTGTCTCGTATGCCGTGTATTGAGGTTATTGATCCACGTTGAAGATCGGCACTGCACTTTTGCGTGGTCAAATTGTGGAGACGCCATGGCCAGATTTTCAGTTCAGACAGTTCAGCCTAGACTCCACACATTCGGATGCACGCGTTCCTACCAGTAGCTTTGGTCGCCATCGGGATTGATACTCTGAAATAGATCCTCAATGCAGATCCTAGTGAGTTTACTACGTGCCCGTGACTACTATGTACTTACCCTGGCAGCCCAGGCCAGCCCGCTTTCATGCCGTTGCACTCGACTTTTCGTCCGTTCTTAACCCCGTATTGTGTTGTCAATGAATACTCTATTAGGCAGTCCGAACAGGAATGTGGTAGACACGGCAGAGCAGGAAGACGCCGATGCAGCCATAGAGTACTAGGGCGGAAGAACTTGCAAACCCGATGGCGTCTGCAGGTAAATTCCAAGCAACCTGCTGATGGGCCTCCTGACGTCGTTGGCGTCCTCAAGGGGCGTTCGTATTTGCGAGGTCGGTGATGTTTTTTCCATCCAGCGATAGGTTCTATTCCCTGCGGCGAAAGAAGTCGAGCTTCCAGGTTTTTATAGTAATGATTTACGGTGATGATTAAGTGATCCTTTAGAACTGAATACTGCTCTTGGCCTTTTCATTGGGCGAATAGGACGTAAAAATGTACCTTTGAAACCCAAAGTGGGAACCAAAATCCGTTTCGGCCATACGGAGCATGCCGTGTCAAGGGCGCCGAATCCGGAACACCTTGTAGCTCGGTAATGCAGGCCACCGGAATGCGGGACTACCGGGTGGAAAGAAGTCAACATCATTCGGTACTATGTAACCCGAAAGATCGTTGCAGCACATCCGTTAGCGTTGAAGAGAGCGCTTAGAGATTCTCTAGAGGCTAGGAGTCTTACTTTACCATATGGAGGTAGGCCGAAAAGTATGATCACCAGGGGCCGCCTATTCTTAAGGTACTACTACTGTATTGATTGGCTGCAGCCTCATTAACCGTAAACACTACTATTATATGTCCCTGTATTAATCCCTGGTCAGCGCATCTCTAAGCTGTACCCCCGTAGACTTCTATAATGTCGCCATGTTCCATTGCAGGGTCGTATTAAATGTTTACGGAATTTAAAACTTAGAATAGGTAACGCGGGCGTACGGAGTAGAAAACACCCCAAGCAAGCTTCATTCCATCATGACTAGGATCTTCCCCGCAATCCTGAAGGCCGGGGAGTCTACGCCTATGAATAGACCCCTGCATCAGGTTGCAGTTTACTATTATGTCGCATATATTACTTTTTCGTCATTCTGACTAACAAGACAATTGCCTTAGTATTTTATTATCCTTTCCGATCGGTACACTCATGACATCCTTCCTACAGGCTGGGCAAGCCACAAAGTTCAATTGAAAAAGTTCTGATAGGCTCACTTGGACAATCAAAAGGTAAATTAGTGAACGATTTCATTAATTAACATACAGCGCTTATAATTCAAAGAATAGATCGCCGTAGTCCATGCTGAAGAAACAGACCCAAGAACAGAGCGGAACCCGTTTTTACCATATGACCAATCAGAACAGATACTTTTGGTGATATAATGCTTTCCAAATTTGAATGAAGGACTAAGAGAATATTTCTGGAGACCTAAAAAGATCTGAAGGATTAAACTCGAGCTCTAACGCACTAGAAAGGACGTATTTTCAATATTGCTCCATAAAGTAGATTTCTCGGATGTGAATAAAAAGCAACATTTTTAAGATAGCAATAGAGGTCGTCAGTCAAAACAAATGATTTTGACTCACTTCTTTGATTCATGTTTGGTTCTAGACTACTAGTCATAGTGGTGCTATGATTTATATCGTACGTTGTGTCTTAGTCGCCACGCCTGCTGTGTAGTACAACTATATCAAGCTTTTTGTAGCGCGTTTTTCTTCATCATGATTGACTTTTCGAATACCTGTTTCGATCGAAATAGTTCCTGACTAGTAGGCTCCCTCGCCATGCACGGTTCAAGTAACTATGCAGCACCATGAGAGCTATTTATGATCCTCGGTTCCTAAACAGGAAAGAGTTAGAGGGCTAAATCTTGCATATGCAATGGAACGTCGAGGAAGTAGGGTCAACTTCAGGAAAGGAAGATATTCAGAGGAAAGAAAAAGCCAAGTCATAGCTACGTTGAAGCGGAGACATGGATTTGATGACGGCTGTACAAAAACTTTTAGGGCGTGGTGGCGTGGCTGAAACAAGAGCTGGTGGGCTGGGCGTAGGACGCGTGGCAATAACATGTTGTCCGCGGGGTAACTCTAGTAATGAATTCATCGCTCAATCCACTATCCACAACGTTATGAAGTAACACGTTTGTTGTTTGGTAGGACATAGAGCTTTGGAGCAGTGGTACTCACAGCTTCGGGGATCAATCCATGACGATGACGATAGCTGTGAAGTATTTTTATATCACAGAAGGGGGGCTGCTTAATCACATCAAATCATAATGCAATTCCTCTGAAGCGTCGTGTACATGAGCAATGAATCTGATCAATTGTTTCTAGATTTTCTAAGATGCGGGATTACAGTGAAGTCAAGAGCAGAAAAGTCCTCGCGGTCACATGGAAGCGCAATATAAACCTTCTGAACGCCTTGTCATTTTTAAAGGATAGAAAATTTTATTGTCCCTTGGACGAGCCATGAACCCCAAGGGAAATGAGTACAAAGTAATGATGCTTATTCTGCTAGAGTCGCGCGCTCATCAATGTCGTCCTGGTTAGCATAAGAACTGTAGTACAGTTTATGGAATGCCGAGGAAGTGTTCGAAAGTAGTTCGTGAGGACGATCGAACTCGACAAGAACGCCTTCATCAAGAAGGGCGATTTTGTCAAAATCAAGTATCGTATCAAGTTTGTGCGCTACAGCAATGATAGTGTGACTGGCGAATCGCTCCCGGATGACACGTTGCATTACTTCGTCCGTATTGGCATCGACACTGCAAAGTTGATGTGAGTGAGGTCATGTACCAAGAAGTTAATGCCTGAAACTAACCTGCTTGTTGCTTCATCTAGTATCAGAATTGTACTTGGACGCAGCATTGCTCGTGCGAGACAGAACAACTGCTTTTGGCCGTGTGACAAGAATATCTTCTCGATGTCCGTATCAAGTCCACCTTTTGCTTTAATGTTGTCCCATAGTTGAACACTTTTGAGTGCACCAATGATCTCAGAATCTGTAGTCGCATGTTTCGGGTCTGCATTCAGCCTTATGCTGCCGCTGAGAAGGTAGGAATCCTGAGGGACACCGATGATCCTGGAGCGTATTTCTTCCCTTGGAACTTTTCCGATGTCTATCCCATCGATTGTGATATTTCCTCCGATATGATCAATCATCTGAAATATGCTGAGAATTAAAGACGTTTTGCCACTGTCAGTGAATTCATTTAGCATAAAAATCCCAAAGTAGGAGGTTTGAATCCGTTACCTTCCTGTTCTGCCGCAAACTCCAATCTTTTGTCCAGCTTCAATAGAAAGTGACACATTGTTCAGTACTGGCTCGCCAGGCCTAGATGGAGGTTAGAGACGTATGCTGGGTAGAGTGGGGCCGAACGCCTACTTGTATTCTGCGGTGAGATTCTGAAATTTGATGGCTCCCCGCGCAGGCCATGACGGAGGAGGAGTATCTTTTTCTCCTGGCAAACTCTCTGCTAATGTAGTAGCAGTAAACTCTTTGATCCTCGCAATGCTACCAATGTGTGTCTCCAGATTTGTCCAGAAGGTCAGCAGCATCTTTATACTCTGACTAAACAGGAGCACGTTCAAAAGAGCAACGCCGACGAAGCCTGGGCTCATTATTCCCCGAAGTTGTGTAACTAGAACAATAAGTAGGACGGCGATAGCAGCTACAACCAAGTCCAACACCAGTGTCAACCATCGCTGTACTGCAAAAAGAAGATAGAAAGGCTTTTGGGACTCGTCCAGGAGTTTCCGGTTTTTATCTTCCAGCGCTTGCTGCCAGCCAAATGCGCGGACGGTCGCAAGACCACTCAAACATTCCATAAATTGTGAATAGAGGGGTGACTTGGCCTCGAGGTCCAAAAATCGAAGCTGTCTTGAGGTTCGCAGGTAGAACTTTTGAATGAAGAACACAGCAGTTAGGACGATCGGGAAGGAGATTGCAGCGTAAATCGATGCGACACCAATTAATATCATTTGTGCAATACAGAGGACGAAGGCTGCCATACGGACATCATTAGTCTCCAAATAATACAAGCAGAGAGATAATGGACGACGCTAGGTGCCATACTTGCAAATGTATTCAAAGCAGCAAGGGGCAGCTCCATGTCAATGAGCATTAGATCTTGACTAAATCGATTTATAGTGATGCCAGTGTCAGTCGTCGAGAAGAAAGACATAGGAGCGCTGTCCGGAAGAATGTCATATTAGCAAGGCGTATTACTATTGGGAAATTTCTCTGAGTTCTTACCCAAGCACTGTTTCTAGTAAGTTTCGGTGAAACCTTTCCCCAGATCGAGGCACCATTGTGATAATCAATTGCCTACGAAATGTTTTCAATCAGAATACGATTAGGATAGAGAGGGCCCAAGTATTGACTTACCAACAGCTAACGATAAGAGATATCATGGCTAATCCTCCTAGGAGACCATATATCCCTAAATAATACCCGAGCTTCTCGTTGGGGGCTTTGGCATTGGAAGTCGCCCACCACTTGACCCAAATCGATGGGAACGACAAGCAAAAGATGAATGCCGAGATGGCGACCATGAATATGAGAGTGGGTATCCACCCAACGGCCCTTATATAGTATAAGTAAACAGCGACATCCCCCGTGCGCCTGCTGAGATCATCACCTTCAGGCTTCGATATTTGCGGGGAGTCTAGTATACTTTCTTTTGCTTTCTCATCGAACAATTCCCGTGGGGTTTGGGGCTCGTAATCCCATTCGGGTGGTGGTAGAGCGAATGATGAGACATAGCCTTCTGCTGCGTTTAGGTCTTTGAAGGTACCCTGTTCGGAGATTCTCCCGTTGGCCTGCAGGCAGATGATATGGTCTGCATAGGGAATTCGTTTGACTAAAGCAGGCTCAACTTAGAGAGTTGCAATAATTATAGAAAGCTACTTACCAGAAGAAGATGTCATCAGAACTGTACTGCACTGCTTGCGCAATACACCACGACGCCCCAGCAAGCTATGAAACACACGATTCTCGGTTTCGGCATCGAGTCCACTGAGAACGTCATCTAGAATAATCAAGTCTTTTCGAGCATATAGAGCTCTGGCCAGGGCCTGATGAGTATTGTCAGTTTGAATATGCCGAGGTAAGGGGAAAGACTGACAATGCGTTGACTCTGGCCCCCAGATAACGAAATACCTTTGCTTCCAATCGGGGTTTGATCCCCTCGAGATAGCTGGCGGAGATCTTCATCTAAGGCACATGCTTGTATCACTGTAGCATACCAGAGCTCTTCAAGCATAGAAACCCCAATGATACTCTGTTGGATGGTTCCATTCATATGCCATGGAGTTTGGTCACAGAAAGCAATCTCAGTGGAGGAGACATCAATTATGCCTCGCAGCGATGGAATCTCTCCAAGGAGAGCCTTTATCAATGTAGACTTCCCACACCCGACAGGGCCTACCAGCATGGTAAACTTTTCTCGGGGGACCCCATATTTATGGATCGAAGAAGAGGCTCCTTCTCTGCTTCCCATCCGAATTCGGCATCCCGCACAGTAATTGCATCAAAGGAAGAGGGCAGATAGTCTTCAGATGGCGTAATTGTTGGGCTGGAATTTTCTGTGCGTGTGTCTCCTGTCAGCTGAGAAATAGATGAACCATTTCTGATGCAATGGTCGTCTTGATGAACGAGTCGATCAACCTCGGTTGGACGTCGTCTCTTGTCCACACGGACATCAGTGTTCAGAAAGTCTTGGATGCGTTGGAATGAACCAACAGCACCCATAAAAGTTGCCAATGACATTATCAGAGACTGAAGAGGTTCTGCAAGAAGTGTAAATAGCGACAGTGACGTGAAGAGTCTTGCGGTGTCAAGAGATCTGCCGCCGCCATTATCTCGGGAAATTACAGAAAACACTGCGAAAGTAACAATGGGGGCAGCGATAGGGGTAATATAGGCTATGCAAATAATAAGCCTGTGTAGCGAAGCATGGCGACAAGGGAAACCTACTGAATGCCATGTTCCAGATCAAAAGCTTGCGAAATCTTTTGGAGATTCTCAGTTCCTCTCGTCTAAGATCCTGAATCGTGGTGAATAGTATGTTAGTGAGACCAGACATTTTTACCCCTTTCATTGCGCTAAGCATTGCGGTTGTTGCTGTGATTCGTCTCTCGATGGCTTCGAGCCACATTGCTTGACGAGACATGACCAGCCCAGTGGCAACTATCGACCCCGCCATGGATACTGGTTGCAATCCCCGTCAGTGACCTTTAACATAACTCTAAAAACTTTTGAGACATACTAATGGCAACTGCAATTGGTACAGCACATGCTGCGCCCAATTGTCTTTCTAGCAGATAGATCGCAAGACCAACTTCGATAATGTTCGCCCACAACTCATGCAGAGTCTGCCAGCCAGTTGTAATTCTTTCGATGTCTGCACTCATGAGGATCATAGATGATGCTGGATCTGCAACAGTTATGCTAAGGTCGGCGGTTTTGCTATAGAGCATAGAGATCAAGCTACCTCTAGCCATAGCAATGACTCGATATGTGAGGTGTTGGGATTGACCCATGGTTATCTATAACGGACTTGTCAAATAACATGATAAAAGGAGTACAATGAGCGAACAACTTTCGAACAAGCAAGAATCAAATGTTAAGAAGTACACAGCAAGATGCTTGCGATTTCGAGAGGGGAAGACGAACCGCAATCCCGACGTATACAAGAATGTAAGCCCCAATCAAACCATAACCGGCGTTATTAGTATCTCTGTTGACTGGTTGTTGTGATAAGTCGATTGCACGGTTGAGAAGAAATGGCTGGCTGTAATTGAAGCCTGTCAAAGCGAGGCGAGGGATGACAGCCGACAACAGCGGCCATTTCAACGTGCGTACCGTCACAAAGAACAAGCTATGTCCAGATCGGTTTCCAACTATTTAGTGTTAGATTGTCTATAGATATCGGAAGAATAAGAGCACCTTTGGTCCAGGCTGACTGAAGTAAGTTCTGTAAATATGTAGAAGTAAGGTGTTTGTCGAGCGGGTAGAGGTCATCTAGGCCCAGATTCTTGCGGAAACCTCTCCTGAAGAGCGGATTTAACCACCAAAAAACACCCCGATTGTATATCCCAGCAATCTCTTCAGGTGGGGCATCTTGCAAGCTGGGTTTCAAGATACCTCGTTTCTCGACGGCCTCCAGGACCAGAAGAACTACTTTAACAGCAATAGTCGCTGTAAATAGGCCTGCAATCGTAGTCTCAGTTTGCCCTAGCCAGAACGTCCTGCAACGTGAAATATCAAAGAGTAGAGAGAGGAAGAGATAGCCATTGAGGAGAAGTGACGGTCGAATCGTCTTGATATGTTCGGCGTCTGGGTTAAGCATTGGTCAGCAAACCAGCTAATAAACGCGGTGACTATGATTATACGAATGAGCAAATGAAATACGATTCAAGGAACTTACAAGATAGCAAGGCTAGAGCAATAAACCCAAATAAAGTAATGACTGCAGCAGCAATGGAAGTTTGAGCTTTAGTTGAGCGAGTGATTGCCCAACGAACGGTAAGCGCCAGTGCCAAAGCTCCATATACCAAGTAGCATAGCTATAACAGTGACAGGCAGTTAGCAATGAGAATATAGTCATTGGCATACTTATGTTCGCAAGAACGCACCAGTTTTGAATATAACAACAATCCTCGGCTGCGAACCACCTTTCTTTGTTTATAAAATAGATAGAATATGCGAAAAGGGGCCACGACAAGTATGATAGAAATTGGTATAATGGATAGAATAACTTCCTCAAACAACAATGTGAAGTCGAAGCCCCCACGGCAATCTTTAGTGGCATATGGGCCAAATATTTTATCGATTTGGGAACATGGTGTTGAAAGTTGAAACTCCATAATTTGAAGGTAGTTGTTGTATCAAATGAAATGTTGGCAGAAAGAATAGGTTGTCCGAGAGACCCTTAGATATGGATAACAATGGGTAGGAGCAACAGATGTGTTAAGCATTGTTACTAAGCATTCATTAGTGACGTCTTCAACGAAGCCAGAAACGTCAACGGCAAGATCATACTATGTGGCTTGGGAGCGGATGATGTAAACCCGTGGTCTTTCTGAAGTGAACTTCTTTTTTTATGCCAAGTAGCCTCGAGAATATTTTCCGTGGTGCCCCTTCACGAATGAAAGTTTTGCAACGGCCAACTAGACTAAGCCGAGGAAGATTGCAGTGCCCACGCTTGGCATGATAGAATTGAGAAGAACGCCTGGATTTACAGCTTCCTGCAGGTTAGTCTTCTAGGTCTGGACGCACAAGGGTCTAGAAGGTGTCATTGGACTTTAGGGGGTCCCACATACATGGAAAGCAAAATATGGAGTGGACCCCGGAAACGTCAAATAAAACAGATCGCGGTGCTAATTGAAAAGCAGGGGGGAAAGTCATGCTTAGCTTAAAGACAAGGTATAATGAAAAGAATCTTTAGCCAAGGTCCTTGGCCCAAGGACTTCGAGAGCTGCCTATACGGATATTGATTGGGGGCTAAAAACTACAAATTTGAGAAGCACACTCCTATTGGCTACAGGAACAAGGAAATTTCATGCATAAGTCGACGATATACACGAACTTACATACGTGCAGATCCACGCAAAGAAAATGAGGCTTACTTCTGCTTCGAAGGAACTTTGACCAGCATTGCTCACGAAACAAACAATCATACCTTGCCAGATCTAGCATCTTTCCGTGGATACAGATGCAGTTGGAGATCAAGGATGCAGTTGGAGATCAAGGACAGGGGCGAGAAGCCACTGGCATACGGAGTATCTGAAGCGGAACTCCCGTATTGGCAAGCCGCCGGTGTAGACACCTAGTCGCAACTCAAAAGGAGCAAGATCGACAGTAGCGGGGAGGAGGCCGTATGGCCCGATGGTGGCGTCCTGTATAAGGGTGTCATGACCATAGCAGGGATCGGGTGGACGTGGCGTGGTGTTGGTGGAGGCAGTAGCAGACGAGTTACGGCTGAAAAGCATCATTTATCAGTCATTAGTAGTAGGCATTAGTAGATAGTTATAGTGTAGTAGTAGCTGTCATCGGAGATTTAAAAGGAAACTATCGGCTACTAATGTGCTTTCCGGGCGCTAACGCCTTCCATACTAGTGTCGCCAGACAATTTCAACGACCACTCTTCCATCGTTCCAATTTCTACCAAAGAAACTGTAGCTATGTGGTAATATGGTTACATTTTGCGCCATCTTATGGACCGCTTCGCATCGAAATCCAGCGTGGATATTCTCCGGTGTCGCCGATCTCCACTGTGCTTCCAAGGCCAAGGCGTTTGCTCAAGATGTAAGCCAGGTGTGCTGCTATCTTTCAAACATCGGAAAGCCATCGGTCTTTAGCCATGGACCCTCGAGACTGTTTCTTGGTGTCAAGAATACCACCTGATGTTGACACTATGGCCCAGGGCAGCTTCAATGTGCATCTAAAGTGACGCTTTGGGCGTCCAAGGCGACGAATGTGACATGGCTGAATGTTATCACAGCAGTTTCTGGGTCGTCCAGGGATGCTTGTCAATGTGCTAAGGTCCACCTCTAATAACACCATTCAGCTCATCTTCCATTAACATCAGGTGCCTCGGATTCCGCATGAGAGTTTCCACTTATAGAAACACAACCAGAAGTTGCCAATCAGCCGGAATATTCTCCGTATCTTCTCGAATGTGTTTCTTCCACTGTGGCAAACTGCCCTTCCTAAGCTAACGGATGCACCTTTAACCCAGGTCTCTCCCCAAAGTGGAAACTTGCCCGCAATGTCGGGGGTGACAGCTTTGAGTCCCAGCTCAATAAACATATGCACGATGGACCCTTCGTCGCCATGGACAAAAGTAGTTGAGATTAGCATAACTGGGTGCTCAACCCCTGCAAAATAAAAGCCATGTTACTCAAATTGGTTTTCAGATCTGGATAGGAACGAGCCATTGGGCATAACGTGCTGTGTTTCCTATGCGTCAAGCTTTTGGATGGAGTCGCAAATAGCATGATGGCACGGCACAGGGATCCGAAAGACTTGGCCAGAAGCCTCATCATCATACAAGATGTTTTTCAGAGTTCAAGGCCTTTCCCATCTTAATAAGAGACATTGACCCTTACTCTTTCCATTTACCAAGGCTCCGAACAAGCACAATCCAAGCAAAGGCTACACAGAACTTCTTAAATCTAGCCCAAACACTCCAGAACAAAATTAGCCCAAAATCTACCTTTTGTTGTCTCCAAACCCCGTTGAAGCAGAGGTAAAACCCACTAACCCAAAATTTATCTGATTTGAACAGCAGTTGTGCGCAGTTCTCCTGTCTTGAGTGATCAAAAGTGAGTTTCTCAAGATTGCGAGAATGCTAGCTAATGTTACAGTCTAGGCCATCATCTATTGAGCTCCTAGAAACATCAAGCAACGCAATGGCGTCAGGTCCTATATCTGCGAACAGAGAAGATTCTTTATTCTCAAATCTCGATGACGCTATCCCGTGCCGAGTTCCTCCCTTCGAACACCTTACCAGCAACGAGACATATTCTACTTCCACGCATATCCAGCTGGCCGACGCTGATCGCCTTCGCGAATTGTTTGCCAAAGATCCAGAAGCGGTACGAACTACTATATGTTTGGCTTGGGCACTTCTTCTCCATAAATACGTAGGCCAAGATGATGTATTATTTGCCTATCGAAATGTTACATCTGCAGAGAACACCATTGATGTCCCTGTTATAAGGATTTTGTTTGAGAAAGCAATTCTTCTCGCAGACCTGATCGGCAAAGCTCGGCAACTTGGCCACTTGGGCTCTCAATCCGTCTCGAGCGTCTCTTTGATGGACCTATGCAACACAGCAGTGATTTTTGACAATTCTGTAGACTCAATCTTGAAGAAAGAAATGTCTAATCCATTATTACTCAGTCAGGAATTGGAACAAGTCGGTCATATTGCTCCATTTTGCTACCAAATGCTTGCTGACGAACAATTTGCACAGTTTTCACTCTGCCTTGAAGTAAGAATCACTAGTGATGAACACAAAGTTGTTCTCCATCACGATTCCAACAAAACATCTACAGAGCAAGCTCTCAATATCGCAAGCACTGTGGACAGGCTGCTGAGTGAAATCCTGACCCGCCCTAATGCCTCCGTCGCAGACTTGAACTGTGTAAGCGACCGCAACATTAAAGACATTACTACTTGGAATACTAGGCCACTGGAGGTCGTGGAAAGATGTATACATGAAGTCATTCACGACCAAACTTTGTGCAAACCCAATGCAGAAGCAGTGTGCGACGAACAAAGAACCCTTTCCTACCGCGACCTAGACCAGATGTCATCCCGACTGGCTGATTATCTATTGAAATTTGGACTGGGTCCCGGGGTGTTGGTACCTTTGTGCTTCGAGAAGGAAGTTTGGAACGTCGTATGCATGATCGCGGTGCTCAAGGCAGGAGCCGCATTCGTCCCTTTTAACCCTGGCGCACCGATCGCCCATCTCCGAGCCCTGTCATTGGACGTTGCCGCAACGGTTATTCTGTGCTCCCAACAGCATGCTGGGATGTTGTTACCCGTCGCGGAACACATAATCCCCGTGGACGGTGAGATGATTGGCCATTTGCCGGAATCAAATGGCGCCAATCGTTTAGCACAAAGTTCTGATCTCGCCTACGTGTAAGTACCCTAGTATTGTTAGTAGCGATACATTATCCCAGTGTGTCAAGTGCGTTTATCAAAATGTTTAAGGAAGTCCTTATTTCACTGGGTAGTAGCCCATCGCCTCCTGTCTTGTCATGTATTCCAAGTAGCCGTTTCTAATCAATGGCAGAATTTTCACATCTGGGACTACTGGTCAGCCGAAAGGAACCATGATTGAGCACAGGTCTTTCTGCTCCGGTGCAAAAGCCCATGCTCCTGCGATGCTCATTAATTCAAGGTCACGTGCCTTACAATTCGCGGTATTTGCCCCTCGTATGAGTTTGTCCCGGATAGTATGCTAATAGCAATTTCCTAGGCACACACTTTTGATGCGAGTCTAGTTGAAATTCTGACTACGCTTATGGTGGGTGGCGTGGTTTGTATTCCGAGTGAAGACCAGCGACTTAACAATATCACTCTTGCTATAAACCAGATGGGTGTCAATTGGGCAGTCTTGACTCCATCCTTTGTTGGATTCATCAACCCAGTGGACGTTCCCGGCTTGAAGACATTAACACTTGCTGGTGAAGCCATGAGTCAAACCCATATCTCAACGTGGTCTCATATCAGCCTTATCAATGGCTATGGCCCCAGCGAATGTTCGGTGGCTGCTGCAGTTAACTCGCACGTCACACCTACCACATCTCCAACTCATATTGGAAGTGCAACTGGGGCTTATCTGTGGGTAGTTGAGCAATTTGACTATAATTGTCTTGTGCCGGTGGGTTGCGTTGGAGAACTTCTGGTGCAAGGTCCAACCCTGGCGAGAGGCTATTACGGGCAGCCAGACAAGACTACGGAGTCCTTCATTCCAACTACAACCTGGGCCCCACTTTTTGATGCCAACAAGCAGAATTGGAGGTTTTACCGAACCGGAGATTTGGTAAGACAGTCTTCTGATGGGACTCTAATGTTCGTGGGACGAAAAGATACACAGGTCAAAAGTAAGCATTGTGCCCCAATAGTATCTTCACAACAGAAACCTTCCTCCTTATACATCCATCATAAATTTTGGTATGTTCATGCATGGGGAACGTTGGCTAATTATACACTCTGCTACAGTCCATGGGCAACGTGTTGAGCTTGGGGAGGTTGAGCATCACATCAATGTTGACCCAGATGTTAAACATGCTTTGGCTCTTCTTCCGAAGTCTGGTTACCTCAAGGATCGGCTTGTCGCTGTTCTGTCTCTCAAGAGTTCCAATGAACTCAATGACAATCCCAACTTCACACTCGTCGACGGCAACTGGCCCGAAATTATGAGACAGCGCTTACTGTCTCGGCTGCCATCGCATATGGTGCCATCAATGTGGTTAATCATAGAAAAGGTTCCTACACTTCCTTCAGGGAAACTCGACCGCAGGATAACAGCAACCTGGGTGGAGAGCATGGATGAAAGTTCATACCGTCGCATCGTTGATATTTCACAACTGAGCGAAAATACCCTAGGAGGGTCTGGAGGACCTACAACGGAGATGGAAAACAAGCTGCGCCAGATCTGGAGCCATGTCCTTAACATCGAATTGGATCATCTTGGACTTGAATCTGCATTCCTTTCTCTCGGTGGAGATTCCATCAGCGCTATGCAGGTCAAGGGACAATGTGTCAAGGAAGACATCAGTCTTGGCGTCCAGGAAATCCTCCGCAGCAAGGGTATCAAGCAACTTGCTCAATGTGCGAAAGCTGTAGAGCATCAAATGCACCACGAAGAGTTACTAAACCAGAACTTTGATCTCTCTCCTATCCAAAATCTGTTCTTTGAGCTCCCGAACCAAGGGCAAGGCCACTTTAACCAAAGTTTCTTTCTCCGCGTTACTCGGAAGATTCAAAAGGAAGACCTTCGTGCAGCAGTGGAGACAATCGTTAAGCGGCATTCAATGCTCCGAGCACGATTCGAGAATACAAATAAGGGATGGCAGCAGTGGATCACTCCAGATACTTCCACCTCATACCGGCTCAAAGCCCATCAAATTGGCGATCGCACGGAAGCTACTACTGCCATATCTGATAGCCAAACTTGCCTTAATCCTACCTCCGGCCCGCTGTTTGCTGTCGATCTTTTTGACGTCGATGGGAGCGAACAGCTCTTATTCATGGTAGGGCATCATTTGGTGATCGATTTGGTCAGCTGGCGCATAATCCTGGAAGATCTGGAGGAGCTTCTGATAAATCGAAGTAGTTCACCGACGCAAAAGCCATTGTCATTTCAAACCTGGTGTCGATTTCAGGCCGAAGATTGCCAGAAGCTTGCTGTCGACAAGGTTTTACCTACCCGCGATGTGCCATCGGGTGATACTGAATACTGGGGAATTACCAATCACGCAAATACCTACGGCCAAGTCAAGTGCGAGGGGTTTGAAGTTGACGCGACTACCACTTCGAGGCTTTCCACCCTTTGCCACGAGACGCTCCGAACAGAAACTATCGATCTTCTGCTGTCTTCATTGATACATTCTTTCTCTCTTGTATTCACGGATCGCCCCGCGCCAGCTATATATAATGAGGGGCACGGTAGGGAAAGGATCTCTGGCATTGCAGCAGATCCATCCAGAACTGTAGGGTGGTTTACGATCATGTATCCTGTTTGCGTACCGTCAACCGTGTCCAAGGATCTGGTCAATACTGTAAAAGAAGTAAAAGACTTTCGACGAAGAATTCCAGATAACGGAAGGCCATACTTTGCGAGTCGGTGCTTGACCGACAAAGGCAAAACCAAATTCGGCAAATCATCCACGCTAGAAGTCACATTCAACTATCTGGGCCAATACCAGCAGCTTGAACGGAAAGGCGCTCTTCTGACACCTGTCGAAGACATGGCTGGTGAGGCAAAAGGTGCTGGTGGCACAGCAGATGTTGGGCACGATACCCCACGGTTCGGCCTCTTCGAAATATCTGCAGTGATTGTGCAAGGCAAACTTAGGTTTTCATTTACGTTCAACCGCGACATGATGCATCAAGACAAAATATCGAATTGGATAACAGCTTGTCAAAGTACGATAAATCTCCTCACTGAGACATTGGCGAAGATGGAGCCTCAAGCAACGCCGGGAGATTTCCCTCTTCTGTCCCTTACAACTGAGAGTTTTAACTCGATGATCAATTCCAGCCTTCCGTCTCTTGGGATCTCTAGTATTGATGATGTGGAAGACATCTATCCATGTTCATCCATGCAAGAAGGTCTTCTTATCAGTCAGACCAAGAGCTCTGCATTTTATGCTGTCCGTGTCATCTGCGAACTAAAAGTTCAGAATGGTATTCAAGCCAATGGCAAGCGTTTGCAACTGGCGTGGCTGGAGGTAGTGCGCCGCCACCCTCTACTACGAACTGTCTTCATCGATAGTGTGAGCAAGGATGATGGACTTTATGACCAAGTGGTTCTCAAACAGGTCCTCTCAAAAGTCATAATAGAACACTACACTCATGAAGACGAGGCTCTAAGTGTGCTAGCCGAAACAAAGTCCTTGGAACATGACAACTCCAGTCCGCCTCACCGTTTCACGATTTGCGACACTTCAGAGGGGAAAATATTCTGCAAGCTGGAAATTAGCCACGCAATAATGGACGGGACTTCAATGTCCATTATCTTGAGAGATCTTGCTGCCGCTTACGAGAACATCCTCCCACAGAGACCCGGGCCGCTCTATAGCGATTACATTTCCTATCTGCAGAACCAGCCGAGCGACGTAAGCATCGAGTACTGGAAATCGTATCTGTCTGGCCTGGACGTTTGCACTTTTCCGCAGCTTAACGACGGAAAAGTTTCCGAGAAAAGTCTAAAAACAATACGATTGGACTTCAAACCATCCCAATTCTTGGAACTGCAGAAGTTCTGCGATGGCAATGGAGTCACCTTCTCAAACATTCTTCATACGGCCTGGGGACTCACTTTGCAGAGCTTTACCTCTTCCGAAGACACCTGCTTTGGATATTTGACTTCTGGGAGAGACGCTCCCGTTGACGGCATTGAGGATGCTGTAGGACCTTTCATCAATTTGCTTGTCTGTCGTGTCAGAACTGCACCTGCAAGCCGCCTTGGTGCAGTGCTTGACCAAGTCCAAAAGGACTACATTGATAGCTTGCCATATCGTTCAACCTCACTAGCAGAGGTGCAGCATGCATTACGACTATCCGGGACTGCTCTTTTCAACACCGCCCTTTCTTATCGACGACTGCCATCTGAATCGAATACGGGTTCGACCAATGTTTCCTTCTTGGAATGCTTGCCCACGTACGACCCAACGGAATACAGCATTTCCCTAAATATTGAGGCTTCAGATGAAAATGCGGCTATAGATCTCGATTACTGGACCGATTACATATCCAATGGACAAGCTGTGAATGTCGGCAGCACATTTATGCAATGTCTTCAAAACATCGTCCACCATTCAAACGAGACGATTGAAAGGCTAGATCACTTCAGCAAAGAAAATCGAGAACAAGTTCATAGATGGAATGCCACGATGCCCCAGACTATTGATGATTGCGTCCATACAATCATTGAACAGCAGGCTGAGATGCGGCCTGTTGCTCCCGCTGTCTGCGGGTTCGATTTGGAACTGAATTACGGTGAACTGAATGATATAAGTGGACGCCTCGCCTTTCTTCTTTCCGGTATGGGCATTGGACCAGAGACGTTTGTTCCTACTTGCTTTGATAAATCTTCGTATGCAATTGTTTCGATGCTTTCTGTTTTGAAAGCTGGGGCCGCGGCTGTCCCTCTCGATGCAACTCACCCAAGGAGTGCCCTTGAACTTCGAGTAAGAGATACTGATGCGAAAGTTGTTTTGGCATCCCCGTCTCGAGCAGAGTTGTTTTCCGATATGGATGTACATGTCATACCAGTGTGTAAAGAGCTGTTGGATAAACTTCCAAGTCCTGGTGACTGGAAATGCTCTACTGTTGGACCGAATAACGCAGCTTTCGTCATTTTTACTTCAGGTAGTACCGGCACTCCCAAAGGTGTTGTCCTAGAAAATAAGGCAATCTGCAGCAGTGGGCTAGCAACTGGGAGTGCATACGGCTGGGGCCCTGGATCAAGAGTTCTGCAGTTCGCTTCTTATGTAAGTCATTGACAGCTTTCCCCCCTCTGAAACTTGCTGATACACATTCAAAGACTTTTGATAATTCACTTGCCGAGATATTCATTGCCTTAATGCGCGGAGGATGTGTATGTGTCCCATCCGAGCATGATCGCTTCAATAATCTAGCAGAAGCCGTCAACAAACTTGGGGTCAATTTCATGGATATCACGCCCACGGTGGCTAGTCTGCTCCACCCCTCTGATGTCCCTAACGTCAAAGGCTTGAGTTTGGGAGGGGAACCACTCACTAAGGACAATATTGAGGTCTGGGGCAATGAAGTTGCGCTTCATTGCTGTTATGGCCCTTCAGAGTGCTCGATAAACTCGACGTGGAATGGCGATCTTAGAAAATCAACTGAAGCTACCAACATCGGCAAGTCAATTGGTAGTGTTTCATGGATTGTGGATCCATCAAATCACGATCGTCTTGTGCCAATAGGCTGTGTTGGAGAACTGCTTATCGAGGGCCCAATTTTAGCTCGTGGGTACCTCAACGATCCCGACAAAACATCAAAAGCCTTCATCCGTAATCCGATGTGGGCCTCTGGCCGTAACGACCGATTCTATAAGACGGGTGACCTATGCAGATACAATTCGGATGGAACCATCACGTATTTGGGACGAAAAGACACCCAAGGTATGTTATTTTGCTCATTGGCCACCATTAGTTTCACATCCAAATATGATCTCTAGATTCAATACTACGGCTAATGCTAACTCCTACATAGTCAAGTTGAACGGGCAACGTCTCGAACTTGGCGAAATCGAGCACCATGTGAAGCGCAATCTCAATATTGATGTGAAATCTGCTGTGGAACTCATTCCAGTCTCAGCAGTAGCCAAGGCACTTGCAGTATTTATATGCCTACCCTCGGGAGAGGATGCTAGCCCCGACGAATTCCTCCTGGCTATGTCTGATGAAGTGAGGTCGATATCAACGGCATTAGAAGCCGCCATCTCAGCTGCACTTCCGGCTTATATGGTCCCAAGTGTATACATTCCAGTCTCTTCCATTCCCATGACGTCTTCTGGAAAACTTGATCGTCGTAAACTACGCACAGTTTGCCAGTCACTATCTGGAGATCAAATTACAGGATACAAGCTCGCACGGAGAACTGGAAGACAGCCATCAACGGAAATGGAAAAGCTTCTTGCTCAATTATGGCAATCAGTATTAAATCTCGACTATTCTGTCGGCGCCGATGACAACTTCTTCAAATGCACCGGGGATTCTATAACGGCTATGAGACTTATCGCAGCTGCTCGCGCTGAAGGAGTGTGTTTGGGTGTAGCCGACATATTCCGGAAGCCAAGACTCTCAGATCTAGCAACCGATGCGACTCTTCTCTCTAGCTTTGATAACATTACTTCGCAGTCGGCCATTGAGCCATTTAGTCTCTTACAGATTAACAAATCTATTCCGGACTTGCTTGCTGAGTTAGCTTCTCAATGCCATATGGAAATTGAATCCATTTACGACGTCTATCCGTGCACCAGCCTCCAGCAAGGTCTCATTGCGTTATCCAGCAAGGATCCGGGTGCTTACGTTGCACAAAATATCTATCGCTTGCCACCTGGTATCGATCTGGACCGGTTCCGTTCGGCCTGGGAAAAGGTTGTCGAGGCGGAAATCATCTTACGAACAAGGATTGTTTATACTGAATCCCTTGGCTTCCTCCAAGTAATCACTAGAGAGCCAATTACGTGGCATGAAATTGCCAATCTCTCGGATTTTGTGGAACAAGATCGCCAATTACCTTCATATAATGGAGGCCCGCTTTCTAGATACACGATAGTTGAAAGTCCTGCGAGCACTCATTTTGTCTGGACAGCCCACCATGCAATTTACGATGGCTGGTGTATTTCTCTATTGCTCGAAAGGGTTGAGGCTTGCTACCATGATATCAGAGCCGTCGATATGGCGATAGGAGCAGGATACCCCCGATTTATCAAATTCCTCTCGGAAATCAATGCATCCGAGTCAGACGACTTTTGGCGGTCCCAGCTGTCAGAACCAACATCCATACACTTTCCTACTCTTCCGAACCCTACTTATCATATACATGCGACTAGCACTTCATCGCACTCTGCTTCTCTCATTCGGGAAACTGGAAGCCACATTACATTGCCATCCGTAATCCGAGCTTCTTGGGCACTAGTAGTGGCAATCTACTCAGGCAGCTCTGATGATGTCGTGTTTGGAGAGACTTTGACCGGCCGAGACGCTCCTGTTCCCGATCTTGCAGATATCATAGGGCCAACACTCGCAACAGTTCCAACACGTATCAAGATCGATGCGGAAGCTAGTATTGGGAAATTCCTTGAAGACATACAAGCTCAATCTGCGGAGGCTATCCCTTATCAATATTCGGGGCTTCAACACATCAAACATCTCAGTGACGACGCAGCAATTGCTTGCGGATTTCAGAATCTTCTAGCTATCCATCATGATAGTAAAGAAGCAGCGGATGGCTTTTGGGACTTGCAGAGTAGTGGTACAACTGGGACGAATTTCTACTCTTATCCACTCACCGTGTCTTGCCAAGTTGGAGAGAATAAGGTAACCATCGATGCTTACTATGACAAAGATGTTATTTCCAGTTGGCTAGTGGATCAAATGCTACGCCAGTTTGAATTTGTTCTCAGTGTCCTCAATTGTCCAGACAACCAACGTTTGAAGCTAGGCCAAGTGAAGATGCTCAAACCAGAAGATGAGCAAGCCATCTTGACCTGGAACAGTACGAAGCCGAGGGTCGTTGATGAATGCATCCATGACATGATCAGCCGCCGGGCCCTTCAACAGCCAAAGTGGGGTCTGGCAGTCGATGCGCATGATGTAAAGTTGAGTTATTGGGAACTTGATCGGCTTTCAACTCAGCTGGCACATTATCTCCTGGAACGAAAGTTAGAAAATACCCTCATACCCGTCTGTTTTGACAAATCCGCTTTTACGATTTGTTCTATGGTCGCTGTATTGAAATGTGGCGCGGCTTTTGTGCCTTTGGATCCCACGGCCCCTGTTGCTCGTCTGCGGGACATTATAAAAGACTCAGACGCAAGAACGGTACTGTGTTCGCCTCGATTGCTGGGTCTTTGTGGATCGGTTGCCTCTAATGTAATCGCGGTCGATCTTGAAATGATAGAGAAGCTACCGAAGCACGAAGAATTACTTCCAGCTGTGGATAGTAACAGTGTTGCCTATGTCATCTATACAAGCGGCTCAACTGGTAAACCAAAGTTAGTAGATCCCAGCATCATAAAAGGCATTTCATATTAACACGAATTTAGGGGAACCATTGTTCAGCATAATGCGTTTTGCGCTGGTGCCGTGGAACATGGCCCGGCTTTAGGCATGTTATCGAGTTCTCGAGTACTACAATTTGCATCATACGTGAGTAACCCAAAACAAAGGAGTCATTTTCTCAGTCGCTAACAGCAGCTGAAGACGTTTGATGCGAGCTTGCTTGAAATTCTCACAGGCTTGATTATTGGTGCTTGCATCTGTGTGCCCGATGAAGACTCAAGAATGAATCGAATCACCGATGTCATCAATGAGATGAACATCACATGGACGTTGTTGACGCCATCTTTTATTCAGACCATTCAACCTTCTGCTGTCCCCACCCTGAGAACTTTGGTCCTTGGAGGAGAAGCTATGAGCCAGACCCATATTTCAACCTGGGCTGATAAACTTGAACTTATCAACGCTTACGGCCCTAGTGAATGTTCAGTCGTAGCCACTGCAAGTCCTCAGATGACGCTTACCACCGACCCTAGCAATATGGGAAGAGCAGTTGGCTGCCGTTCTTGGATTACCGATAGATCGAATCCGAATCGACTTGTTCCAATTGGATCTGTGGGAGAGCTTATTGTAGAAGGGCCTATTCTCGCCCAAGGTTACCTCAATAACAATTCGAAGACAGAAGAGGTGTTCATAAAAAATCCCGAGTGGTCGTTATCACAGAACCACCCTGCTAACACGACAACCAGAAGGTTTTATCGAACAGGGGATCTGGTCAAGTATGCCGCAGATGGAAGTTTGCTTTTCTGTGGGCGGCACGACCACCAAAGTAAAATACGCGGCCAACGAATCGAATTAGGAGAAGTCGAGGTTCATCTCAAAACTGATCCTGCCATACAACACGCCCTGGTCACGATCCCAAAGGCAGGCTTCTGCAAGAAACGGCTTGTGTCCGTTCTGTCACTCCAGGAGTTAGCGACTACAAACATAACGGCCCATGGACTCAATATCGTTAATCGAGAGGCAAGCGCATTTTATCTCACCGCTATCCAAGACAGACTCCGTGATTATCTACCTGGGTATATGATACCTTCAAATTGGGTCATAGTGGAAGGTTTGCCTCTTCTACCATCTGGAAAACTTGACCGTAAACGTATCGAGAAGTGGGTAGAAGAAATGAGCTCTGAAGTGTACCATCAAATTTCGGATGTTGAGAGTGCTGTCACGAAAACGACCGGGACTGCGGTTGAACGGCAACTACAGGCCATATGGGGAGCTGCCCTCAATCTCTCGCCAGACCACATTGGCCTTCAGCAAAATTTCCTTTCAGCTGGTGGCGATTCTATAAGTGCCATGCAAGTTATGTCGAGCTGCAGAGCAGCGGGATTAGGTGTGACAGTCCAAGATATCATCCAGAGGTCAGTTTCACCACGCCCTCTTCGTGTCTTCGGATTATTTCCCGGCAAACAAAATCCATATTGAACAACTGCTGATCCTAAGATTAATAATAGTAAAAGCATCTCCCAGCTCGCATTGAGAGTAACGCTCCCAGAGGCAGAGAGTTCTCACGAAGAAGAGTTAGATGCAAATTTTGATCTGTCCCCGATCCAAAAGCTCTACTTCGAATGCGTTGGAGACAAATTCAACCACTTTAATCAGAGTGTAGTACTTCGACTAACACGCAACATAACCTCCGAGAGTCTCGCACTTGCCGTTGAGTCGTTGATGCTCTCGCATTCCATGCTACGGGCACGATTCAACAAGATCGCGACTGGAGAGTGGAAACAACAAATATCCCGTGATATATCCAACTCGTATCACTATAGCGTAACAACAACGGCCAGAGACCAATTGGATAGCCTGATTGAGACTCGGCAGAAAGGCCTAGACATTCAAAACGGCCCCATCTTTGCGGTCGACCTATTCAATATTAGTGACGAAAGATCTCAAATTCTTTCCCTCATATCCCACCACCTAGCAATTGATGTTGTTAGTTGGCGGATCATCTTGCAAGATCTGGAAGATCTGTTGAATACAGGCGCATTAAAGCTGAAAAGTTCTATACCCTTCCAGGCGTGGTCACGCCTTCAAACAGAGCATTCGCAGCAATCAATTCCCAAAAGGTTATTCCACCCAGAAGATGTCCCAAATCCCGATTTCTCCTATTGGGATATGGTGGACAAGCCCAATGTATATGGAGATACCATTGAAGATGGCTTTGAAATCGACACAGAAACTACGCTTTCACTTCTTGGGGTATGCCACGAATCATTGCAAACGGAGCCAGTTGATGTCTTCCTCGGCGCTATACTGCAATCTTTCCACAAGGTTTTCTCAGACCGAGCGACAGTTCCAGCAGTTTACAATGAAGGACACGGTCGAGAAACTTGGGCTTCGAAGCTGGATGTCTCGCGAACAGTTGGCTGGTAACTAAACTTTTCCTCACCCGCCTCTTCATTTCTGCGGTGTTGTGATTCCCGAAGAGTGGTTTATTATCTTAGATCTTACTCTCTGCATATAAAAATATCACTAATACGATGTAGGTTCACTACCATGTGCCCGATCTATCTTCCGTCTAGCTTAGACATCGAAACGGATCTAATTAACACTATCCGCTGGACCAAAGACCTCAGGAATCGGATTCCAGACAAAGGTCGGCCTTACTTCGCCTATCGACTACTTACAGAAGAGGGGAGAGAGCGCTTTTCGAACCATTGTCCAGAAGTGACTTTTAATTATCTTGGCAAAATGCAACAGCTAGAACGAAAAGAATCCCTGTTTCACGCTGTTGAAGGGGTCAAAAATTTTGATATAGGTGCGGATGTGCCACGATTCGCGCTATTCGAAATCTCGATCGTCGTCGAAAATTCAACTCTCAAGGTTTCTTTCTCTTACAACCGGCGCATGAAACGTCAAGCCAAAATACGTCGTTGGGTGGTTGAGTGCCAGAGATCCCTCGAAGATGCAGCCAAAACCCTTACGCAGTCGAAAGTGGAGTCTACTTTAAGCAATTTTCCACTCATTCCCCTCACGTATAACGGTATATCAAAACTGGTCGAGAAGCTACCGCAACTTGGCGTATCTTCATTGGACGATATTGAAGATGTGTACCCGTGTTCTTCTACACAACAGGGCATGCTGCTTGCCCAATTGAAAGACCCGAACCTTTATGCATATAGCGCTATCTTTGAAGCCAAGCCAAAAGGGTTCGAAACACAAGTCGACGTTCGTTTACTCGCCGAAGCCTGGCAGGCAGTCGTTCGACGACACGCAACACTGAGAACTATGTTCACTGACAGTGTCTGTCAAGACGGTCTCACCGATCAGGTTGTGCTCAAGGATAAAATCGCTCGAGTGTCTTGGCTGGAGTGTGAGGATTCAGAAGTATTTTCGACGCTTCAAAAGCAGCAGTCCCTCAATTTCCGAGACTCCCAGCCACCACATCGATTTACTGTATGCAAGACTGACGGTAATCGTGTATTTTGCAAACTCGAGATCAGCCATAGTATTTGCGATGGCACGTCAATACCCATCCTATTAAGAGACCTCTCAAACGCCTACGGAGATGCTTACTCTAGGGATGTTACCGGTTTCCTAGCCACGAATGACGATATTGCACAGAATAAATCGACATACAATGTCATCGGACCACTTTACAGTGACTACATCGCGTATATCCAGGCCAGCCTTCCAGACGACGATATCAACTACTGGAAAAATTACTTATCAGATGTTGAGCCTTGTCTTCTAACGTCGCTCAATGATGGAGTGCACGAGACGAAAGTTCTTCGATCGCTTGTTCTTAACCTCTCAAAAGCCGGGGAACTCCGTATGTTCTGCAATAAGAATGGTCTGACCCTCTCGAACGTATTGCAACTTACCTGGGCAATAATTCTTCGACTATACAATGGCTCTGTAGAAGTGTGCTTTGGCTACTTGACATCTGGGAGAGACGCGCCCATCCGTGGAATCCAAGATGCTGCGGTCGGAGCTTTCATCAACATGTTAACCTGTAGGTCAAATTTAAGCAGCTCAACAAAAATGAGCCAGGCTTTGGAGCAAATACAGACGGACTTCATCCACGGTATGGCCCACCAAAGCTGCTCTCTTGCTGAGGTGCAACACGAACTCGGCCTTTCTGGGACTAATCTCTTCAACACTGCCTTCACTTTTCAGAAGCGATCGAGTAGCACGGATATTTCTGGCTCCGCATTATCGTTCAACATCGTAGATGCACAAGATCCCAGCGAATACGATGTTACAGTCAATGTCGAAGCGTTTGAATCGGCAATTGAGATACATTTCGGTTATTGGTCCACGACACTCTCTTCTCCTCAGGCTTCCAATTTGGCCCAAACCTTTGAGCACGTAGTGAATACTATTATCGAAAATGATCCAGAGAGTGCCATCGGAGACCTCAACTTTTTCGGTGACCGCAGCCGCGAACAGGTTCTAGCTTGGAATCAGACTCTTCCACCAAAGGTTAATAAGTGTATACATGAGATAGTACAGCAGCAAACTCGGGCCTATCCAAAGTCTAAGCAAGCTGTATGCAGTTGGGATGCCGAATTGAGCTATATCGAATTGGATAATCTTTCAACGCGCTTGGCAGCTAAGTTGATAGAGCTTGGCGTTGGACCTGAAATATTTGTCCCTTTGTGCTTTGAAAAGACAGCATGGGCCGTTGTATCTATGATAGCTGTCATGAAGGCCGGAGGTGCTTTTGTACCACTTGACCACACCCATCCGCAGGGTAGGCTCCAGCAATTCATCGACGACGTGGATGCAAAGGTGGTCCTTTGCTCTCGGCAGAATTATGAAAAGATATCTGCTGTCAGCAAACAGGCATTAGTTGTCGATCGCGGCATCATAGATCAGCTCGACAAAACCTCTGCGGTCCTTCCAATTGTCTCACCAGACAATGTGGCTTATGCCATTTTTACTTCCGGCACTACTGGGCGTCCTAAAGGCACACTCATTGAACACGGAGCATTTTGCACAAGCGCTATTGAGCATAGTAAGGCCATGTATATGCGTTCGGATTCTCGCGTGTTTCAGTTTGCATCATATGTGAGTACTAGTTCCCTAACCTTTTACTACCCAGTTTCGCTAACTCCCTTGGATCTAGACATTCGATGCCTCGGTCATGGAAATCTTGACATCTCTCATCGTCGGAGCCTGCATTTGTATTCCAAGTGACCAGGACCGAATGAATGATATTCCTGGTGCTATCAAGCGAATGGGAATCACGTGGACTCTCTTGACACCTTCAGTTGCAAGCACTTTGTTTCCTAAGAGTGTTCCTAGTCTCAAAACGCTCATCACGGGTGGTGAGGCAATGGCGGCTGGACACATTGCGAAATGGAAAGGGAAAGTTGCCCTTGTTAATGCATATGGTCCAAGCGAGACCTCTGTAATTGCAAGTGCAAGTACTAAAGTCGACGAGCGTGGCAATGAGAATAACGCCGATCCATCGAACATTGGACACGCAGTCGGTGGGCGGACTTGGGTTGTCGATCCTCGAGATTATAACAAACTCGTGCCTATTGGGTGCGTTGGGGAACTTGTTGTCGAAGGCAGGACGGTCGCTCGCGGATATCTGAAAAACGAACAAAAGACTGCCGAAGTATTTGTCAACGACCCTGCTTGGCTGAGACATTTTCAGCATAAGGAGCGAGTTTATAGAACCGGTGATCTGGTAAGTTAGAGCAAAGTTCCGCTTTTCAAGTCGGGTCTATTGTCAAGTTATGCATCCGCTAAACTATTACTGGATTTATTCCTTACTCCCCGTCAACTTTTGCCTTTTTTAGTTCCTCTTCAAGAATTACACTAACTTTGAGACCTTGATTTAGGTACGCTACAACTCAGATGGATCTCTGAGCTTTGTCGCACGGAAAGACACACAGGTGAAGTTAAATGGCCAAAGAATTGAGCTTGGGGAAATTGAACATCACGTCAAGACGATTCTCCCAGACAATTACCAATCTGCTGTGGAGCTGGTGGCACCAATGAGCAACAGATCTACCAAGGCACTTGCAGCCTTCTTTTCTTCGGCAATCAACAATTCTAGCTCCGATATCGAGGACGAGAGGATATCAGGTGTTGAAGATATATTATTGTCAATGTCAGAAGGGGCTAGGGCTATTGCTAAGAATCTCGATTCTTCGTTAGCCTCGGTTCTGCCTACCTATATGATCCCGTCATTCTATATCCCGGTGACAAAAATGCCGTGGACAAGTTCCGGCAAGCTCGACCGATCAAGACTACGCAACATCGTGCAGTCTCTATCAAAAGAAGTCACGAATCCTTATAGACTTGCCACGTCTAAGACCCACACCAGCAGGGTGCCAACGTCCCCAATCGAGCAAAAACTGCAAAGGCTATGGGAAACGGTCCTAAGCATATCAAAACAAAGCTCTGTGGGTCTTGAAGATCACTTTTTCAGGCTTGGTGGAGATTCGGTTTCTGCTATGCGACTGGTGGGCTTATCCAGAGCCGAGGGCATTTCATTAAGTGTCATGGATATATTTCGCAAGCCAAGACTATGCGATATGGCATCCATTTGTAGCGCCGTTAAGGAAGAACACTCCTCCGAGCTGGTGCCCTTTTCCCTATTGAAACACGGCGAACTCATTGATGATGCTGTGCATGAGCTTGTTGAAAAGTGTCATGTTCCTAGAGAACAGATCCAAGATGCTTACCCCTGCAGTCTGCTTCAAGAAGGGCTCATTACTCTTTCCATGCAACAGCAGGGAGCTTATGTTGCACAGAATGTCTTCCTTCTTCCGAATGATTTGGATATCGGTCGTTTCAAACAAGCCTGGCAGGCAACCATCCAGGAAGTCGACATCTTACGCACCAGAGTGGTTCATATGAACTCGTCTTCTTTCCTTCAGGTGGTAAGTTATATGAGTGTCTCGAGTGTTTTAAGACATCAACAAAATTCCAGATTCTTCCGGGTTAACGATCGCTAACTGTGAACTTGCAGGTCCTCCAGGCCGAACCAATCGAGTGGAAAACATATACTAATATGCAGAAAATTTCCGACTCGCAGGTTCAACTGCCTCTTTATAATGGCGGGTATGCAAATTCCTACGCGTTTCATTTTTCTACTTGGACAATCTGGGAGTTCCAGTGTCCTTTTTGTATATCTCAGACCCTCCAAGCACTAATCAGTCAAAATACTTCTTCAATAAGCATAGCTGACATTTGATACTGATAGGCCTCTTACTGAATACACAATTGTCACTGATGCAGAATCAAACGACCGTCACTTTGTTTGGTCAATACATCATGCGCTCTACGATGGTTGGAGTCTACCGATGGTCTTGAAGAGAGTAGAGGCAGCATATCGCAGCGGCTCGAGCCTGCCCAAGAGCCCGTACGCTATCTTTATCAAGTATCTCTCCGAAGTAGATGAGCCCGCATCCGATGAGTTTTGGAGAAAGAGACTTTCTGGATCATCTCCGCTGCAGTTTCCACAAAATCAGCATTCTTCGTCCGATCACACAATGAATAATCAGACACTCATACACAGTGTCCAAATCTCCCAGAATACTTCAAGCATGGGTATTACCCTTCCTAGCATCATTCGTGCCGCCTGGTCAATGGTTTTGGCATCGTATTCCGGGTCGAATGACGTTGTTTTTGGTGAGACATTGGCTGGGCGAGACATTCCCATTCATGGGATCGCGGAAATAATTGGACCAACTTTTACAACGGTCCCTAATCGGATACAAGTACACCCCCACCGGAGAATCATACAATTCCTGCAAGATATCCAAATGATGGCCACCGAGGTCATCCCGTATCAGCATGCTGGACTACAGCGAATTAAAAGACTTGATAAAGATGCCGACCTTGCCTGTAATTTTCAGAATCTTTTGGTTATCCAAACAGCAGACGAAGATGTTCAGAACGACATGTGGGATATTCAAGGAACCGGCGTGGCATCAAACTTTTTCACATACCCCTTAGTTCTTGAATGCAAAGGTTCCTCGAAAAAAGTAGACATCACTGCGCATTATGACGAGAACGTTCTCTCAACTTGGGAAATTCAACGAATCATGTACCAGCTGGACAATGTTCTGAAGCAACTCAGCGATCTACACAAATTTGGTGCCAATGCAGTCCTCGATGAAATAACTGTGTTCAGCGCAGAGGACAAAGAGCTTGTACGAGAGTGGAATTCTAATAAGCCAGAACTGGTTGATGCATGTATCCACGAGGAATTCGAAGAAATGGCCGTTTCTCAACCTGACTCCCTGGCCATTACTGCCTGGGATGGACAATTTACATACGCAGAGCTCAAGAATGAATCAACACGCCTGGCATACCATCTCGTTGGGCAAGGTATTGGATCAGAAGTCTTTGTGCCAATATGTATGGACAAATCCAAATGGGCAATCGTCACAATTCTTGCAATCCTCATGGCTGGTGGTGCTTATGTGCCGCTAGATCCATCAGCACCCACATCACGGCACCAAGAAATGATCAAGGATGTCGGCGCCACTATAGTCATCTGCTCTCCAAAATACAGCAGTCGGTATACAAGCATCATCGAGAAACCGATTACCATAAGTCAGGAAATGCTAGACAGCCTCCCAGAAAAGTCACTTCATGGCCAAGACTTGCTACATCGCGCAACTAGCCGGAATAGTTGTTATGCCATCTTTACAAGTGGTAGCACGTAAGATTTATTTCATTTTTCGAGACTGCTATTCATTTTGCTGGGAGGATTGACTAACAATTTTATTCAGGGGGCGGCCCAAAGGTACGGTAGTCGAGCATAGAGCGATTGCAACAAGCTCGGCGGCAATGAGACGCGCCCTTTTGATGAAGCCATCTTCCCGTGTATTCCAATTTGCGAGTTTCACATTCGATGTGTCCGTTTTAGAAACCCTCACCGCGCTAACCAATGGGTCTTGTCTTTGTATTCCTTCGGAACAGCAACGAGTGGGAGATGTTGCCGGTGCAATTGACTCTCTGAAGGCGTCTTGGGCTTTCCTGACTCCTTCAGTCGCGAATTTGATTGAACCTGCAACCGTGCCATCCCTAGTGAGTTTCATGTTCCATAAATTTCCATCTCAATTCAGGATCCCAGGGCTGCTGAAGGCCCGGGTCTCGGGGATTACTTCACAGAGCTTCTCATGCAACCAAGTGCCCACAAGTACCGGGGGATTTTACAGTCTATTACAATGTAATATTCCATTTGGGATAACAAGCTTTATTGTTTTATATGTCAATGATTGCGCTATCAGCGCATGGCTTTGTTGTTTTCATCAATTTTTCATAGAGCTGACGTTTCTCCGTACAGGAAATTCTGGTTTGTGGGGGAGAAGCTATGTCGGTCGATAACGTGCTCAAATGGGCTTCCAAGGTTACCTTAGTAAACGGCTACGGACCCACGGAAGCATCTGTAATTGCAATCGCGAATCCCGAGGTTAGCACACAAAGGGATGCCTCTAACATCGGCCGTGCTCTGTCCAGCGGCCTCGCGTGGATCGTCGACCCTCAAGATCACAACCAAATGGCGCCAGTGGGGTGTGTTGGTGAATTGTTGCTAGAAGGTCCATTGTTGGCAAGAGAATACATCAACAATAAGTCGAAAACTGACGAGGCATTCATCGAGCGGCCATCCTGGGCAATTGCTTTTGATCTGCCAAAGCCCATGGCCAGACCTCCGATCTCGCGATGTCAGTCCAGTCAGTCTGGTAGCTCCTCAAATAGCCTTCAGAGACCCCCTCTATCACCATTTCAGTCAAAGCAGTCGGGCAGATTTTCCTTCACTGGAAAGAATGCGCATCATCCCCCAATGTTAAGATCACCATCCGACGATTCGCAAATCAGCAGGACTTCACCCCTAAGCAAGATGTACAAAACGGGAGATCTATGCAAATACAGTTATGACGGCTCGTTGATATTCATTGGCCGAAAAGATCACCAGTATGAACCCCCTTCTATTTCCCATCGTGTTCCTTGGTATATTACGCACTGTATCTGTTTGTAAAGATTCTTCGGAACAGCTTCTCTCCCATCTACGACCTTGAAAAAGAACTATCAATACTGACCCTCGTGACTAAGGGTGAAACTTCACGGACAACGTATGGAACCAGGGGAAATTGAGCATAATTTAGACAATGATCCAGAGGTTCAAAACGCCCTTGTCGCACTACCAAGATCCGGTCCTTTCAGAAATAGGCTACTAGCAGTTGTAACACTTAACGAGTGAGTCAAATTATCAATCTCGAGCTTCCAGATAAGGTTCCGCGGCTTATTACTAACTTTTACCTCCTTCAGTCTCGCCACAACCGAAATCACGAAAGACAGCTGCGAGCTTATAGAAGAAGGCCCCCGGGCTGTCACTGCTCGTAGCAAAGTCAATGGGGTTCGTAGTCGACTATCCGAAACCCTTCCTCCATTCATGGTTCCCGCGTCGTGGTTGGTCGTAGAGTCCATTCCACTCCTGCCTTCTGGTAAACTAGACAGGCGTAATGTCGAGACCTGGCTTTCAAGTATCGACGAGGAAACCTATGAAAAGATCATGAACGCCGAAGAGGAAGAAGAAGACACAATACCGGTAACAGAGACTGCTTTGCTTCTTCAGCAAATTGTCTCACGAGTGTTGAATCTTCCAACGCACCGAGTAAAGCTCGCCAAGTCGTTTGTGGCACTTGGCGGAGATTCTATTGCAGCTATGCAAGTTATGGCTCTTTGCAGGAAAGAGAGGCTCAACTTCTCATTATCAGAAGTGCTTAAAAGCAAGTCAATCCATCTGCTAGCATCCAAAGCTCATTACGAGGACGCTGTTCAACACCACGCGGAGACTTTCGAAATTGCCTTTGATTTGTCACCTATTCAGCAATTATACTTCCAATCCCAATCCGATGGGTTTTATGAAAAAGAGGCGCGATTCAACCAAAGTTTCTCGCTCGAGATTACACGCCGCGTGGCTTCCCAAGATCTCAACTACGCTATCGAGACGATAGTTCGTGAGCATTCCATGCTTCGGGCTCGTTTCAGTAAAAACTCGGCAGGCAAGTGGCAACAACGCTTGACACGGGATATTTCCTCTTCGTATCGATATCGATTCCACGAGCTGGATACCGCCGATCAAATCCTAGATATTGTGTCACATAGCCAATCTAGTCTCGATATTCAGCAAGGGCCCCTTTTCGTTGTGGATTACTTCAACATAGTGGGACGTCAAATGGTATTCCTCGCAGCACATCACCTGATCATTGATATGGTCTCGTGGCGTATCTTGATCCAAGATCTGGAAGACATCTTAAACACCGGGAGTATCTCTTCAGAAAAGTCATTGTCGTTCCAGATATGGAACGCAATGCAGCAAGAGCATAGTCAACGGGCTACTACCCAAAGTAAAATCCGCAAACTCCCTATCTCTGCCGCACCTGCGGATCTCGACCACTGGGGAATGGACAAGGTCGCCAATACCTACGGTGATGTTTTGTCGGAATCATTCACAATCAATGAAACATTCACCAGCCTAGCTCTTGACGAAAGCAATAAAGCCCTACGTACAGAACCTCTAGACCTCTTCCTTGCAGCTATCGCACACTCATTCAGTCGAGTTTTTGTTAATAGGAAAACTCCATCGGTATTCATGGAAAGCCATGGGAGAGAACCTTTTGATAGCAGCATTGATCTTTCAAGAACCGCTGGGTGGTTTACGACCATTGCGCCAATTCATGTCGACGTAGACACCGATGACGATGATGTAATAGAGACTGTGAAACGGATGAAAGATAATCGGCGCAAGCTGAGTGACAATGGAAGACCTTATTTCGCACACCAGTTTCTTACGGCGAACGGCAGAGCACAATCTCAATCTAGCATGGAGATAATTTTCAACTATTTGGGGCGTATGCAGCAACTGGAGCATGACGACTCGCTCTTCCAGCAATGGACATATCCTGAAGACGATGAAACTTCTAAGCTGATTGCAGATGTTGGGCCAAAAGCGACAAGACTTGCCTTGTTCGAGATCTCAGCAGCGGTTGTGAAAGGTCAAATCCAATTTTCTTTCCTCTACAATAGCCGCATGCAACACCAACGAGACATTCGGCGATGGGTAAATGAATGTCGGGATACATTTGAGGAAATTGTTCAAAGACTGGAAACTAGTACTGAATCGCCTACATTTACTCTCAGCGACTTTCCGCTACTACCCATATCCTACCCGGAATTGGAGAAGATCGTTTCGAAATCATTGCCTCTAGTAGGTATTGAAAAAGATGAGGTAAGTCTTTTTTGGCGAGCTCCCCACGAAGTACCTCATATACGAAACAATTCTGGTTTATTTTAATCCTCGTAAATCCCTTTTCATTTGCAAGCCATTACTAATGCAGAGATTAATAACATAGGTCGAAGATATATATCCATGCGCCCCATTACAAGAGGGTCTCTTGATCAGTCAGCTGAAAACCCCAAGTCTGTACCATTTCCATGCTGTCTTTGAAGTCCACCCCCCATCAGCTCAGAATGGCATTTCTATCGACGCTCAACGATTAGCGAAAGCATGGCAGCGAGTCATAGATTATCACGGATCCCTTCGCACTGTTTTCGCCGATAGTATTTACAAAGGAGACATCTTCAACCAGATTATCATCAAATCAGCAGATAGTGGTATCATAATTTTGCGATGCGATGGCGGCGAGGCTGAAGCCCTAGAAAAGCTCAAAACCGTAACCATTCTAGAAGCGAATTACAAAAAGCAGCCCCGCCTCCCGCACCAAGCTGTCATCTGCCAGACTTCCAGTGGCAAAGTTTACTTCAAAATCGAAATCAACCATGTGGTGATGGACGGTGCTTCTGCCAACATCGTCCTACGCGATCTAGCTGCAGCCTATCATGGAACGCTTCCTAAGGGACTAGGACCGCTATATAGCAATTACATTGCGTATATTAAAAGTAATCCGGTCGATGAGAGCATCAAATTCTGGAAGTCCTACTTGGAAGGGGCACAAGCATGCTACTTTCCTAACCTTAATGCAGCTTCAGACGACGAGCGATGTCTAGGATCCGTCACAATGAGCTTTGACCGGTATGCCGAACTACAAGATATGTGTAAGAAGATAAATGTTACTCTCGCAAACCTTATGCAGGTAAGTTTATTTGAATATATACCTCCAATTCTTAAATGAATGGAAACTAACAGAAAGCTAAGGTGGCATGGGCCTTTTGTCTTCGTCATTATACCAAGACAAACGACGTCTGTTTCGGTTATCTCACATCAGGAAGGGACGTCCCAGTCGATGAAATTGAAAGCACGGTTGGAGCTTTCATTAATATGCTCTGCTGCCGGATCAAATTCTCCAAACAATCGACTATCACAGAAGTATTTCGGAAGACACAAGATAATTACCTCGAGAGTCTTGAACATCAGCACTGCTCACTCGCCCAAGTCCAGCATAATATCATGGCTGGACAAGCTCTCTTTAATACTGCTGTCTCAATTCAGAGCTCGGGTTCCTCAGATGGGGTGGAGGATACTTCCATTTCATTTGAACCCGTCGCTGCGCATGATCCAAGCGAGGTAAGTTTGTGAATATCAGCAGCAGGTTACATCTTGGAAGTCAGGACTAACTCCCTCCATAGTACGCGGTGACTCTCAACATACGAACATCACAGGGCGATGAGGGAGTTGTATTTCGATATTGGAGTAACACCGTATCAGACGAGCAAGCTAGCGGCCTTGCTGAGATGTTAGCTCGCATGTTAGACAACTTCATCGATAAGCCGCATCAGCTTGTGGAGGACGTCAACGTCTCTGAGCCCATCGCTGAGTCACGAGACCAGAAATTGCGGAACGAAATGACGCTCGAAAAGAAACCGGAGGAAGAACAGCCCCGTCTGTGGAACTCAGAAACAGAGTTGCGAACGATGGTCAGCAGTTGTGTACAAGAGATCCTCGATCAGTTGTTCAAGTCTGGCGCATTGGTCAGCTATGACCACCAAGGGCTTCACAACAACATTAATATCACTACCCAGCACATTGTCTCCCCTATCATCGAGTATTCAAATATGCAAATTCCACCAATCCACCAGCAAGTCGAGAAGCCAAAACGCAAAAGCGGATACGAGCCTAAGGCATTTTCGAAAAGGGGAAATGTTGAAAAAAAGTTACTCTCCATCTGGAGCGAATTATTGCAAGTGTCCGGGGATCTCGTTGAAAATGAAACCAATTTCTTCGAGCTGGGTGGTGATTCTATTGTTGCTATGCAGATGGTTGGTGCAGCTCGGGAAGAAGATCTGCCATTAACGGTGGCCAATATCTTTCGACACCCAACCTTTGCAGACATGGCCGCAGCAATACAATTGGCCCAAGATCCTGATGAGACCGAAGAGTTCAGCGACGAGTCACAATACGATGAAGCCCGTGAAGCCAGATCACAAGACCTCCAAAATGCTATGTACCAGCGATATTCCCTTCTCGAAGCTGCCAACGTGGATGCTTTTCTGCAAGAAAATATCTGTCCAAAGGTTAGAGCATTTCGAGGTGGGATCATTGATGCATTCCCTGTCACCGACTTCCAGGCTCTTGCAGTTATGGGAACTCTTATGGAATCCAAATGGATGCTCAATTACTTCTTCCTTGAAGGGAGAGGCCCCTTGGATCTGAAACGTTTAAAAATCGCCGTTTCACGAATGGTCGACTCCTTCGATATTCTCAGGACTGTCTTCGTGCCTTACGGCAATCGATTTCTCCAAGTCGTCCTCCGGAAACTGCAGCCAAGCTTTACAGTTCACGAAACAGACAATTTGGCCCATTTTATGACCGAGTTGCAGAAAAAGGATCGTGAATATACCACGCGTCTCGGGGAATCCTTCCTTCAAATTACAATCGCTAGGGAAAATGGAAGCAATCGCCATCGTATTATTATCCGCATGTCTCACGCTCAATATGATGGAGTATGTCTACCAAGCATACTATCCGCCCTACAAGCGGGATACCAAGGCCAAAACATCCCGGCCACACCTTCTTTCTCAAACTACGTACGAGATGCAGCAAGAACAATGACCAATGACCACTATGTGTACTGGAAGTCCCTTCTACAAGGATCTTCAATGACAGAGATAGTAGAGCGTCAAGGACCCAACTACAGCAGAGGCACCGATGCACCAACAACCCTCAAGCGGATAGTCCAGATCCCATCTCTAGCATACGAAGCTATCACTCCCGCGACAATCATAAAATCAGCATGGTCTTTAGTACTAGCCCAATTCTCCGCGTCGGCGGACATCGTTTTCGGCAATGTGATCAGTGGTCGCAACGCGGCCGTTCTAGGCGTCGAAAGCATGATCGGACCTTGTGTGAACATGATTCCGGTACGCGTATCTTTCCAGTCCACTTGGTCTGTCCTTGATCTCCTCAAGTATGTGCAGGGCCAGCAAATAGCCAATATGCCCTATGAATCACTGGGTTTCAGGGAGATTGTAAAGCACTGCACGGAGTGGCCGGACTGGACGAACTTTTCGACCGTATGCCAACATCAGAATATCCAGAGGCAGACAAAGCTGCAGCTTGGAAGGAACGAGTATGTTCTTGGAGCTGTAGGCAGCCAAGAAGATTTTGCAGACATCACTGTACTCTCCACACCGCAAGAGGATGATGGCATTGAGATCTGTTTGATCTTCACCGAGAATAGTGGCATTACGCTACCTTTTGCGGACAAGCTTTTCAAGTCCCTCTGCGATACAGTCGTCTCGTTCTCGTCTAATCCCCGGGCATCAGTGCCCACACGAGACGAATTATCTTCTCTCTCTCGACAAGCTTTGAAGCAAGATATCCCAAAGCGATTGCCTGATCTCAAAGTTCATCTCGAGAATCTAAGCAAACAGGAGCTTGTTTCTTACTCAACTGTTCTGAGCAAAGCCTGGGTTGAAATCTTGCACGATAACAACTCCGAGATTATTCTTCCGCCCATCATCCCATCATCTTCGTTCTATGGTTTGGGCGGCGATATAATCGGCACATCACAAGTTGCGGGGTTGCTAGAGAACGAAGGGCTGAGAATTCGAGTTGAGGATCTTGTTGATCATCCGATGTTTGCGGATCAACTTGCCCTGGTCGTCATTGCTGCCAAGGCAAAGAAAGAAAGGGACGATGATGATATGAAAGATGTCAATGCTCAGCGAGAAATTCCGAAGGAAAAGAAAGGCTTGAAGAAAATATGGGGCAAGGGTATTGGGGGGCTTGCAAAAAGGGTTAAAGGGAGGCGTGGAAGTGACTAGGTGGGGGTCAGTGAGATAATGGCTTCAAACTGCTAAAGAGAAGATGTATTTAGTACATCTTTGACATTTGATCCATGAATAATTTTAAACTGTCGGTCCATGCTTCATACCAAGAAGTCGGGTCTTCGCCTGACTATTAGTGACAAAATTGACCGCCTCCGAAATGCAGCTTTGACGACCGTTCATTAGTCCAGACTAGCTGGAGCAGAACGGACTTCCCGCGATTTGATAGTATGGAAGAAATTCGGGTAGATCAATACCAGAAAGACGTGCATGCTTAGTATCATTGTTTAATTCCACACTAGAAGTTAGGAATAAGTTGTAATTATAGTTTTATTTCCAGAGCTTTATTTTTATAGGCCAACTAGGTAACACGGCTATAAATAGCAACTTTCCATAGTAGAAAAGCTTGTGAAATTAATCACAATGTATGATTTTCATCCCTAATGTATATATTCAGCAATAGCTAGTTTATTTCGTAAATACAAGAATCATAAAAGAGTCAAGTGTAAAACCGTAGCTGGATGGTCTCCCCGCCCAGCCCCGAAGTCCGGCCGGCCATATTTCTCTTTCACCTACTTATTCTACACTAGGGTCTACTCCCTAAACTCCCCCAATTCCCCATCTTCAAGCAAGTACGGACGGAGTGCACATACAAAAGAAGCCCCTTCCAGAATTAAACGTTCAGAACCTCATCCACCTTTGGTAGTCCCAGGCCGTCCCCGACGGATACCGGCACCAACATTTCGGCCCTACTTCCCCGCTGAAACGGCAGCGTGTGCCCAATCGCCTACTCCCCAGGGGGCGGGACGATTCAGCAGCGCAATATAGCCTCAATCCCCCGAGTCAGCGATAAGCTTTCTCCACAACCGCGTCCTACGCCGCCTCTTTCTTGGCGGAACCCTCCTATAACGTTCTTCGCTGTGGACTATAAGGACCCCATAGACAGGCCGGAGAAGCTCCTCAGGGATACCTGTTTAGGCCTCCCGGGGTAGATAGGTGAAAAAAACACGAGGGTGGTGGGTACGTACCTACCTAGGTAAATTACCAAGGAGGGGATTTGGGGGAGCGGAGATGTGGGTTGTGTGAACATGTGGGGTGTGATGTTTTGTTCTGTTCTGCGACGGAGTAGACTTTCTGAGCTGGGGACAGAATTCCGAGGATTCTTTTCTTGGGGACTCCATCGCTAGCTTCGCTGATGCGTCCGCGCGCTTGTTGGCCGGGATGCTGAACACGAAATCCGTAAATAGCATGATGCCTGATCTGGATTCCCTGGCCTGGCATGGGATTGTTCCCCGAAAAAATCCGTGTATATCATAGGTTGATCTCGCGAAACAGATCTCAAATCAACAAGTTCAAGCTTTGTCCAGCGTTATTTTCTACTGCCAAGCTATAGCGATCATGTCGACGTTTGCTTGTCAATTGCTTCTTCCCCATTCTCCACCATGGCCCTAGTCGTGGTGTGCCGCAGTGGGTCTTTGACATCCAGTCGTCTCATGAATTTGACCGAGAGTATCCCGGACGCTTCTCCAATCTCCAGCTTGCGGGGGAGTACAGAAGGCCCGAATTCATGAGTTCTGTCGGAGAATGCCAAGCGGTGTCCACAGGTTGGGGGTCTCCATGGGGTTCCTCGTGGCCATAATGTGATCTGAGCACGGGGTGTCGCGCGTTGATTCTGATTCTGGGATGATCAGTACCTGAAATGAAAGAGTATTAATACGACGATATTCCCCCCGTTTATGGGCTTTCTCCCCCATCCCTCTCAACTTGGAAGCCTCTTGTACTGTTACAGTCTTAACCCCCCCCCCCCTCCTCCATTATGGGTTTCATCAAGAAAACACCCAACGCGGCTGTCAGTCAGTCCGTTGTTGGTCGCGCCAATGCTGTAAAGCAGAATGGTATTAGGGGCATGTTCGCCAATCCTTATGTCTTCATGACCTGTCTCTTCGCCTCCCTGGGCTGTATGATGTATGGTTATGACCAGGGAGTGATGGGTTCAATCCTTGTCATGGAAAACTTCGAAGCACACTTTCCCACCCTCACAGGCTCTAGTATTCAGGGGTGGCTTGTGGCTTCATTGGAACTTGGTGCTTGGGCGGGTGCACTATTGAACGGTTACCTCGCGGACAGAATCTCCAGAAAGTATAGCATGCTGGTTGCTGTGGTCGTCTTCACACTAGGGACTGGGTTGCAAACTGGTGCTCAGAACCCCGGAATGCTTTTCGCGGGACGAGTAATTGGCGGTATTGGCATTGGAATGTAAGTAAAACCTCCTTCTACTTGTTATTTCTGGGACATGAATGCCCCTGGGATCCCATGCTCTATTTTGGCCGACAAATGCTGACTCTGAAAACTTGCAGGTTCAGCATGGTTATCCCCCTTTACCAAGCCGAGATTGCTCCACCTGAACTTCGTGGTTCCCTTGTCTCGCTGCAACAACTTTCCATCACCGTTGGTACCTGTATAGCGTTCTGGCTAGATTACGGGATGCATTTTGTCGGAGGAACCCATTGCGTCCCTGATGGAGTACCAAATAATGGATACGGTTCAGATGGCAAGTTCTCTCCTTCTCTCGCCCATGGGCATACCTGCACGGGCGAGAAAGCCATCTCTTGGAGAGTCCCACTTGCACTCCAACTCATCCCAGCCTGGATACTGTTCTTCGGGATGTTCTTCCTTCCATTCTCCCCACGATGGCTCATGATGAAGCACCGTGACGAAGAATGTATCGCCTCTCTGTCCAAACTTCGCCGTCTCGAACCTGACAATGCGCTTCTGCGAGCGGAATACCTTGAGATCAAAGCCGCCGTCCTGTTTGACGAAGAGACCGAGGCGGAATACAATGCTACAAACAAATTTGGAGCGTGGAGAGCACTCTTCGCCGGAAACATGCTCAAGCGTCTCGGCATTGGTTGCTGGCTGATGATCTTCCAGCAGTTTACTGGAATCAACGCAGTGCTATACTACGCTCCTCAAATCTTCGCCACCTTCGGTTTCACATCCGTCACCACTGAGCTCCTAGCTACAGGCGTGACTGGAATCCTGCAAATCATCTTCACGCTTCCCGCAGTTCTCTTCCTCGACAAGTTTGGCCGAAAGTCATTCTTGATCACCGGTGCTATTGGAATGTGCGTCTGCCACGTAATTGTCGCAGCCCTTGACGGCACCTTCGAAGACTCGTGGCCAACGCACACGTCTGCAGGCTGGGCATCCATCGCATTCATCTGGCTCTTTGCCGTCAACTTCGCCTACTCCTGGGGCCCCGTTACATGGGTTCTCACGCAGGAGATCTTCCCCAACAGCATGCGCTCCCGTGGTGTAGCCATCGTAGCATCCACCAACTGGATGTTCAACTTCGTTATCGGTCTCACAACCCGTGATATGCTTGACAGCATGAAGTACGGGACATATATCTTCTTTGCTGCTTTCTGTGCCGGAGGCGCCATATTTGTGTGGTTGCTGGTCCCTGAAACCAAGAACAAGACGCTCGAGGAGCTAGATATCTACTTTGGCGGTGATAACAATAGCATTGCGGTGGCTGATAAGGCCAGGATGCAGAGGATTGAGGAGAGCTTGGGTCTGGCTGGTGTGCAGACAGTGGAAGATTTGAAGACGGAGAAGGTTATTGGACACGAGGAGACTGTGGGGCTTTGAGTGATAGAAAGGTAGCTTAAATAATCAAGTGATACTACGTTGGATAGAATCAGGTCTCCGCTCCTAGTTTGTCCCAATTCTTTCTCTTTAAAATGCTTGGTTGTAGAAACTTTCTAGCGGGCACCTTTCTACCAGTTCTACAGCGATTGTAGGAAGTTGGAGTTTTTTAATGATGTTTCATTCGTCGAATAATACCGCTAGGTCCATGGCTATATCTCTTAGTCACTTTGTCTCCATCTCAGAGAATAGGTCACATGTCTATCTCTTTCATAAAACCGCTTCGTCTCATAAAGTAATATGTAAGAAAGACTATCTATAAGGGAAGCAAAAAAGGGCGGGTATCATAGAATCCTCAGGTCTTTTTAATCACCAGAACCACCCATCCCAGGATTCTGTAGCCAGCAATGATCCCAATCATAATCCCAAGCCACTCTCCTTGTAGGCCAGTACGATACCCGAACTGCGCCAGGATAGTTGTGCCCCGGATCTTGCCTACGGATGCCAGGTCACTCTGATACATGCAGCTATACCCAGCCGCAGCACTGCCAGCACAATCAAAGTCTCTCCTCTCAAACTCATTGACCATCATGCCCTGAAAAACGTAGGCTTGGTAGTTGATGTAATGGAAAACGTATTTCTAGAACACATTCAGTGTTGTCGAAAAGTTTGTATGTTGAAGTTGACGGCTGGTGGATGGATGCAATAACAATCAACTTGCGGCATATCAGTACGATTTTCCTGGTGAGGTCTTCTAGCGAGTGGTGGGCAGCTCACATTGTTTCTCCTTCCAATCTGCTTGATATAATTCATAACTTCGAAACTGAGTGCCGAGTCTAAGCCGCTTGTGGGCTCGTCGAGAAAGAGGATCTTGGGATCAGTGACGAGCCTACTAGCAACGCCTAGTCGTTTCTTTTGGCCGCCGCTGAGCCCCTTCTTGATCGGTGTACCGACAATGGTGTTTGCTTGAGCGTTCATTCCAAAACTTCCAAGCAGGTCTTCGACGCGTCTTAGGCGTTACTACTTTGAAATTGAGCTATATTGGGGTTAGCCTGACACAATATTATCTAGAGGCATCTTACCCAGGGAGTGCGAGGCTGGCTGCGAATTTCATAGTTTCACAAACTGTCAAACTGCCAATCAAGGCATCTTCCTGTTCAACATAGGCTGAAAGGTGTCGAAGCGTCTGCCAATTGACGACTTGGCCGTTGGTGGGAGTGTCTCCATAGGTGGAAGCTCCAGCGGCGGCTGCTCTGTGTGCTAGCGTGTTCAGAAGAGTCGTCTTTCCTGAGCCAGAAGGCCCCATGATGGCGATCATTTCGCCTGCTCTTACAAGCCCATTTGCGTCAGTAAGAATGGATAGAGGTGCTTTGGTCATGTGGTCCTTAATAGTGACATTCATGTCCTTCCATCCGAATGTCTTGACAATATGGTTAACCAGATGCACACGGGGAAAGCATTCATCTCAATATCTTCTGCGTAGCCAGATTGTACATCCCGAGGTCCATCGAACCCGGAGCCGGTTTGCTGGGCGGTGGTGGAAGACTGAATACCCATGCTGAGGCTGCAGAAAGTCTCCTTGTCCCAGTTGATATGTTGACATCAAAAGTAATAGTAACATGCACTGTTGAAGCAAGCAAGAAGGATGGTTAAACCTCATCTCATACTTGCAAGAAATCTGGTATTAATAGTCGGTCCTTCCTTCTTCGCTGGCCAAAGATTTTGCATTTTATCCTAGCTGATTTGAAGGCTTACAGTCGGCGAACGAGGAGACTACGACGGCGAGACTACTACCTGTCAAACTTTCGCTCTTTCTTCGTTTACAGCCTCACAAATACCAAGTATGTATTCAAAATCAGGTTTCAGCTGACAAATTTTATTAAAGGTTTAATGAAGCTTATAATTTGGCACCCGGAGTATTAGACTAGCACTACTGCATGTACTAAGCAGGCAGCGTCAACCATTTGGCGATGATTTATTTCATACTAGAGTAATACGGGGAGTAGTGCGTGCTTTTCATAGCTACCTTATGAAACGGGAGCGACTCGGCAACCATCGAGACGCGGGACGGGTATGCCTACGCTGCGCTTGGACCATAATTGTGATTTGAGCCATCATGTCCCAGTGCCCTGCCCTATATGCCCCATTATGCTAAACTCTAATACACAGCGTTGGGGACAATTAGTTGATTCCTGAGAATTGGGATTGGTCTCTTAATTCGGCGATGCTGCGATCTAGCATCATTCTTTATCCTTAAACCAGGGAGGCTCATGTAAGACAGATCCTGGTGAAATTTTAAAGCAAGAGCAGAACGCGCGCCATCTATTTCCACCCTTATCACCAGCTCCCCCGATGAATACAGACATATATGTGTATAATAGCCAGTTTTTCATGTTCTGAGGAAGCAATGGAACTGTGTCGTTATCTCTTTATTAATCACTTATTTAACTCACTTAAACTGCTTCGTCAACAATACCCTTCCTAGTCACAAATCGAGGTATATTCAGCACATGTCGCTAAAAGTAGAAGAAATATTGCCAGTTCATAAATGATTTACGATGAAGATAATATCGTTACAAGGGCTGAAAAACATTATTGACAATCTCCTCGCTAACAAAATTCCCCCTATTTCTCCGTCTTCGAGGCCGTTCCAAAGCAGAGAATTCAACGTAGATTTGCGCCTCAAGAGACTCTCTTGAGCAACAAAAAAGGTAATGACATAATAGATCATAATTCATATCACATAGAGCCTGGATGCTTAAATATACTATAAGATAGATGATAGATAGAATTATAGTCATATTCTACCTATAAATAATGTTTCTAGATGTTAAGTAATAAATGAATAATGCGGGGAGGTGATGTGGGGGTGACCCCGGTTTGATCCCCGTAGCGTCCCCGCGTCTTCCGAATCACACTAATTATACATAAGTAGTTGGCTACCTTTAGCTTTAATTAAGAGTCTATTTAGAGCACTTCGTTAATTATACTAATAGTCCGATCCCCTCATTAAGCCTCCAGCCGTTTCCCAGCCTCTTTATGGCAAGCTTAAGTAATACTCCTTCATCTTCGGGAAATTCGGCGTTCCTAAGCCAGTAACTGGATCCCATCCCTCCACAGCACTAAAGCCCACGGTCCCACATCCCGGGTTCGTCCCATTAATAATATCATTCAACATGCCCGGATTAGCATACAAACTGGGATTCAGGAAGCCGATCGGGCCTTTGCCGACATTAAGACGCTCTTCGTTGATGCGAGTGACTACGGCGGAAAAGATGGGTGTCGAGGCTGAGGTTCCGCCGCTGAGGGTAAAGTTTCCGCCGTTGTACATGGCGATGTTGTCGCCGTTTGCAGAAACATCTGGTATTCCACGGCCAATGCGGTTATAGATTCCACCACTCGTCCCCGCCAACGCGCCGATGTCAGGTAGTGCTCCGGTAACATTCAAATCGGGGCTCAACGCGCTATAAGACGTGTATGGAGGATTATGCTTGTCAAAGAAATCTTTTACGAAGCTTGCTTGGTATTCGGGAATGGGGTATATGTTCGAGAATCCGCCGCCGGATGAGTAGTTGACAGAGTAAGGATGTCCGGCTGGATCATAGACTGCAGATTCGGGGTGGGGGTCGGTCACTTTGGATCCGGGGTAGACTTTTGTGGCGCCAACAGAGGTAACGTAAGGACAAGTGCCTGGCCAGGTAGGGTTGAATATGTCTAGATTGGGGCCAAGGCAGCCGGTGGGGCCGTCGATATTGTCTGGATAATCTACTCTTGTCAACTCGGAACTCTTTTACATTTCGAAAGCCCCACAAACAAGGAAAAGTACAGATGGGGAAGTAGAAAGTGGGCACAACTTACTGCCTACACCAGCATCCCCACTTGCAAACAAGAATGAGACACCTTGCAGGCCCAGCTTCATATACTCAAGACACTGACGCTTCTGATATGTGATAGGCAAATCCGATTCCTGACCTCCGTAAGAGAGAGATATGACGTTCGTGGGTTTGTAAGTTCCGCACATAAGACTACCTGCCCAGCCGCCAATTTCGGGATCCGGATATGCCTGGTCGAGTGTTGGGTCATTGCCAGTCTCATTATAGGCTGAGAAAGAGCAGTATGACTTGAGGCATTGTCAGTACATCAAGTCCCCTTTTTATCTTGGGGTTGGGTGCCTGTTTAGAAGAAAAGCAGAACACTTACCCCATCCAGAGCATCAAGAAAAGTATTAAACCCAAATGTATAGGTATCATTCTGATTCGCCTGCACAATAAAATCATCCACCTGGTACAGCGTAATCGTCTGCGGATACACAATGGGGTACGCCAGCTGTATATCTAGATTTGCCTCACCGCCCGCCTCAAACGGATCCTCGGTACTCTGCTGCCCACCATCGATATTCGCGGGCACGGGGTGCGTTCCCTGTGGTATATACTGTGTGTAATTATCAAAAAACAGATCGAGATCTTGCTGTGTGTAGAACTGCAGCTCCGACTCGAAGATCCCAAGCGAGTTGTTTGGGTGCGAGGAAATGGACAATGGGATATTGTAGAGTGCTGCGACGCAGGCGGGTGTAATGGCTACATCGCAGGTGTCGAGATCATTGGGATCTGTGTAAGGTGGATTCTCTACTTTCAATACTCCGTGAAGATTCCTTTTTGCCAGGCCTTCAGATGCTAGCGCTGCGTCTCGTTTCTTGGAAGCATGTGATTCCACGGGAGCAAGGAGTTTGATGCCCGGAGTTACGTAGTCAATATGCTTGCGGATATCTTTGGGAATATGGTATTCCTCGCAAGCAGGCATAACACCTCCAGTGACTGAGTCTTCGTACTCATGATATGTGGTATGGAGCAAGTTTTCAGCTTCTTCAGTGGTGGCAAAGAAGGCGAACCATCCTTTATTGTCTGAGTGCGTAATTCTTTTGGCTGGGATGCCGGACTTGACAAGCCATTCTTTGACTTCGTCTTCTGTCTGTTTGGAGGGACGGAAGGCGTCAATCACACGCTCGGGGCTCCAGTGTTTTCCAAAGTTTGGGGATGTGGGGTTGGATCTGGGGGGGGGGGGGGATATTTAGTTTGAAACATATATTGATGAGGTGATAAGTACTCACACATCCATTAGATGTTCGTATCCATTGCCGAGGTTTGACTGTGTAAGACCAACACGCATCTGAAGCACCTTGTGCGACTCGACACGGTCTCTCTTCGTCCATCTCGGGGAAAGGCTCTGTCTCTTCTCGTGTACCTCGACATGAGCTGGTACGGCCAATGCCTCAACGCAGCCCAGAAGTACTACAACTGCAAGCAAACAAAATCTCATATTCGCCATGGTTATAGAAGCCATGTAATAAGTGGTGAGTTATTGGCTCTTTATAGCTAATCCGGTTGTTCCGCAAATATGTTGTGCTGATCATCCAGATTGATGCCCTTGTACATTGCTTTTGCCAAGCCTAATATAGCAGGTGCGATGCTGCAGCTGAAATGCAGGCTTGCAGGTAAGTGATACTGTGCCGGAACCGGAAAAACTCTACTTCTTGATGAAAATAAGATACGCAGCTTTAAAGCCTCGGAGAAATAGAAAAGCGCCCTCTAATCGAAACAATGATATAGCGTTCCAAAATTTATGTTGTGCTTTCGCCTATATCAGTTAGCCAACGCGCTGCCGGGCGAATTGTCGCCAATTCAGCCGTACCCCCCCAGTTCGCTCGTCTAACCGAAGGTAGATCACTCATCGGAAGAGTCGGGTTGTTCCCGGTTGAATTGGGTATATTTTACTACTTTTTATCTTCCTCTTTTTGAGGTATACAAGTTTGAGTTGCCATGGCACACTCTTAGTCCCGTGAAATATCATTCGCTCATCCGACGCCAATTCTCTAGATGTCCGGTTGATGGATCATCCCCACCCCACCCCAATGCATGTTGAACCACAGATAACCGCTAATCGAGTTAAATGAAAAGAAGCTTTTGTCTCTATATGCCTTGACCAGAAACGCCGATGTTGAGATCGTTTCCAGGTCAAAAGACCGCACCGCATGAAATCATATATCATTTATCCCAAGCCAAAATTTAACGCCTTGTCAAAATACGGAAGTACCTAGATAGACCCCTATTTGGAGGCATACTTTTGGCGGTAGAACTTGGCAGCGTTGACCATGTTGGTCAAAGCAGCCTTGGTCTCAGACCATTGGCGAGTCTTAAGACCACAGTCAGGATCAATCCAGAGTTGCTCTGGCTTGAGGAATGCCAGCATCTCTTCGATTCTGTCCTTGATCTCCTGCTCAGATGGAACACGAGGGGAGTGGATGTCGTAGACACCAGGGCCGATGTGGCGGGGGTAAGCCTCATCAACAAAGACCTTGAGGAGCTTAGCATCCGACTTGCTGTTCTCAATGGAGAGAACATCAGCGTCAAGAGCAGCAATGGCGTGGAAGAAGTCTTGGAACTCAGAGTAACAGAAGTGGGAGTGAATCTGGGTAGAGTCTTGGACACCGGCAACAGAGAGACGGAAAGACTTGACAGCCCAGTCAAGGTAAGCCTCACGCTCCTTGCCAGAGCGGAGAGGAAGACCCTCGCGAAGAGCTGGCTCATCGACTTGGATGACGAAGACACCAGCAGCCTCAAGGTCAATAACCTCATCACGGAGGGCAAGAGCAAGTTGCTCGGCCTGGACAGATTGGTGGACATCGTCACGGGGGAACGACCATCGGAGACAGGTGATTGGTCCAGTCAACATACCCTTCATTGGCTTCTTGGAGATAGAGACAGCGTACTTGGACTCCTTGACAGTCATTGGTGCAGGACGAGAGATATCACCAACAATGATTGGAGGACGAACGCAGCGGGAACCATAAGATTGGACCCAGGCGTGGGTGGTGAAGGCATAACCGTCAAGGCGCTCACCGAAGTATTGCACCATGTCGTTACGCTCAGGCTCACCGTGAACAAAGACATCAAGGTCAAGCTCCTCTTGGACCTTGACGACATCTTGGATCTCCTTTTCAATGAACTTCTCGTACTCTGCAGCAGTGATCTCACCCTTGGTGAACTTGTTGCGCTGGATACGGATCTCCTTTGTTTGGGGGAAAGAGCCAATGGTGGTGGTTGGGAAGAGGGGAAGACCCAAGCTCTTCTGTTGCTGGGCAATTCTGGTAGGAAACTCGGACTTTCGGTTGTAAAAGTCTGGGGTGATCTTGGATTGACGTTCCTTGACCTTAGGGTCATTGGTACGCTTAGAGGTGGCACGAGCTTGAATGGATTTGGCGTTAGCCTCCAATTCAGCACGGACAGCAGCAGGGCCTTCAGTCACAGCCTTGGCAATGACAGCAACTTCTGATGCCTTCTCAACAGCGAAGGAGAACCAATCAGCAATTTCCGGGTCAAGCTTCTTCTCGCTTGCAAGAGTGTGTGGGGTGTGGAGAAGAGAGCTGGAAGTAGCGACAATGACACGGTCCTTGCCGAGCTTCTGGACGGCCTTCTCGATAGTCTCAATGGAACGCTTGAGGTTGTTCTTCCAGATGTTACGTCCATCAACGACACCAGCAGAAAGAATAGTCTTTGAGCCTAAAGCACCGACAACAGTGTCAAGTTGCTCAGGGTTTCGGACCAAATCGACGTGAACAGCGTAAACATCTGTTGGGAGAGCATCGATGTTGTGGACGATGTCACCGAAGTATGTGGCGAAGACGATCTTTGGGATCTTGTCGCCGAGAGCAGCGAGCTTTTCATAGGTTGGCTTGAATGCAGCCTTGGTCTTGGCAGGCAAGTCGAAAACGAGAGTAGGCTCGTCAATTTGGACGGTCTCAGCACCGGCAGCCTTGAGCTTGGTAAGAAGCTCTTCGTATACTGGCAGGAGTTTATCGAGAAGATCGATTGGTGAGACAGTCTGGTCACGATCGGGCTTGCCGAGGGCGAGGAAAGAGACGGGGCCAACAAGGACAGGTCTGGTGATAATGCCAGCCTCCTTGGCCTCGATGAACTCAACAACAGCCTTGGGGTTGGCACTGAGCTTGAAGGTCTGGTTGTCTTGCAGGGTAGGCTTGACATAGTGGTAGTTCGAGTCGAACCACTTCACCATCTCCAAGCTGGGGACATCAACACCACCCTTCTGGTGGCCACGACCCATAGCAAAGTATTCATCGATAGGGTCGAGGTTTTGGGTGGTATATCTAGGTGGTGCGGCCTGTGGGAAATCGATTAGCATGATTGCTACTGTGGAGGGGTGGCTAGCACTAGAAAACTTACGCCGAAATCTTGGATGTGGGTGAGCACTTGGTCGTAGAGAGCGAAATCATTGCTAGGGATGACATCGACACCGGCCTTCTTCTGGATATTCCAGTGCTCGAGACGCAGTCTCTTGGCCTCGGTGAGGAGATCAGCTTGCGAGAGCTTGCCGCCCCAGTAGGCTTCGGTGGCTTTCTTCAGCTCACGGTTTGCTCCCATACGAGGGAAACCGAGGATAGATCTGTCAGTGAGATAAAGATTAGCATACCGAAGCTGAAGCTGAAGGCTGGCTGGCTGGCCGAGAGTTAGGGATGATTGACACTCACGATTGAACCATGATTGCTGGTTTGCAAAGTCTCAAAGTAAAACGGCAAATTGCTGTCGAGTCGTGTCAACAACGATTGCGTGCTTGCAGAAAGTCGCCGATGACGGATGATCGGGAACTTCTGGTTTGATTGACGGACGGGATGAGGGGATTCGGAAAAGAGCAATGTATAGAGAGAGGGATCACTCTGAAGTAAGAGAGATTCAAATGAAGGAAGGGTTTTATGGAGAAGATAGGAGGAGGATTGTTTCAAAGGGTAGCGGTGTGGGCGAAGGAAGGAAGCAGAGTTTGTGCCGAAGATAAGTAGCGGGGTGGAAAAAGCCCCTCAACTTAGCGTGTCCTGCTTGGGTTTAGCTCTATGGCCACGTGATCTCACCTCATTCGCCTTTCTTCGAATTTCGCCGCCTTTCTCTCACTCCGACTGTCGAACTATCAAAATACATACAAATCCTGATGTTTTCACGTGCAACCTCTCGAGCTTCATCAAATCCCCAAAAGAATCCTTTTGGTCAAATGATTGTTCTTTGCTGATTCCCATCCTGCAACGCCAAGACGTCTGCGAGCAGTGACATACCGGTATCACAGTTGAGCCTTATGTGCTACTGCTTCCAAAGACCACTGCCGTCTCGACGGGTGACTCTATGCACTGCCTAGTCGGCATTTCCATACATCAAAGAAGCTCGTTCCTTCCTCGAAAGAAATTGTTCCTTCCTTTTCAAACCCCCCCCCAGCCCCCCCAAAAGTCAATGCTGCACAAGTCATCTGACAATTACACAACATGAACACCACATCCTCAGTCACTGCACAGATGGTAGTAGACCATTACTCTGCTCTTGCGCGCGAAGACGATGCCAAAAACACCGACCATATCAAGAAAGTAGCTGAGTCTTTCGGTTACGCTCCCGAAGATCTCGCTAGTATCCCCGAGGGAGCAAATCTCGGTGTCAGCTGTGGAAATTCACTCGCCGTAGCTAAGTTGAGACCAGTTAGCATCGCCTCATCTCTCGCCTCATCTCACCACTTCTCCAACATTCTATCCTCCAAAACTTGGTAAATCGCTGAATGGAATTGGTCACGTGCTAATCACACCCAGGGAGAGACAGTGATCGATCTCGGCTCGGGAGCAGGCTTCGATGTCTTCCAAGCAGCCCGAAAGGTCAGATCAAAGGGTCTCTCAATTGGCGTAGACATGAGCCGCGACATGCTCGATCGCGCCCAGACCAATGCATCCAAAACATCCATCACCAACGTGAAATTCATTCTCTCACCCATCACAAAAATCCCTTTGGAATGCGAAAATGCAAACTGTATCATGAGCAACTGCGTTATTAACCTTCTTCCTGTGGACGAAAAACCTTTATGTTTCTCCGAGGTGTATCGGCTGTTGAGACCAGGGGGTCGACTGGCTCTTAGTGATATACTGGCAAAGAAGGAGATTCCTAAAGCTTTGAGGAGGGTTGTATGTTGGCTGCATTGGCGGAGCTAGTTTGGTGAATGAATATGAGGGTTGGTTGAGAGCGGCTGGGTTTAAAGGTATGAAAGATCTCTTGGTGGTGTCTAGTCTATCTACTGACAGGATTGTGTGTAGACATTGTAATCGTGGACAAACACAGCGATCTGAATATCTACAAAGAAAGACTTCAGGATGAAGAAAAAGGCTCATGCTATGATACTTCTGCATCGAAGGAAGAAACACGTTGCTGCTCTACCAAAGAGCCGAATGATATTGCAAAGGAGAAGACAGCAGAGAGGGTTGCGGACATTGATTTCAATGACTGGGTTAGTAAGTTAACCTCTCTTCCCCACAATATTCAATAATGGGACTTACATTCGGCGGGAAGGTTCCTACAGCATCTATGCTGTTAAACCTAGCAAGCCTTCTTTGTCGGCCAATACTTGAAATAATATCCGAACACTTGGACAAGCACTATGTTAGCTATCGGCACCCTCTTTTCCAGAACCCTAAGAAATTGTAATTGATGATGAAAACTGACATTTCTACTTCTAAACCATTACTAGCTTCACAATCCAATGTGTCAGGCCCGTCAGAATCTTTTCTCAAGATACTTGCATAAGTGTGTAACGCCTTTCTATTCCCTAACATTAAGTGTGTCCAGCAACAGGCTTAGGAATATACAATTCCTCCAAATAATTCATCTCCTCCTCGCTCAACTCCAAATCCCTCAACTTACAAATATCATCCAACCTCTCCACACTCGAACTACTCAACCCCACGATAGGAATTGCCCCTCTCCCCTTAACCCACGCCATAGCAACCTGACTCATCTTCCACCCCTTCTTCCCCGCCATCTCCCCCACCCTCCCATTAATCGCCCTATCCACCTCCGTAATCCCACTCAGCGCCGTACTCTGCGCACTCCTCGCACTCTGCTCCCCAAACGGCTTCGCCAACAACCCGTTCGCCAACGGCCCCCAGGGAATAATCCCTACGCCCGTCTCCTTACAAAACCGCATCATCTCCCTCTCCTCCTCCCTATACAACAGATTGTACCGGTTCTGCATGCTGATAAACTTCGTCCACCCGTTCTTCTCTGCTATGAATTGCATGCTGGCGAATTGGTACGTCCACATGGAACTCGCGCCAATGTAGCGCACCTTGCCGCTCTCCACTAGGTCGTGTAACGCTTTCATGGTTTCGGCGGGCGGCACATCGGGGTCGTAGCGGTGGATTTGGAGCAGGTCGATATAATCCGTGCCTAGACGTTTGAGGGATGCGTTTACGGCTTTGAAGATTGCGCCGCGGGAAAGACCTAGGGTAGGATTTGATGTTAGTGGAGGTGCTCTGGGTGGTGGGATTTATATTGGATATAGGACTGCTTGAGACGAAACGAACCGCCTTTGTTCACGTAGTCCTTAGACTTCGCCATCTGGTCCTCAAACATCCAATTAAACACCCCCGGCTCCTCAGGCACAGTCCCCCTGACTTTTGCCAACAGTGTGAGCTTCTCCCGTGGGATGTTGAATTTTGTGATCGCCTTGCCGACGATTTCTTCATTGGCTCCGGATGAGTATACATTCGCCGTGTCCCAAGTAGTAAGTCCTATCCTCTATCATTAGTTCCCCTCGTTCCTCCGAAAATATAAAGAGTTTTGCTGGTTGGGGAGTACCTCTATCCCAAGCCATCTTTAATACCTGCAGTCCTTCCTCTTCCTCAATGACCCATTCTAACCATTGCTTACTGCCAATACCCATCGTGCCTAGAATAGGCGAGGAGACGCGTAGGCCCGAGGTGCCGAGTTGGACGTACTCGACTTTGGTATCGTCGATGCTCTTTTGGAGCGAGGCGGGAACTGGTGGGGGAGGCATTTTGGTCTTTTGGACTTGAACTTGATTGATCAAGAAATATGTTCGATGGTTGAACTTTGATGTGGGGAGTTCAGAAACGTGTTGATAGATGGTGATCGTGAAGCTCAACACTGGACAGAAGAAAGGGCAGACTTATATACCTAGATGCTGGATACGTCTCGGACGGGTTTACGACATACATTATTATCTCTTATGCACGATCGGAGATAAATGTCTTAACAGCCCTTCCCCCGCACAAAGCTGCACTACGAGACTCCTTACCACCTTACTCCGTTCAAATAGGTTCAAGCCTTCAAAGTTACGACCCAACCCATAAGAGTTGTCCTGATATTCTTAACACAACCTACAACCCTCCAATCAAAAGCCCTCGCTTACCCACCCCACCTCCCCCCTAGAAAATGAATCTAACCGCATCAGTCGATACTCACGAGAGGCTAATGTAAGGTGCTATGAGGCTCTGGTTGAAGTTACTGCTTAAATCCGTCCGTTATCTGCATGCTAATAAAAGATGCAAACAATGGGGGTTTATGATCTTTCTTCTTTTTATAAGCTAGAGAGAACTCAAAGCACACTTCAATTGGTCTGGAGCCTCCCTCGACACCTTCATCTTCCTCATATCTGGATGTTGTCGGCTTCCTTATTCACAATCTCCCCTCCAACTTCGCCTCCCCCAGCCGGTATAAATTACTCCGTACAATGTTTCAGATATGCTCTCACGCATACTGAATTCCAAATCCTGAGAAGTATATATATTCGAGAGTGATGGAAGCACAATAAATGATTTATATGGTGATTACTTGACCCGGTTAAAGAGAGAAGATACGAGGGAGAAGGCTTTAGGTGTGGATAAATCGCATGAAGTAGTATAATGAGAAGTTGAAAGCAATCCGAAATTCACTAATTATCCCGTGGATTTGAAACGGGACATGAACTATTGAAGTTATGAGGATATTATATAATATAAGATATTGGATGCTTTAATTTTAAGCATTTCAAAAAAAAAGGGCCAGAAGAAGTAAGAAGTTGCCGGCAGGAGACTTTTGCCATAAAAGCAACAAGCGCTTGTAATTATGCGGTCTCTCTATTTGACTTACCGAGTGTAATGCGAAATTTATTGCTTACCGAGGTTATTATGTTCTTAAGTTAGTGAATGAGTTAGTTGCTGTCAAGTGTACATTTACGGTCATTATCATATATCTACTAGTAGAACTGAAATTCAATATCCTTTATCTGGTTACAGGGCAATATGATGAATAGTCGGTATCTACACACACATTTAGGGTCCACTGATGAATCGTCAATGCACAGCCTTAAGTCTTAAGACCTTGCAAGTATTTTTTGCGTCTTGATTGCATACGCTTTTTACTTATAGAAACTATTACGAGAGGCAAGACATGATGTGCGCTAAGCCTAACCCGGTCCAACTGGACCTCTCTCTGATTACTAAGCATAATCTGAATGTTATACAAAGCTTAAGAGGTCTTTTATAATTCATAAGCCTTATAGTACATTAATGGAATCTCTTGGTGGATAAACTCGAGATATAAGAATGAATATGTGGATTCTGAGACACGGTGTTACTATACCTTCCACTATCCGGGTTGACTTGGAGGCCAAGGGACCAAGCAATTCGACGAGTATAAAAGTTATGAAATTAGGCCCGACACTTGAGAGGGACACGAGAGCTGGGTAGTACCAGATCTTACTACGCGAAAAATGTCTAACAAGATGTCTCTAAATAGCATTCAGCAAAATACCAGTAATAACACCAATGAAATAAACATAAGAGCAGTGATGGATCTTTAGCGTCAGAACCGAGTCTTCCGACGTATCAAACAAGGGTCGTTGAATCAATAAATTTATACTTCTGCGTGACTAATTATAGTTTGCCTCATAGTCCCTTAGCCAAAAGAGATGCACCATATTGCTAGTGAGGCCTGACTTGTTATATGCTCCAAAACTTTACCCTCGAGAATGGCCTAGAACTTATTTCAAGCTAGAGAGATAGGTGGATTAGAATCCTCCAGCAGGAATTTTCCTACAAGTGGCACTAATGCCCGTGGTTGTTTGCCCCGTAGACGGTGGCGCGAGAGGGGCGTTTGCTTGTTGAGCGGAACTAAGCGGGCTATCGGTCATTTGCTGCAGAGCACAAGCACCAAACTTTTAGCGATTAATCCCCTATAAACGTTAGATCAACCCGCTCCTACCCCACTATACTGATAACATGCTTATTATTAGATAACGCGGAAATCTTGTACGGAGTACGGAGTATAAAGCTTTTTTTCTTCCGGGGTGATATAAGGGGCGGAAGATTAAAAGCTTGATGCAGAAAGAAGTTTACTGTTTACCGCGAGTAGCAGAGAGCATTACTTGGTTCACTTCCTGCTACTACTAGTACTTGCTCAATGTACTAAGTATCATCACTCTAATTCTGCTAAAGCAAAACATACTATGCAATTATTTATGTAAGCTAAGGAACTAGCTTCTAATAACCACGGAGTATGCCATGTGCGCCGAAGACACTAAGAACTTTTAGAAAACATAAAAATGCCGGCATTGACCCTACTAGTAGGTTACGCGAGATGGAAGGAATGGTCACAAAAGAATTGGCCGGGATACGAGAGGATTGGCTATTGGATAGAACCGCGAGATTACGGGAGGAATCTTGGATTCGTCGCCTTGTACATCGCCACGAAAACCAGACGTTAATCTAGATTACGATTTGCGAAAGTTCTTCAAATTGGTATGGATAAGATGCTAAAAACACAGACGCTGAACGCTGGGGTTTTAAGAACTTATAGAGGTTACGAAGACCGAGCTCCTAGTACGACCATTTCAGAACAACATAGGCCGGAATTGATATAGATGCAATACTTGTTTCTAGAAGTTGGAATAGGTAGTTTTATGCGATTACCTTATGCTAAATGAAGAAGAACGTCCGGGGAACGGGCCCTTTTTATACTAGCTAATTCATACGCCTAGACTAATTAATCCCTTAGTATGACCCATACATATAGGAATAGCCTCTTGATGCTCCATATGTATATAGGGGTTGAATCCCGTGATCCACACTCATTGACCTGTGACTATAATGTTCTTTATTTAGCTATAATATGATCAAATACTAGGGTCTAAAATAAAATTAGAGGTGCCTAGAATCTTGCCAGGTGATCCTCACTGATTCTCTATATCGGAGTAGCCGCGTAGGATGATGGTGTAAACTGAGAACCTTAATGCTCCTACCGGTCACGGCGAGGCGGAAGGACGCACAAGGCTCTCTCGGGTATTTATTTAAAAGCACCATCGATTTCTTCACTTTTGATTCTCCAGCTTCCACATCCGTCTTTCCTTCCTTGCACATCGAAGAACCTATTGGTTGATTCGATAGCCTCACGAAGTCATGCTCACCTCCCTCGCATGGTCACTCGGTTTGGGCTTGGCACTCGAAGTGTCCTGCGCCCCCTCTGTTCCACAAGCTCTGCGTCGCCAGTCTGCCAACAACTTCACTTCCTATACTATTCCACCGTTGGAAAGCAGCAGCAGCAGCAGCGTCCGAGCAAGTGCAATTAAAGTCAAAGCAGATACCTTTTTGTACGGACCTTCAATTGCGGGAAATACTTCTTTCTGGCCAACAGGATCCTTGGGAAACTCCACCGTTAACGCCGATTTCGCAGCTTTGTCAACGGACACACCAATCGATGTCCCAAATGTTGAAGCCGATGCAGCTGTCGTTACAAGCACCATTGCGGCGGTATGTGAATTAGCCATAACTTAAAATTTGATAAGTTTCTGACAAAAATAGGCTGGTGGTTTGAAGCAGCTTTCCGATTATAATCTTTTGTATAAAGATCAATGGAAAAAGAGCTTGCCTGATGGTGTAGATGTGGGAGTTCTCACGAACTACACTAATGATTTGTTCTTTTCAATGGAAAGATTATCCGTCAACCCCTTTTCAATTAAGCGATTGGATGCATCTGCTACACTGCCCTTCCAAGTCGACAATGGAATTACAACCAACATCACAGGGACTACTGTCTCCGGGCTCTTGAAATCTGGAAATCTATTCTACGTCGACCATCGTGATCAAGCTACCCTCGAGTCTACTGGAAGATTCGCAGCATATTGCGACGCGTATTTCTACATCCACCCCACCAGCGGAGATTTTCTTCCTCTAGCTATTCGAACAAATACTGGTAGTAACTTAATATACACACCGGCGGACACCGCAAACGATTGGCTTTTGGCTAAAATGATGTTTAATTTGAACGACTTTTGGCATTCGCAATGGTATCATCTCTCTGCAACACATAACGTTCTCGAGATTATCTGGGAAGCTGCCTATCGGACCTTGAGTGACGAGCATCCTGTCATGGCTCTTCTCAAACGATGTAAGAATACTTCTATTCTGATTGAACAACTGTACTGACCCAGACGTAGTATCTATAAGGATATTTGGATATCGTGTTTCAGCAATCACCGATTTGATCAACACAGGTGGTTTCATTGACCAGTCTTTTGCTTTCACCGGGGCTGCGGCCGGTGTCTCCACTACCAAATTCTACCAATCTGGCGAAGCAGGAAATTTCCAGTCCAACTATTTCTATCGCAATCTTCAGAACCGTGGCCTATACAACAACACATTTGGCCCCAAGATCAAATCTTTCCCTTTCCTAGAGGACGCCTCCGTTATCCACACTAGTATCCAAAGCGTCATGACCACTTTCGTAGACTCCTATTACACGTCGCCTTCATCATTCCAACAAGATTCAGAGTTGCAAGCCTGGATCGCCGAAGCCAAACCTGCCCAGATCATGGATTTCCCTACCTCAGTCGACCGCCAGACACTCATCGACATCCTTACCCAATTCGCGTATCTAGGAAGCGCAGCCCATCAAACCCTCAACACAAACGATCTCGCCGAGATCAAAGGTACATTGCCTTTCCACCCCGCATCGCTCTACTCAGCAGTCCCTGAGACGAAGGGCGTCACGGACCTCATGCCCTTCCTACCTCCCGCCAACGCATCCGTCCAGCAGCTTATCCTTCTAGGCTTATTCGCTCGCCCTACCTTTGTCAACTCCAATGTCTCGTTGTCACAGATGTTCAATGACACTACTATGTTGGGCAAGATGCCCACCAAGATTGCAGATGCGTCGGCGACGTTTGAAAAGGAGATGCTGGCGCAGAGTAAGGTCGTTGCTGCCAGATCCTTTGATAAGGATGGACTATCACAGGGCATGCCGTTTATCTGGAGGACTCTAGACCCCCAGAGAGCACCATACTATCTCACTGTCTGAATAATAGAAAACATAATTGGGAGAAGCCCACTTCTATTAGAATAATTCAAGTCGCAAAGAATTTGCAATGCATCTAAACATCCATGGTGGTCCTACACGGTGCGCGCTGGAGTGACTATAGTTTTGGTTATAAGTATGCAGTTACTCGTAAATCTAACGTTTTAAGGATTAATAGTCGGTCATCCTTACTTGCTCGCTTCGCTTATAGTCGGGGAAAGCGAATGTCCCGTGCAAGCGAATGTCCCACGTCGGAAACTACACCAAAATCGCGATAATATAAGTCTAAAAACATAGGTTAAAAGAGTTATAACTCCACTACACTTTAGATGCACTATAAAAAAAATCATATAAGGTATCTCTATATATATATCTAGAGATATAAGTATTTAAAATAAAAATTAAAAGGGTTGCGCAGCTTAAAAGTTATAAAACGTAGCATTTTAGAACACTTTTTTAGTGAGGAAGCAGTGCAAAATAGGTGTAGAAAGCGCATTTTAGTGAGGAAACCCATACAAATCGCGACATGGGACATTTGCTTGCACGGGACATTCGCTTTCCCCGACTAGTAAGGAAAACCGACTATTAGGCCTAGTATATCTGAACATTTACTCCGGTGCTGGATTAATGGTTCCAAAACATGGTATCTTATTGTGCTCTCCTCTTCACCCTGAGGTATTTAAGCGAGACTGCGTGGTAAACATGGCGAGACGAGGTCGAAAAGGGGCTCGCCGGACATCGTAAATAAAGATACCGTCAGCGACGACATTTTCTTGATATTTCGCAATACCCGATCAGCAAACCAGAAAAAGGTACCCAGCTTAGGCAGATAAGCAACCATATGAGTCAGACATTATGATTTTAGTTAGGTCGGTATATTCATTCTATGGCACAGTATAGATAATTTCCCTAGAGGGCATCATCTAAGTTACTCATTAGAGCATTTTGAACATGTTAGACTCGTTATAGCCACTTGGCTTTCCTTTCTGTATTGCATTGACCGCTTCTTACTGCCAACAGAAACTAACACCCCTTAATGAATGAAGCAACGAAAAATTCAGCCCCACTCACCCGAAAAATACAAACATCAAGAAGGTGATGGAGGGAAAATACCGATTTAGAGTCTGCGGAGGAAGCAGCTTGCCTGTTAATAGACAGACACGTTCTATTTAAATCGCAGACAAATAGACTTATAAACAACGACAACACCACATCAGCCCCGAACAATACGGTATTACATTACTGATAGCCCACAAAGCGCTTTCAAAGCCTTTAAGCCGTTCATTCATCCATAGATCCGACGAAAAAAGCACACCTCACCCAACCTCACCTCAGCACGCTCGTATGGAATGTACAAGCTTAGCGCGCACAGACATGCACTTCTCCAGCATTCTGCATCCTGCAAACAGCAAAGGTCTTGATCATCTGATAGACGTTTGCTTCAAGTCTTCAATGGCTCATGTCGTTCCCTCCATGAGAAGCAGTGTTGAGTATAGATTCCCCCTCACGAAGTTTTTTCCCCTCCTTTCTATCAACAGCACATGAAAACATAACCCCAACCCCCGCCCTTTCCTAACACCACGCTTTCCACTTCTACCTCATGACTTACTTATGAACATCTATTGCGTCACTCTTACTAAGAAAGCAACAAGACTAACAAGGGAGAAAAAGCAACAGTGCAATTATGGTGCAGACTCCCAAATGCCCAATCCCCACTCTTTACCACCGCACAATCAATCCCCTCCCCCTCCTCTCACACCACACACCCCTCACTCACTCCACCAGCCATCCAAATAATCATCGCATCTCCCAACCACACCCACAAAATAACAACAAATCCCCACTCCACCAAGTTTACTTAGATCCTAACCACTAAAGCAAAACCCAGACAAGTATGTCTATCCATCTATCTGTCAAGCAACAGCCAAAGAGATGAGAAATTGGTAAAATTTAGCCGGAAAGCGCATTCAGACGTGGAATGGTGTACCAATTTAGACTTGTGTTTCCTAGTACCTATGTGTGAAAGGTAATGTGAAATATATCCAGTGCTTAACATCAAGTGGAAGGCATTGCTAATTCCACCAAGAGTGAATGTAATCTCCCCTTCGAATGCTTTCTTGAGCACAGTAATAATAAACATTCAGACTTCACTTAAATATTGGAACAAACTCTTAAGACAGATGTACTTGTGAAGGAGTCTTTGTTTATGCATTACAGGCTTACTAGCTTAGCTCATGAAGTGCGTTGCCGCATTAAATATTTTTCCCCCTCCCGCTTTGACACGCGCGCGACTTGCTTTTTTACCCCTCCGCTCCACCCATCCATCCATACTATAATACCAGCCTTTTTTTTTACAATACCAACAAAACCAGCAAAAGCAATCCCGCATTTTCAGGCGTGAGCCATGCCGCATGTCTCATGTTGTAATTCCTCCGCAAGCCGATAGAGAAAGATGGTGATGTCCTTTATACAAATCCAATTATCAATAAGCACATCGCGCGCAGTTTCCCAATCCCCACCCTCTTTCCCATCCCGGGGAGTTTTCATGAAAATGCAATCAATGCCAGCCGTGAGTGAGAGCAAAATATAGTATTCAATCAATAGGAGTTCTTGAAAAAAAAAAAAAGGATGAACATAAAAAATTCCAGGATCATATTAATGATCATGTTGAGCCATCTCGAAACGCCGAGGGCCCTGAAAAGGATGCCGAAAATCAATCGCTAAAACGCTGTTCAAAGTGGGTATCAAATCAATCGATGGGTCGGTCGTGGAGTGAGGACATGTATGTGTTTGGTGTCGTATCAAGAGTAATTGTAATATGTTTTGTCCGGCAGAGGCGGACGTTAAATGGGGGTTGCTGGGATAGTTGCTTTGTCCTTAGAATGCGTCCATGCGAAAATGTCGAACTTCTCCTTCGATGGTGCAACAGGTGGGAAGCTGTTCTGTCCCTCAATAGGACTACCCTTTGGAGGCAGGTTTTCTCGAGGCTCAAGTAACAAGCTCTTGCGATAGAACTGCTGCACATTTTCATGCTCAGAAGTCGATTTGACGCGAACAATCTGTGCTTGTATCCACTCTTGCATCTCTGGAACCTCCGCAAGACGGTATGGAATCTGGAAGCGTTGGAGCTCGCCAATGATCTTTGCCGTTCGAGTGTGCTTATCAAAGTTGATGACTGCCATGCCATCGCTGTTTCCGACTCCAGGAAGTTGCTTTGTTGCAGGGTTACCAGCGTCGACAAATGTCAAATCCGTAAGGTAGGTCCCGACGAAAGGGAGACAAGGGGGCACATGGTCATGGAGACGCTTTCGAAGAGTAGCATAGTTTTTGTCGGGTTCGACAATTGCCTGCAGACCCTTTAGCATCTCCTTCCGCCTTTGTGAAACCACATCCCAGGTTTTCTTGAGTCGGACAATGGTAGAGGAGTTCAAAGAGCAGATGATAGCCATGAGCGAATCATAGTTATTAAGCTCGAGACACTTGTGAGCGATTTTGATCCAGTGCTTGATGATCACTGCTCGCTTCTTCATGTCCTCGTACTGCAGAATGGTGTCGGCTACCAGATTGGACAGATCGGTGGAGAGGGTTGACATTGCTCGAACATTGACCGCATTGGATCCGGATCGCTTGGTCCACTCAGAGCCTAAGAGCTCTTCTGGCATGATGGCGCAGAAGATATTCATCTCTTTGATAGTCAATTGCCTAGCTAACTCGAGAGGGTCGAAGTCCAGAATGGTCGGGTTGCTTCCGCCCATTTTCCAGTTCTTAAGAACACCCACTTGGCTCTTGGTCAGGGTCGATGGAGGGAGCGGGGTATCGGCTGGAATGTACTGCGAAATAGACGTCGAAGTTTTCCCGATAGAAGAAACAAGGCGAGGAACGAGAGGTCCCTCGGTCGATGTTACCTTCTGAGCTAGCTCAAGTAGTCTTCGTCCAGCGGCGGGGAGAACTTTCCCAAGCTTCTCTTTGGCAAAAGGCTCTATCACTACAAGTGAATCATGATCCGAAAGGTCGCGCCAATGGGATTCTAGCCAGCCCTTGAAGACATTATAAACCCGCAATCGTACTGGTCCTGCAATATGAGGACTCTCTGCAACGTATTCAAACCTCTCAACCAAAGCTGTAGCTAGTTTGATTGGTGTAACAAACAATCGGAATGTCAGGTAAAATGTCGAAACAAACATTGCGTCTGGAGTAGAATCATGGGTGGTAAGTCTCTCTACTAAAGCTGAGAGACTGCCTCCAGTAATATGACCGTCTTTATTATGCAGAAGCTCATGCGCAAAGGTCTTTTCAAGCATTTTCGACTCGCCCTCCTCAGCAGAATCGTCTGCCAGAGTCGAATGGCTGCCAGTAGCACTCATTTCTGAAAGGGAAGGCTTACTTCGTGGAACATACGGTGCAATGTCTGGGGTTGTAGCACGCGTCGAGGCTTGAGAAAGCAGACTCAACTCTGAGTCGCGCATGCTGCTGAGATACGTGCTGTTCGTCCCTGTACTTGAAATCCCACTACCCTTCCTGTAAGAAGGCTGGTATTCACTCTCATGTCCAGATGACGGCTCCGAAGGACTGTAATCTTCGTTGTTTAACAAAGGACTGGTGAGTTTGGGAAGCGGAGGTAGGATTGACACTGTCGATGACCGGGATGACGAATCTGTCCAGGCGCTTGAGGCTGTTGTGCTCGATGCCGTTGTGCTCGATGCCGTTGCGCTCGATGCCCATCCATTTTGTACCACAGGTTCGACATTCCCGGCTGATAAATGATTGCTTGTGTCTTTAACTGGTGGAGAGGCAAGAGGTACATCTGGCAATGGTTTTTCGTAACTTGGAATAATCAAGGGTGGAGGCGGGGGTCGACTTGCGGGCTCTGGTTGACTAGGCTCAACCTCAACATTGCGTTCAGACTGATCCCCAACACTGCCAATTGACGGTATATCAATACCAAGACCCTGACTCTTGAACTCGAACTCGAAGTCGCCGATTCTTTCGATGACAAACTTGGTCTTGGCGACACATTCTCCTGCAGCTTTCACGCAACCAGTTGCAGCCGTAAGCAAACCCTCATTCTGTTGTCGCATGACTACGTTCTCGTCCTCTACCCCGGACGCTTTAACAATGTCTCGCGCAGCAGCAGCCAACTTGTTGATTCTATCATACATAGCGTCCCGGGCTGCTTCCAACGCATCCGCGCTTTGATTATCATGCGCGCATATCGCCGCGACCACCATTAAGAGACTGTGACCCGCGTTCACACACTGACGGACCGAAGAGAGAAGCTCGAGAGCGGATTGTGACTGCAGATGTAACCGGCCGATAAAGGAGCCTAGGAAGGAGAGGAAGGTATCGTGACTAACATTCAGTCTCTCGGAAACGAGATTCTGTCGTTGCGCAGCTGGAATGGAAGCCGTAAGAGACAAGCGATGTGAGACTGACTGTCTGTTGAGCTGCATTGAAGACGGTCGGGTCATAGACAATGGCCTTGGAGGCGGCGCGTTGGTTGAGTGAGCGCCCAACATGCGTTGGCATGACTGTCGTTTCGTTTGTTCTTCAAATTGCTGCGCTGTAGGCAGGCCGCTTGCCGAACTGCGACTCGAGCTCCTGCGGGATGCCGCATCGTATGCAGGGTCTCCATGCTGTGTTCCTTCAAATGACGTTGCATCCGCTGGAGGAGTTGGCGGGTTATAAGCTTCTTCTGCAACAGTGGCCATTACCCGGTGAACCGGATGTCGCGTCCGGACGTCATCGTCCAAAACATCGAGGAATCGAACGCCTCTGGTCACGATTTTGAATGCCTTCAAGATCATCTCATCGATGGTGTTGTTGATATCGTCACTGTCGTACTGGTTATGAGGCAAGGTTGCGGTGCATTCTTGTAAGCGTTTCGCCGTCTTGACGAGGGAGGAGAGGTCTGATAACAGTGCTTTGCGATGGCGTCGTAGGCCCTCATTGCTCTGAACGAGAGTTGATTCTCGCGTCAGGCAATTAGATTTCTCCTGTTCCGCTATTAGCTGTATTCTCGTACTACGTGATGTATTGAACCTACCAATAAAGATCGAACACCCGCAATAATACCCCGCATAAATTCTTGGTTGCCAAAAACTTCGCCGTCGATGTTCATACCACTTCGTAATAAGTCCCAAAAATGCAGGAGTGCCATCAGAAGGTTTTGCATCGAGTGGGGGCCGTAGGCTTCGCAATAATTCGTTGGTAGCCATCCTCTGGCGCCAGAGGCGAGAAGAGTGCCGTCTGCCCAGCCATTCGTGTGGATTGAATGTACTAGTATCACATCGCCCTCGTTCAATGGCAAGGTAACTGTAGAATCTGAGACGGTATATGTTGGATTGAAGGGATAGAAGGCTCGTAGGAAGTTATGGAAAACGGGCAGATGGCTCTCCAGATGTTGACTCAGATCCTCCTGCGAGCTATTGGGGGTTGCTGGAGGCGTCATTTGCGATTGATTAGTCGATGACTCGCTAGTCTTGGTACTGCTGCGAGAAGATATATTTCGCTTGTGCCTAGTATCCTCACTCGATCCACGAGCCCTGTCTTTAGGTACGGATAAAGGCGTTACGTGAACGCTTGAACGCGGAATTCTGTCGTTCGCCGTCACCATGTTGAGCTGCCTTGAAAGCCAACCATGGGAACTTTCTGGGGTGTTGACCGATGAGTTTGCACGTCGAGGACCGGTGTTTGTAGGGTTGTTTCCTCGGATAGGAAATCGAGGAATGAATTGCGTACTCGCTTGGGCCGTGGACAATGCTTAAGCTTGAGCCTTTTGCTGACTCGTTCCTTCCTGGTCGTGATTAAGCTTAGATTCGGATAGCCACGACTGGGATTGTGCCTGCCGAAAAGTAAAAATTAGCATAGACAGATTGGAGGGTTATTCGCATGTCGTGTTGTTTTAGTTAGATATGAAAGAGGAATGTACTGAGGGGCGTAAGGAATGCCACCATGGTCGGTCTCGAGCGCGACGGCAGCCTGCATGCCCGGATCGGGTCAACTCAAGGGTTTCGGGAAGGCTCACCAGTCAACTGTCCTGTCATGCACACGATGGAGTAATTCCGGGATGGACTATTATGGCGATCCGCTCGCAGTATCGTACTCTGAGCTTGTTTCTCCTGTACACCTTCGCCTCCAAGAACGAGGACCCAGGAAGTGCCGCGGAGGACAGGGAAGCTGCCAGGGTATCGCACGTCGCCTGGATTATGCTTTGGGGTTCGAGTCGTAAGTTGGTATTCAATGAGCGGGGAGCCAATGGCTGTGTGTGCGGTCGTTGTTGTGTCAGGCAAATGAGCTGATCGAACAGAGGGCCAAAGAGCCAGAGCGTTCGGTCTCGGATGCGATGTGATGCGGCTGTGTGTACAGTACTGGAGGGGAAGGGAGGGGAGGGGAGGGCTTCTCGTGGAGACGCCCGTAGAGTACGTGAAACTGGAGACCGGAGCTGTGGGAACAACCCTTTTCTTATCCAAGCAGCTGGCTGGGGGCAAGTCGATCAATCAATGGATGCGTAGCTAGCACCAGCCAGTGCCTGCCTTTGCCGACTTGACGCGACGTCCGTGCTGCTGTTGATTGTACAGTACAGTGCACTGCAGTGCAGAAGCTGTAACTCTACCCAACGAGCGCAGTGTAATTGTCGGAATGGGGAGCGACGATTGAGGATTGATGGCGGGAGTGAGAAGGTGGAGAGTGGTGGTATATTATTTTGGCGTGGTGGTTGTCGTGGACGGACTATTGACGAGTAAGGTACCTAGAGCCTAGGTCGGGTGGTAGACTGGTGGTAGTAGGGTAGTATGTATCTCGGCGCCGTGCAGCAGGGATCTCCCGAACTCGAAAGTTTATTGTTGGTCCACGCTCCGAGTCCAGTCCACCAAAAAATAACAGTACAGTATAGCACCTAAAGGTTGCCACAATACCGGTACTGGACTGTATAGTATAGATTTTAGTAGGTTGACTAGGACGGCAGGCGTAAAGAATTTGCAGTTGCAATGATTCGGTGCTGCTATGCGTTGCGTTGCCTTGCGTCGCTTTGCTTGGGCCCAGCTCTTTCTACTACAGTACTACTTAATGTATGTGATGCGACGTGAGGGGGCACTTTTTCTATCCTGTCGTGAAGGAGAACAATGCAAGGGCGTTGGGTATTGCTGCGTCTGTGTCTTTCTGTGTCTGTGTCGGCGCTCTGCGTTTGGATGTCTGTCTAGTAAGTACTGATGGCCGCCCTTCAAGGAGTCACGAAACAAGAGCACACACCTTCTGCTGCAGGAGTCGTTGATCGAGTCTCGACCGTCTGTGTACGAGTATGGCACTATCGTTTGTGTTTCCGGCACCGATTAAAGGATTCAACCAAACAGAACAAAACAAAACAACGCAATTCGAAACAAGTGACGGATGTAGAGGTAGAGGAGGGTCAGTTTGTCTGATAGAGTAGAATCGAGGAATAAGAGTTAGGTCTCCTGGAAGGATTCTATCGCCTACATATCTAAAAGCTAAAAAGGGCAGGGTATTCGTGAGTGAGGTGATTGATTTGGGACGGTACGAATACTTCGTACCGCAACCCTATAACCTATAGCTTACAGAGTGGGCGGCCCCGGGCTGGCATGGGCTGACATGGGGTAGAGCCAAGGGGTCAATAGGAAGCCTGCCCTATGTATAGCGTCCCACAGGGGCCGTTTTCTTGGGTGGTGGCTCCACTACTACTCTACCTAAATTATTAATTAACTTATCCAGCACGCTGGAGGAGATGCCTCTCTCCATTATTGTACTTGACAATAAAACTCAACTCAAAAGCCTTCTAGCTCATTCGTCATCCTCCGTACCCCCTTCTTACGGTTCCCCCGCTTCAGAAATCCCTTACTATAAACGACTACTACACAGTTGACTACGGTTGATTCAGTTAACTCAATTGTAGGCTTACTCAATTCATCAAGGTATCTTCGATGCGATTACTGATTGGCCCCGGCGTTCGTTATGAGGCGATATACCTACGGATACGATTCCTAGTGCTCACGGCTTCATCCTTAAGCTTCTTTCCGGCTCCTTCGTCCAGTCCGCGGTCCCGAGTAGCATCCCTACAGTACACCTTAGCATGGCATGCAGTATGACGGACCGACGGTTGCTGAAGCTCCAAAAACCTCAAACTTGGGATTCTTCAGGGTGTTGGTATTGGAGATTGTTTCCGAAAGAGCAGATGAACCTCCTCATTCCAATGTTAGGGCAACCCTGTTACAGTAGCCTAGGGACAGGAGGAATATTGTACAAGTGACAAATATTTATTGTACGGCGCTGTTCCTAGGTGAGCAGTAATCATCGGTAACATCACGATGTTTCAATATTGCTTCATTGATTGTTCCCCCGTTCCTTCTTGTTAGAACGGTCGCCGATGTCCATTACCCACCCACCATGATGAGGCTGCGGGCGGCTACAGCCATCTTCTAAATACTCTAGACTTCTCAATCAGTATTGTTGCAGCCTGTCCCGTCCTCACACAACGAGAGGCATCTCTTCATGTCCCCGCGCAATCTATGCACACATTAACTCTCCCTGATACGCTGCCATTCTTTCGAATGCTGGTCATATGGAAGCAATCCAGCGTGTTATGCTTTTGGTGGTTGAACGAGCGTTTCCTCGGCCAACGAGAGAGCCGATCCCTCCCCATTTGGAGATTAATTGTGCTTGATGCTACCTTTGTACTTTTCACTGTCCATTCATCACCCTTCTTCTCCAGCGCGTGATGGTCTCAATTTCCATTTAATTCTTATTTTCAAATTTTCAATAGTCTCACGAAAACCTGCGGCCAATTGAACAATACAGGAACAAATCAGAGCGCCTGTCGTTGAAATCTTCGCGATGCACCAAGTGACCTCACTGCTTCTTTTTTGCATCTCATCGCTGGCGGCGGGGAGAGCTGCCGCTGCGTCCATTGGCCTGGGAATAGCAATGTAAGCTGCCAAGGAGCGGGGGTAGGGGTATGAGGGTAGCTATCTCCAGGGGGCAGCTGCAGGGGAAGCTTCCATCAGGCTCAGGGGTTTCCCCTGAAGCTTAGGCCGTTCGGACCTGCGCATGCGTGAGGATTCAGCAGCGCCGTAAAAAGGAGGCCCTGTACGGAGGTACCTCCAAGGCTCCAAAATCCGCCGAATCCCATCTACGAATGATCGATCCCTCATCACGCCGCAGTTCGAGGCAGCGATGGCACGAGCTTCGAGAAGCACGGAGGCACAGATGCAAAGCGATAAAGAATCCCGAATCTGCGCTGCCAGCGACCCAGCAAACCCAAACTCCTCGTAGCAGCATGCATCAGGGTCTAAAAACAACAAAGATAGAATAGGCTTCTCGCCGAAAGTAGAAAGTTGTGGAAGTGTCACGCTTTCCCGCATGCTAAACAGGTGTTGACTGCAACACAGCGCAAAAGCTCGAGTCCTGTCTCGAGTTTCAACACGTGCAGGAAGTGTGTTTGCACGGTCAACCTGCATATCCAATATTTATGCAACCTGGAAAAAGAACATCACCAGCGGGTAAGCAACGGCAGCCAGCATAGGCAGCAAAAATGACCAAATCGGGGCATTTCTCTCAAAGCGTACTTACCTGCTTCGGCCAAGCTGCGTATATTTAACCTTTACCTATAGGAGATTGAAACTCCACGACAAAAGACGATGTGAAGCTTTGGGCTGTCAATCATAGTACGACACAAATCGATTAGCAACAGTTATCCTTCCTTTATCGGATACATCTCATATCAGCAGATCCAGCACATCGGCAGTCGGCTAACCTTAGATTTAGATCTTGGCCCCGAGGCTTGCGTCGATGAAAACTCTTATCTTATGAAGATCTTCATCGAATCTGTTGCTTCAAAGTTAAAGCATATCACAATACCTAGACCAAGAGACTACTGTGCATCATACGAAAAAAAGCATATTCATGCTGATCAGCGCGCGATTTTCCCAAAGAACAATAGCTTTAATAAAAGAGCACTACCTCCACTTTGGCCTCTTTTGAGAACTACAGTGCGAACTACCTATATACTTTAAATTCGATATTTACTGGAGCACTTCCCCGAGTCGCCGAAGTAGATATGCATGCCGTCGAGAATCAACAATCAATTTATGCACCTGGCTAGACATCCGTCCCTTTCGTCTATCAAATCTGGATGAGCTTGCATCGTAGATATCTCCGTAGAGGATGCTTATTCTACGACAAGGCTGCAGTGCAGCCTCACCCCTACTCTGCACTTCATCACACCGTTCACGTTCAAACACATCACCTTTGGCGACACAAGATTTATGTGCCTGTCAGGATCTCTATACAAAGACGGCATGGGGACCCTCCCCCTCCCCTCCCCGCCCGCCTTCCGGACCGCATCCGCAACGCAACGTCTTCCTAACCCGACTGAGCAGTCACATTACATTACTGTACGTTACATATAGGCCTAGTTACATAGCCATCTCATCGGCTCGCTCGAACGTATGTATCCCGTGCCGCTGCGACTATTGTACTGTACTCTCGAGATCAAGTTCTCGACCCAACCTAAACACCCCGAAGGATCAACAGGGAATCGCAAAGTTTCCATCGTCGCGGGAAGTGTATATCCACAGTATTGTAGCACGCAACCAACGATTGGAC